GTGCTCCTTGTCGTGATCGGTAAATAACGGAAAAATCCGTCGACAATTCAGTGTGTAAATAATGGCCTAACAATTTGTATGAAAAACGTCAGTCAGCATTTGACTCAACGATAAATTGTATTTGCTGACAAGGTCATTGTATCGAGCATAGAACTTACGAAATGATGACTTTAAACGAGATCTCTTAAGATCTCTTCATGAAAATATCAATTTAGACTTCCTTGGCATCTTGAATTTTAGAAGGCCAAACAATTTTCATGAAAGTGATTTCCCGCCAATTTGAATGGTAAAGTAATAAACTAACTGCTACTTCATTGCAAATATATCAATATATCCCAGCTAAATGACGAAATAGCAATAACTAAATTCAGTTTCCTATAAAAAGAAAAAAAATTCTTATGCTGTTCTGAAAACCTATAAATAAAAGTTTCTGATAAAATTGTTACAATAATTGTTCTCTTAACAAAGTTTTTTACTCTGGACAACACGGGAATGTATGTAAAGCCTACATCTTTTTTTTTTTTTTATCACCCGGTGGAACCGGTGCGAAGTATTAATGTAACAGGTACGTCTCTAAGCATGAGGGTGGGACAACCAATTTTTATTTACAACATAAGTATAGATGGGACTTTCATATTTTCTTCCATCAAACAATGTAAAACAAAAATTATCACTTAAAATAATTGGCAAATCAAGAAAATCATACAATATGTGTGTAAATACATGTACTTATGTAACTCAATATTAACTTTTATATATTTATATTACTGTATTTTACAATGGAGTGATAGAACACTTCATTGCTATATATGAATAGTAATTCATCATCCTGATATAAACCTTCAAATCACAGGTCCCTTCTTTTATAAACAATTTAGACCTGGCCTTAAGTGCGAAATATTTTACATTTCTAAATTGTCTGGAAATCAATACATCATTTAAGATTTAAAAAATACTATTAATGCTTTTGAGCTTGAAAACTGTTCGTTATCTCCATACATTTCATGATGTTAATTAAGGTTATATTATGTACGAGAGGTTATCAAAAGGTTCGTGGACTGATGCGATAAAATTAAAGAATACTATGTACTCTTGCTTACAAAATTTATAAGGAACATAAACAACAAAAGTTTAAGAAATGTTGACAATTTTAGCTTGATACGTTGATAATTTGTCAAATTATTCTAAAATAAAAAAGACTTTATATGATCACCCGGCGCTGTCACCGTTTAGTTTCATGACGTCCGACAACGTCATTGTTTCTCAATATTCGCTCTCTCCACCTCATACACTTATCTTGATGAGATTACCTGGAGTTAAGTAAGGCCTTAAGTCCGTCTTGGTTTATATGACTTCACAATGTCATGAACAGCTTTCAATGCATTTAATATTGTAAATGGATCTATACATAGGGAAAGATCCTTACTTGATTATGCCAGAATACTTAGCTTGTTGGAGTTCAATTTCTACCACACATGAACAATGTTGCTTTTCGACGTGACTGACTTTTGACACCCTTATTACATATCGACTTTAACTGTGCATCTTTCATCTCTCTGAATCTTTTTGGGCATTCAAAATTAATTGCATATGTACTTTGGGTGCATTTTATTTTTCTGTAGCCCATTTAAACATTCCTTAGCTCTATATCAGTTTTTCTAGGAGCGAAACTTTATAGAATGTTGGAAAAAGAAACCCTCCCCCTTTTTGACGTCATTTTCAAGCCCTTAATTGATTGTTTGGACACTCCATATAATAATTACGGATAAAATTTCATAGAACTTACAGATCTAGAATTCGGTAAAAAATAGCAAAGTTTACGAAACAATTGTGTCAAATGCGTATCAAATGCCTGAAATAACGGGATTTTTTGATGACAATTGCTCATATCAAAAGAGTTTTTCTCAGTAATACTCTGGTAGAAAGAACGTCATATTTGAGGTTGCGCCGCCTGGACATACTATTGCTTACAAAAATATTAACAATTTATTTAAAAAACTTATGATTTATGGTTTATTCTATAGATAGAAAAGATGATGCTAACTAAATTTGTAAAAATTCATTGATTTAAAAAAGCGGTTTTAATTTTATTGCGCTAGTCCACAAACATTTTGAAAACCCTCTATGTATGGAAATAATTTCACTTTTTCACATGAGCCTGGGACATACCGGGTATATTTTTATTAGTCCCCTACCGGTGAAACCGGAGGGGACTATAGGTTTCCTCTGAGTCTGTCCGTCCGTCTGTCCGTCCGTCTGTCTGTCTGTCTGCCTGTCCGTCTGTCTGTCTGTCTGTCTGTCCCTCTGTCTGTCTGTCAGTCTGTCCCACTTGGTTTTCCGCACTTTTCTCCTAAACGCTTGCAGATATTGAGCTGATTTTTGGTATGTGAGTGTATCTTGATGAGTTACAGATCAAGTTTGCATTTCGTTCCGCTTCACTGATTTTTGACGGAATTACGGCCTTTTCAATTTTTAGGGGTTTTCCGCAATTTTCTTCTAAACGCTTTCAGATATTGAGCTGATTTTTGGTATGTGGCTTTACCTTGATTAGTTATAGATCAAGTTTGCATTTCGTCCCGCTTCATTAATTTTTGACGGAATTATGGCATTTTCAATTCTTAACAGGAACCAGATTACACTTGCCGGTAGGGGACTAGTATTGCTAATGCAATACTCTCAGAATGCTTGTTCATTATGTTAGGTTTGGGGCCAAGTGTTTCTTATTCAATCAATTATTTTTTTGGCCCCAGTCCCATCCTGGCGATAAATATGATCTCCTGCCTTTTAATTACCACTTGCGTATACTCAACATTATTCCCTAAAACATAGACGCTAATGTCTCATATTCTCGCCTCAATATTAATTTTTAAAACAAATTCCACTAATTTTCAAGAAAAGTAAAGTACGGCATCACCTACTGTGTCAAATCTAAAGTACGACATCACGTAGTGTGTCAAATCTAAAGTACGGCATAACCTACTGTGTCAAATCTAAAGTACGACATCACGTAGTGTGTCAAATCTAAAGTACGACATCACGTAGTGTGTCAAATCTAAAGTACGACATCACGTAGTGTGTCAAATCTGCAGGACTCATCACTGTACCAACATAAGCTATTGAATTTGTAATATATTGAACTAGGGACATTTCAATTACGCAATGATTTCCTTTTTCATAAAGGGATGCAAAAATAGAAACTACCCTTACCCTCCTGTAAAACATCATCTTATTGATATAATTAATGTAGTATGAGTTATAATGAAAGATAACTAATAATTATTTGGATCCTTTCTCTAAAATATTATTTATGTGTCTTGGTTTTCGCTGTAAGCAGTTGTCAGTGGCAGTAAGCAGTGTCAGTTGACTGAAGTATATGGAATTCCATCACGTTTGCAATTCCATAAAGGACCCAAACTGTAGAATCATCTCGTATTCTGTTTTCAACCGTATTGTATTTTCAAACTATTTTCCAAATCTGCTTCCTATGCAGATATCGCTCTACGACATAATTTTTGGCTGGTAAACTTGAAAATAATACATATCATGTACAAATGTTTTGAAGATACCCCAAATAAATTAATTTCATAATTAATAAATTAATATTATTTTTATTGTGTGGAATATCCTACAGAAAACTTCAGGAGTACTGTACAACAGTATATTCGAGAAGTGGTGAAAATCAGATGTGGATACTTAAAAACTGCAAGGAACTTTTAGAAAATTTGAAATTACAAAATTTTACCAAAATCAATAACATCAAAATTTTTCAACACTTTATACAACCATTCCCCACGACAAATTAAAATCCAGGCTTTCTGGCATCATAGACAGCTGCTTTTTCAATAAAGATGGAACTCGTAAATATACATGAACTTACCTTGTCATTGGTCATTTGCAAAATTATTTTGTTTAAAAAACATCCTGATGTACACACAAGTACTCTGAAGTTGATATTAAAAAGATGCTTGAGTTTCTGATTGACATTATCTATGTAGTTTTTGGAGATCAGGTGTTCGAACAATCTGTTGGAATTCCCATGGGTGCCAATTTCGCCCCCTTATTACCTTTTTTTGTTGGTTTTTTGTTTAACGTCCCTCTCCTTTAACTCCTATGGAGACGCCACCACTTGCCGGTGGAGAGCTGCAAGTTTTGATCTATTCTCGGCACTTAGGGCCATTGAGCAGTGAGGGATCTTTTTTATGCCCCCCCCCCCCCATTAGCAGACCTATTTTTGAATTTATATGAAGCAGAATTTATTTTAAAAAAAACTTCTACATGAGAAGAAAAAAGCACTTGCTGGGCCTTCAACTCGACATTTAGATATATCGACGACGTATTATCAATTTACAATAGTTACTTCCATTCATTCGTCGACTCGATGTATATCCCAGTGAGCTCGAAATAAAAGATACCACCGAGTCTGACACATGTTTCATATTAGATATTCACAAGAAAGAAGGCGTTAATGATACTCTAACAACAAAGCTTTATGATAAACGTAATAACTTTAACTTTTCAAAATCGTTAATTTCCTACGAATGCAGCAATATACCCTTATCACCTGCATATGGGGTGTATGGTCTCTCAGTTGATTCGATCGCAAGAGCATGTTCTACATATGAACAATTTCTAATCAACAGTCTCGTTTAAAGTCATCATTTCGTATAAGTTCTATGGTCGATACAATGGTCATGTCAGCAAATACAATCTATAATTAAGTCATACGTTGACTGACGTTTTTCATACTGATTGTTAGCCCATTATTTACACACTGAATTGTCGACGGATTTTTCCGTTATTTCCCCATCATGACAAGGAACACACGGCGGGTGTGACCGGTCAGCTGGGAATGTTCACTCCTCCATGGCACCTGATTCCATCTCTGATGTTTTTAGAGGTCCTTGTTTGTTCTGCTTCCAATTTGTATTGTTTTAATGGACTTTATATAATAATACTGTTCGTTATCTTCATGTTTCATACTAAATTGTTTGTTTTTTCAGGTTGTGAAAATGCTTATCATCGTTGTATGCCTATTTGTATTATCTTGGATGCCTTTGCATATCTACCAAGTATCATCTCAGATAGAGCCGGATATAAACAAGTAAGATTTTATTTTCAAAAACTCAAAATACTTCTGTATTCATTAGATTTTGCTCCTAATTTTTTCTTAATATGAAACCGATATTTTAAATTTCAGATACGAAAATATTCATATAATATGGTTCTGCTGTAACTGGCTAGCCATGAGCAACTCTTGTTATAATCCTTTTGTCTACGGTCTACTCAATGTAAGTATTTAATAAACATGCACATCTGGTGCATCAAATAATATATAATTTATATAGTAACTCTGTCATTCATCGGATATACAGCTGTCTACTCAATATCAAGATAAGACTAAACAATACAGTTTCCGCAGTACAGAATACTTAACTCATTTGTGGGGAAAAAATTATAAAATTGCACATACGCAGAAATTTTGCTTCGTCTAGCATATTAGAGTTTTATTCGTATGATTGTGAATGAACTCTGTATCAACATCAACAATAAAAGAGTTGTAATCTTCAAAGCCCAAAATGCCTAAGCTCTTCATATCGATCTCTTAATAACGAGATACTTAAAACATTTGTAGAGTGAGAAGTAACTCATTACAGCCAGATTTTGTGAAAATCATCAATATTTTATAAGAAAAATACGCCAATTACACCAGTTATATACTACTACAACAATTTTTGTTGATTCAATTTGGATATTATTTATAAGCTGACAAAAAAGATAATACATAGTTATTAATATTGATAAAACTCAATAATCATCTATATCCAGTGTTTAATTAATAATTATTAAATATATTAATTATCAGTATTTTGTTTGAAAGAATTATTACACACAACACTCTATAATGGTATGCTGTATTTACATTACATTTAGTGGAGTAGGCAAAGCATGCACTTGTTGGAATTATAAAAGAAATTTCATTAAATGGAAATCTCATCCAGAACATCCATGTCTAATGTTTAACCTATGACCGAAACATCACCAGTATTGGTGATATATCAATATAAGCTGCTCACGTAAATCCAATACAACAGAAATACAGGCATCCTATCCTTTCATTCAAGAAAACAACAAAATTGGAGTCTTTCTAAAATCAAATAACACCGATATACAATATCGTACATGTACATGTACCGTGGAACAAAACACAATTAACGACTTTATAAAGGGAGAACAAAAGAACCATGGAACAAAATACAATTAACTCCGCTGGAACAAAATACAATTAACGACGTTATAAAGGGATAAAAGTACCGTGGAATAAAATACAAATAACGCCACTATAAGTTGATTATCAAAGTACCGTGGAACAAAACACAATGAACACTGTAAGGATATTGTCAGTCCCAGGATAGGCCGATCTATTTATGGTTGTGTTAAATGTGACATAAGGAAATGAGACGTTATTTTTTCACTGGTTCGATGGAATACTATTAATTTCTCATTGATAACATACATAAAAAATTTAAAATTGCTTAATACTTAGTCCAAATGGTTGTATTTTTTTCAATTTGTTTTTCAATCCTCATCAGATACTGATTTATTAAAGTTGTTACTTATTGTGATATACATGTCTATGACAAAGAAAAACATCGGCATTATCACGTGACAAAGATCCAGGGTATCAGCATGTAAAAGTTTGTACGTCCCTTTTGTCAGAAATCATTAAGACATTCACAATTTATTATTTTAGATATATGTTAGATATATAATATACTTGTTTTATTTTGTAACAAATATCTTGATAACGATATAATCCTATCCTTTTGATTAATAGTTAACAATTCACTGAAATATTAAAGTATATTTAAAAATGCACAGAAAAGTAAACTAAGTAAACAGTTTTGCAAGAAGAATGTATCTTATATTTTTCCGATTTGATGCTTTGCATCAATTTCACTTGTAACAGAAGTAGGTGGAACAAAACACAATCAACGCCACTATAAGGTTTAAAAATATGGAACAAAATACAACTATATACATACGTGCCTTTTTTAGATACATCTTAAAAAGTAAAATATTTTCTGTGCATATAGGGTGAGATTAGATGACAATTATGCAAACGTTTTGTGTATTTGTAATTCACAACTCCGAAAATCTCTGTATCAGCACAGTTTATCACCATATTTCAATCGACATTAATCATACATTAATTGTGACAATTATACCTACTGTGTGCAAAGGAAGTATTCTGCTCAATTTGTTTGCATATAACATTGCAGTTACCAGACTACATCCTTCAAAAAATAATAATTCAATGATTAAATAAAACTCATAAATTCAAAATTTCTAACGGGATGACAAAAAGTCATGGCAACCAATTAAATTAAACCTACAATATTTTTTCGTTCTTTTGAGAGAAAATAAGCAATAAATGATCATTAATTTTGCAACTACATTCAAGAGAAGGGAAGAAATTCCTAATTGGGCTTATAATAGGCATTTGATTGTAAATCAAACAAACTATTTAGGTTGGTTCTAATCGCTAAATTGTTACCCAACCACCCCATATTGTCAACTTGAATGACCCAACAAGGAAGTCAGGAAAAAAAAAACAACATCTCAATCAATAATCCTTATTTGGACGGTGGTTTGGCATCCCTTGTACAAGATATCCATGAAAAGGGATGCAGACAACGCAGACAACAAAATCTTTATATTTATTTTTATTTATATTTATATTTTATTTTATTTATGTTTATAGATATATTAATAAGGAAATCACTTGTCAAAATATGTCTATCGTTTATAAGTCTTGTGCTCAAATACACAAATATTGTTTTAGATGGAGGTAATCATCCAAGATAATAAACTATTAAGGATACTGAAGGTATTAAGATCGAAGCGGAAAAGTTAACAATGTGATACAAACCACAAAAAAGGGTGAATTTTGTTGTTCTGATGATTCTCCACACAAGTAGACCTTGTCAGCAAATACAATTTATCATCAGCTCCACACAAGTATACTGAAGTAGAATTGTTATTTTAGCAATCGGCAAATTTAAAGATATAATCATAAAAGTGGGTATCAATTATTAGTGTAATCAATGTTAAGCGATTTTTGGAATAATTATGAATTTTTATGAAAATATTTGTGAATGTATTATTATATAATATTATTATATCATTGTTTAACATCAACGCTAATAATGCCCTAGATGGTCGCTAAAATATCAAGATATACGCAGCTTTGGGACAGTTAACTAGGAGATATATACTGTAAGTCGTTTTAATTCCACGGTGTTAAAATTCCACGATTTCTCAAAAAGTACCAATCGCGATAGTTTTAATTTCACGTTGCAAGAAATTAATTTAAATTTCGTATAAGCATTTAAACGTTTTTAAAAACTAATTATAGCATTCACGATGGGTTTAATGATAAATCGCGAACATAGCGAAATTAAAACCATTGCGTAATCATTTGTCAATCTACAGATATATATATATATATATATATATATATATATATATATATATATATATATATATATATATATATATATATATATATATATATATAATGCAATTTTTACCAACTGCATGAATGAAGCACATTTAAAAAATACGTCTCCATTTTAAGATAGTGCTACATATATTTCATTTTCAGCAATAGTATCGTTTTCATTTTGGTATGTTCTGTTTCATTTTCTACAATATCATGCTTACATTCAGTCTTATAATAGAGATATTATAAGGAAACGCTTAAGTGATGTTTGGACATCCAAAAGAAATGATCTACAAAGCAAATGGAATTTATCTTTGTGCATTATAAAGAGACATCTGATACTTGTATCCTCCAGTTAACTCTAACTTTACTAATTTTGCATCAAAGGTTGTTTTTGTTATTCTTTTTTTATTGTTTTCATCAAAATTCGTCGTAATGCAGAAATCAATCCACAATATTTAATTTTAATTACAAGAAAATTAATATCATAAAAATTCTTATTTCTCTTCCAGTTTTGGGGTTTAATCATTCGAAAGATTATGATAAAACTCTTCTTCTTTTTTTACTTATATTTAATACTGGATTAAATATGACGAATATTCAGGGCATTTATTGTTCTGTCAGTTGGATTAGCCTCATTTCTTTAGATTTGACAATTATTATCATTGATTTGAATTCGTTCAATTCATTAAAATTGTTCTCCCCATTAAAACTTTCTTATAAACAACTGTATATTAATTTTCTTTCAGTCAAAGTTCAAACGAGAATACCAGAAACTACTGCCATACTGCTCTTTTTGCAAGCGTCAAGATCAAGATTTAGCAGACTATTCAGATGAAAGTGCTGGAAGCATGCACAGATCTCAACTCATTAGAACGCATGTCTCCTCTCTCAAAACCGGAAGTTTTCAACAAAGAGTACATGGTAGAAGAATGGTCAGCTTTAAAAGACCATTTACAAATACTACTGAACTGTAGCTCTCTCGTTGTACAATAGAAATGTCTGTGTAAACAATTTATACATTGCATATATGTACATTGTAATTCATGATCTATGATGTAAAACTATGTTGAAAAATTTATCACTTTTGGTCACAAAAGTTTCGCAAAACCTTATTTTCGGTCAGTAGATACTAGTATTAAGGACTTTTATGCCAGAAAATTCTCACAAATTTGGTTAATTGTTATATACATGTATAATCTTTTTTATCACAAATATACGCAAGAATGAGATTTTGGTGAGCACGTTGTTCGCTATATACGTTAAAATGATAAAAAGTGATTTACAGTGTGTGTAGAAACCTGGGAAACGCAATGAATGAAAACCTCGGAATCCTTATCTTTTGTTTCAAATAATTTTTATCATTTGCAATAATATCTTAATATTTTTATTGAAAAACCTATCATTAAATTCCATACAAAAAGCTTTAATGAAATATGGAGGTAACGACCAGTATTCAAGCTCAAAGTTCATTTAGACAATACAAATCGGAAGCAGAGCAAACAGGGACCCCAAAAAACATCAAAGGTGTGATCAGGTGCCATAGAGGAGTGACAATCTCTTGTCGACCGGTCACACCCGCCGTGTGCTCATTGTCATGATCGAGAAAAACGGAAAAATTCGTCGACAATTCAGTGTGTAAATAATGGCCTAACAATTAGTATGAAAAACGTCAGTCAGCATTTGACTTAATGATAGGTTGTATTTGCTGACAAGGTTATTGTATAGACCATAATACTTGCCAAATGACTTCAAACGAGACTGTTGATATCCTTGTTTCATCAATTTGTTTGTCAGTAGCTTGCTTCTTTTAGAAATTGTTCATACGTAGAGCATGCTCTTGCGTATCGAATCATCTGGAAGACAAGAACCCCATATGCAGGTGATAAGGGCATATTACTTCATAAGTAAGGGAAGTTGACGATTGAAAAATTGAAGTCATCGGGTTTATCATAAATCTTGTTGGGTTACCATTAAAGTCTTTTTCTGTAAAATATCCAAATATGAAACAGATGTGTCAGACTTGGTGGTATCTTTTTGGCTTCAGTCTTTGGCACCCCTTTTTGAGCTCTTCAAAGTTTTTCTTATTTAAATATTTCGGATTTCTAAGTTTCGGTATAAGCATCACTGAAGAGACAAAATTGTCGAAATGCACATTTGGTGCATCAAAATTGGTACCATACAGGATTTACATTATTTCAAGCTCACTGGGATAGAAGTAACTATTGTTAATTGATAATACGTCGTCCATATATAATAAATGTCGAGTTGAAGGCCACATTAAGTGAAGAACTATGAAGGTCAATTAGAAGAAATTTATAATTTTTTTTCGTTTAAAGTATTTATACTGCTGTTTAGTTTGAATTCCTTTTTTCCATGCAGATTGCATACAGAATTATTTTATGCAGTGAAAAGTTTTATGCTGGTCCCAAATTATTTATCAAATTAATTATTATGAATATCATCATATTGGGACAGATATAGCAAATACATTGCTTAAGTCAAGGGAAAAAATAGCCCCGATTTCATCTTAAAGTTAACGCTTTTTTAGTTATATCTAAAAATTTACATCATAGACCCCAACTTTTGATTTTATTTTATTAATATATGAGATAACCTTGACCATTCTGCTTAAATTCATAAAAAGTTTAAGACTTTAAAATAATTTTGTTGCTTGTTCAGTTTCTTATGCCAGAATATTGACATTTTGTGAGTGCAGAAAGGGTAAGTAATATACTATGCGAAATACTTTCAAACTTTTTCTTTGTTTTTTTTCTCTTTTATGTGTCTTTTCAAGAGAAAATAAGACTGTACATGTATTTGGTTCTATGATTTATGTGGATGGAAGATATTGGAGGGAAAACCTCGAAAAGTTATTTTTGTTTAAGACGCAATTACAATTCAAAAAGGTCATACTAAATGCACCGAAGCGCCAAAGAAAGCGTATTGACCCCCATTTTTGTTTTAATTTTTAATTAAGCTATGTGTGTAGATACTAAAAATATACTTGACAAAAAATTGTTAAGACTTTTGATAACAGGATCAAACCTCCTTAAGGACATTTTTAAAACCTTGATTACTAACTTCCTCGCTACGTGTTGATTTTTGTTTGCTGATTTGACAAATATACAAAACCTACTTTTACGGAATGACCCTGTATAGTCCTGTGTATAATTTCTAGTCAAACTTTTTTAAAGCATAATATTCTAAATATATGATGATTATTAAATGTTCAAATTCCATCATTTTTTAAAGAAACATTTTTTTTCTATTTGAAATTAAAAATCTCATGATCTGTACGTAAAGAAATATTTTACATAAGAAGATTTCTGGATAGGTTTTCTTTGAATGAATATATACTAGGTTAACATCTTCATGAATAACCGTTGATGAAGAAGGAATTATTTTCACTTTTAAAAAATGAGGAAATAAATCCCAAATAATGAGTATCTTTTTAAATAAGTGTGTTTCAGTGAAATAAATAGTTAAAAGGTAAAAATAAATCATGTAGTTTATGGAGAAATGACCTGTTATTTTTCATCCAAGCATATTTTTTTCAAGAGGCCATTAACGCTAAATGAAAAATGCCTGTCCAAAAGTGTCAGAACATATTTTTACAAACTTTCAAACCTGAAATACTTCCCTGAACAAACCTGATAAAGAATCAGCATCTATATGACGTTCACAAATAATTCAAAATTTTGTTATGGTAAAAAAATTATTCATTTCTCGAATTTCAAAGTCTCTGTAAATAAAAATGATTCAGTACCAGAACAGGAACAAAGGTATAAAATCAATACATGGATGGATATCTCCTCACTCTTCAATGTGCTTTTTCAGGTATATTATAATGTTGGTATTAGTTTATCGACTTTTCTTAAATATTCGTTTCAATATTAGTTTGTTTTTATTACATTTACACCCTTGAATGAAATTAAATGATATGATGCTAATGTAGCTTCAACAAATAGTATATGACTTTGAAAGGGGACCAACACTGACAAAGATAATTCAATATATCACATAATTACATATCAAATATTTTTAAATACAAATTCAATACATCATTCCTATCTACCTTAAGCAGTAAACTTTATAACTAAATCCATTACCAAGGTTTGAATTCTCCCAATACTTGACTCATACTGATTTAAATGTCTTCATTTTCCTCAGTCATACCTGGGAATTTAATAAAAATTGTACAGACAACTGCTAAGATGAAATTAAAGCCAAAAAGTTATCTAAGCCCCCCGCAAACGAACGTTGGCAAACTGATCAAAATAGCTTATTAGCAACCCAATAAGTGTCCTTAAGCATTGATAGGAAGTTGATCTATGCATTTGCTATAAACATTCTGTGATCCTCTCGTAAGAGAAACTTGAAATCCAATTTCCAGTTTGGCTTTAGGGTTGTCCTTAACAAGCGAGGATTCCTCAATTAATGAATGATTACTGACGAGTTTATGCTGAAAAATACGGAAGGGAAAAGGGAAACCAAACAAGTGACAGTATGATTTATAGCAAGAAAATCTTTCACCGATTGTATGTTGTAATTTGTGTGTGTGTGTGTGTGAGAGAGAGAGAGAGGGTGTGTGAGGGTGTGTGTATGGTTATTTTTTTTTTTATTTCGGACCAATTTTCAACATGTATTTGTTCATCTTGCATTTCGTCATATTTATTAATTGATAACAGTCGTGATTAATTTTGACAAAGAATAAACGCAATTAACAGTACAGGTCTGAGATGCTTATTGGTACATTCATTTGGTCTCATGCTTCAGTGTGCAATAACCATTTAATTAATAGGCAATTAATAACGTAAGTTGCAAGGATATTTGATATATAACCCAAATGCTAGTTACAAATAAGTTAATGCTACATGAGTATCAACAATATCTTTAAAGTCAACAATTCGCAATTTCTATGGTCGTTACAATGACGTTGTTTTCAAACACGCCTGTCTGTGGGTGGAATGTTGACTTGCACTTTTTTATGCAAATTGGTAGGTCATTTTTTATACTTTATCTACTGATAACTCAGTTTGCTTATCAAGACAGAAAGTTCAAGGTGGGTGTGACTTGTCGACAGGGGATATTTACTCCTCCATGGTACCTAAGCACATGTACATACAAGTTATGTAACTGACAAAAATTGTCAAATCAGAAACTTTTGTGCTTTTGCCATTTATTTTATTTCTTCTTTAATTTTATTCTGGATAATATTTAATCATTCATTCTGACACTTTAAAATTTTATTCAATATCAGTAATACAAGACACATCAATAGACATCTGAGCACTTTTCTAATTATTCATTCAGGCACTTGTTTTATATGTATTCACTCAGTAACTCATATAACATTTAAAATGTAAATATTTTTTTCCAATTATTATTTATATACATTATACCCTTTCTTGTAAAGCTCTACTGAACAATCACTTGAGTGACATTTCTTTGTTTCTTTTGAGAATTAACACTGTCACTTTTAAATACTGCTACACTCAGATGCTTTTTCCCGTTCAACTTTTATGATTTATCGTACATATATATATTAGCATTTCCCTTGCCAGATTAACATGTAATCTATGAATTCATCCTCATTTTTTTTAACTACATCGTTCCATCTACTATACTAACAACTCATACTTCAATTAGGTGAAAACCAACTTTTACAACTACAATCATAATTTTCAAAAGAAATTGAATCTACCTTAGTTAAAAATTCTTTAAATATCAAGAAAATGTGTTCAAAATTGTATTTTTAATCCAAATTATGTATTTTTAATCCATCTAACAACCCAACACTCATCTAAGAAATTGCAATACATTTATTTAGACCTTAAGTAACTTTTTTTTCTGATGTGCGCCTGTCCTTAGAGGGGATCTTAAACTGACACAATCTTATCATGGACATACACATTAATCAATGAGTACGTGCCTTAGAGAGGGAATAAGTTGAACTTTTGGACTGATTTCTGTCCTTAAGAGCGTACTACATAATATGAAAACTTAAACCAAGATAAAGTGAAAATGGTTTTTACTTCTGAGGTATCCATTTTAAACAACTAAGGCATGTGCGTTTTAGCTTTCACATCTACCATACTGAAATGACTTTCACATAAATAAACATATGTTAATTTTAAATTTTGATAAACACTATGAAGCACTTTAACTATATATCTTCCTGACCTCGATATAAATAGTCCTACCCGTGTATATCAGTTCAATAGTAAACAATAATGGTCTCAAAAATTCAAATTGTCTCTTATTTGCGGGTCACATGATGCCTTTACCCATTATAAGATGAATTCTTCCTCAGGATACCTTAAAGCACGCTTCTCATTACTTACAGATGCTGAATGTATAGAGTCTTTGGACGTATTTTCGGCTTCGTTTGCTTGAGAAGTCGTCGATGATAAAAGTTCGACTGTGGCTGATGAGCTTGGCAGATTACTGTCATTACTTCTGGATTTTTGGTTGATAATAGAGAGCTTTTTCTTCGTATTTCCAGGATCACTGACCACTTTCTCTTTATTGCAGAGTTTTATTGTAGAACTGGACAAGGACACGTCCTGTATCAGCGATTTGTTGGTCTTATCCTCCGTGTTCTCTGTCTGAGACTCAGCATTACACGTTATCACGTGACATGTCTGGGATGAGTTGTGCTGTAGTTTTCTGGACTGTGCCACGGTACAGATATCGATATGGTCTGGTTGTGACGACACCTGTCCGGTTAGTAAGATGTTCATACTCAGGTATAGAGGGAATGTGAATGCCTTCGTGACGGTCAATGCTAGCATTTCCTGAAATTGCAAAACTGGTAGATTTTTACGAGGTAATTATCCCTAATCCTTTAATCAGACGCGTCGTCTGGCTGAATTATTCCCAAACGACATTTTACGTATTTTACTTCTCTTGTATAATTTCTATCGATAACAAATTGGACAAATGAAGAATTGCTTGTCTGTTCATATAATCTATATTAATAAGAATATGATACCAAAGAGAATCCTCACAATGTCCAACAAATGCAATTTTTTTCCCTTCCCAATCAAGCTATTCGTAAACCATTTATAATTACCGTAAAGAAATCGATCTGATAAGATGTCATATGTCTAATATCCCTGTTTTCTGTAAGACTTGTAGACCGGACAATATACATTCAATTACTCCGTACATCTTCAAGCGTAAAGCAGCCTTGTCTTAAGTTAAACTAATGATATACTAGAAGACTACTTAAGAATACAATCTTTTAATCTATTTCATTACTGACATTACAATTTTTTTCCATTAGATTTCTTTCTTACAGTAATGGAAATGCCAACAGACCCTGACAAGGAAGCCTATAGCGGATACTTTTTTCTAAGCAAACAGCCCAATATATTTGCTTATGTTGGATTAAAACATAATTAAATTCCTTATTTTAATTTTTAAGGAATTATGTTATAGTCTTATTTAATGTTACTGTTAGTATATATGGCGATCTTCTGTAATTAATTAAGAATCCTGCAATAATAATTTTTTATCATTACCCCTGTTAAAGTTACGACTGGGTATAAATCATGTATTAATTAAAGGAGTAATTGATAAAATGTACCCGATATCATTTTGCTGCGATCTCCCATAACATAAATCACGCAGTGAATGACCAATTAATACAGTAATGATAAATACACAATTCTTCAGTGTCGGCCAGATCCCAGACTTACTATTCTAAAGCGCTCAAATCTTCTGAAGGTTTCAGAATGAGAATTAAAGGACAGGACATTGCAGTTCTTATCAGAAACTGCTGACACAAAAAAGGCTTATTTTCAAGATCTCCCTTTCACTCGACCTAAACACGTTAGTTTTACGATATTGAGACAAGCATAATTCTGTTTTCTCCTAGGCTTAAATCTGAAATATTTTGATATGACTGAAGCTTACACCCCATGTGACTGTCTTTTAGCTAAATAAATCTCTGAGTGAGATTCCATGAGCAGTGTTCCTACAGCATAAAGATATTAAATGAACAAAAGTCAATTTAATTCTGCGGCATCGAGGTCTTCTTTCAAAGCTACCTAAAATCACCCTTTATCATCCTTTAATTGGAAATGTTTATTATAGCCTCTTAAAGCTGAACACGATTATTAAAAGGGGGAGATATCTTTGTCCGCATATTTCTCGCCGCTGACCTGCACTTCTCCAGCCCCTATATAAGCCTCAGCTTTCTTCACGGTTCAATTTATTTCGCTTCACAGATTTTACCTGAGCAAACTCTCTTTCATTGTCATTGCGATATACTTGGGAGCAAAAATGACTTCTGTATGCCTCTGCCACGTTAGGAAAAATGTGACCAAAGATATTCAATATCACTTGCACAGGTCAATGCATTACAAAGTGAAATAAACACGAATGCACGTTCAATGAAATAAAACGTAAACAAAAAGGACAACGTAAGATATACATATACTACAGACTGTAGCGTCCAGCTAAAAACAATCAGTTTTAGCTAATTCAAAGGTTTCTGATATAGGAAAATTAATAATACAGTGTTTGTCTATTTACGAGTCATGTTCAGTTTTAAAGGAGGTAATGCAACTGGTAGATCAGTGATGGATAGGAAGTTTTTATTTAACAAGAGGCCCAAGGGCCTTAAGGTCACCTGAGTATAACACAACAGTTTAGAGGATCCATAGACTCTGAGTACATGTATAAAATAAACTGATAGATGAAGCTGTGTTGCCCAAAAGCAAGAGAAATAGGATGATCAGGATCAATGAAATAATTAGTCTAGTATTCAGTAACAACTCATAAATTAAACTCTAATCTATCCCCCATTTATCACTATCGCAATGCAGACAATTAACAAACTATATGTATTAGTTCTGTACTACTTTTAACCCCATATTGTGACCTCTCACATTGGTTTCTCTTGGTCTTTGAAGAACATTTAATAAGTTATTTTTGTCTCGTTTTTATTTACTTATTATTTACAAGTCTACCTGATCATTAAAACTATGAAAGTACTTTTTGTATCATACAATAAATTTTTTTTCATAATTCTTTTATTCTGATAACTTTCAAATACATTATTTACAGTGATTAATTATCAAAATTGAATGGCAAAGGGGAATAACTCCTCTCAGTTGAATACAAATTAATAGAGCCCTGGCCAGGACCAGAACAACTGACCAAATAGTCCAGATGTTCAAAAATGTGGGAAAAAAATTACCTTGCTTATTAAAACTTTTATTAAATTTGCCTTCAATATGCCAAGGAGCAAGGAAGATTTTCAAAGAAATAATGCATTTTCACTACAGATTTAACACACCCTACCCTAACACTAAAATCCATGTCCCAGGGTCATGAAATTCACAAACTTGGTAGAGGCACTCTCATCATCATAACTATGCACTTAGTTGAAGATTTTCAAAGAATTAACACATTATCAATATAGCTCCCTCCCTCCCCAAGCCCCAAGAATCACCAAAACCTGGGGACCACAAGATTTAAAAATTTTGTAAGAAGCACAATTGTTCATCATAACTATGTACTTTGTTTATCTGCTCAACACTAAGGAGCAGACAGGATTATTTAACAGAATTCATGCATTTTCACTATTTTATCAATAGAGCCCCAACATCTGACTTGGGGGCCATGAAATTCAAAATTCTGGAAGAAACACTCTTGTTCATCATAACTGTACAATTAGTTTCTTTGCTTTATAACCAGGAGCAGAAGAGAATATTTTCAAAGAAATTATGCTTTTTTACTACATAATCAATAAAGCCCCTCTCCATCCCTGGGGCCATGAATTTCACAATTTGGGAAAAAGCATCCTAGTGCATCATAACCATGCACTTAGTTTGTTTAAATAATACCCAGGAGCAGAGGTTTTCAAAGAATTAATCCATTTTCACTATATAATCAATAGAGCCCCGCCCTAACACTAGAACCCCTGACCCAGGGGCCATGAAATTCACAATTTTGGAAAAGGCATCCTTGTGCATTATAACCATGCACTTAGTTTGTAAAAATAATACCCAGGAGCAGAGAAGAAGACTTTCAAAGAATTAATGCATTTTCACTATATAATCAATAGAGCCCTGCCCTAACACCAGAACCCCTTACCCAGGGGCCATGAAATTCACAATTTTGGAAAAAGCATCAATGCTTATCATATTTACCATGCACTTAGTTTGTTTAAATAATACCTGGAGAAGAGAAGAAGGTTTTCAAAGAATAATGCACTTTCACTATATGATCTATATAGCCCCACCCTAGCACCAGAACCCCTGACCCTGGGGCCACGAACTTCACAATATTGGTAGAGGGCCCAATGCTTATTACAATCATGCCAACAGTTTGACCGTTTAATGTCCAGGAGTTAAGAAGAAGATTTTTAAAGATTGCATCATTTTTTATGGTTTTAGCCCCACCCCTGAGGCCCCAGGGGGGTAGGGACCATGAAATTCATAAGTTTTGTTCCCCTTCACCCAAAGATGCTATATGCCAAAATTGGTTGAAATTGGTTTAGCGGTTCTAGAGAAGAAGTAGAAAATGCTCAAAAGTTAACACACGGTGAACGACCCACAACGACGGACAAAATCGGATAGCAATAGGTCACCTTAGTGACTCAGGTGACCTAAAAATGATATACTTAAAGAATTCAAAACTTTTAAAATGAGAGATTTAACAAAAATAGAACTTTAACGAAAAAATATTACACACACATACACACACAAAGATTTCAAAGCTAAACAAATGTAACTTGTATCTTTAACATGTTTAAGCAAAGTAAACTTTAACACAATGTGTTCATCCTTAGATGAAACATCAATGCAAGTTTGGTCTGAGTAGGATTTATATTTACTTTGAAATGGCTGGAAAAACTAACAACCAATTTTAACCTAGTCATTCAAGCAGCTTACATGGGTGAATGAAATAAAAATGACCACAAAATTGAAATTTTTGGGAAAAATTCAACTAACCATAACATATTTTTCACTTATATCATCATACTATACATGCTTTCTGGTTAAAATTCCTGAGTGGCAAAATAATTATTTTGGGGGCAGATATTGGTCATTACCGAATATATTCTTTTTAAATGGTATAACAGTTATTGTTTTACACTTTGAAAATTCTTTTTTGACTTAATTTTCATACAGATTTTCAAAATTGACGGCTTTTTTTTTTTTTTGGAGGGGGGGGGGGGGGGGGGCAACACTACATTTTTCTGTTACACACCTGACATGGTATAACATTTTTTTCAGCAACAGCTATGACCACAACTTGGTCAAACAAAAGTTGCTACAGTCTACATTTAAAGCGCAATACATTGAATATTATCAGGAATGTCTTTATTTCCTACATAAACCAGTATTATTTACTTCACGCAGATCTTCAAAATGTCACAAAAAGGTCCCGACATTTTAGAATCATTTTTGGGCATAACTTTATTGGGTGTTGAGATATCAATGAGATATTTTGCAGGTATTTAGACAATATCAAAAGACATATGTTGAGACATAGAAGTTTATTCATATTGCCTGTATGTGTCTGGTCATTTTTTTTAATTCACCCATGTAAGTCAGACTCAGCATCTGGAGTAAGCCTGGTAGTGTGTTTCCCTTTATGTGTCATTCGGAATGAACTAGCTCCAAAACCTGGTCACTTGTCCAGCATCTGAAGCAAGTCTGATAGTGCTTCCATAGATGCATCACCTAAAGATGCAAGTCAAGTTTAGTCACAATAAGTACTTGTTTCTTGGGAATGGACCTGCTTCAAAAACTTCAAACTGGTCATTCATCAGAAAATCTATGTAAGATGAAGCATCTGAAGGAAGTCCAGTAGTGTGCATTCCTAGATGCATCATCCATGCAAGTTTGGTCCAGGTAGGACTTATAGTTACTTGGGAATGGACCTGCTCTAAAAGTGCCAATGCTAGGAGTATAGCATAACCTCACCTCAACATTTTCAAGTAATCTAAAAATAATCTTGCTGGAATTAACTTTTATTTTATATTGGATGTGAATCCGTTAAAGGAATGATAACTCTTGAAATCAATAAGGCTTTGTTGAATGAGCTTAAAAAAATTTGCTGGAATTTACATTTATTTATTGGATGTGGATATATTAGAGGGTATGATACTGTATGTGTACTTAAAAAAGTGGGCTTCATATTTTAGCGGCTTTAGTCAGACAGCAATGCGCTAATTTATGAATACCACTAAGAAATCATTTATATATACAATACACAGCATATACATGTGTAGCACTTATTCATGATTACGCCAAAAACTCTATACCAAGTGATTATGCTAAATTTTGAATATGCCAATTTATGTACAGTAACTCTTGAATTTAGAATTTATATTACTGAGGCTTTAACATATAAACATTGGATTATTTTATGCTTCTTAGGCCATACCAATTTGCAATATAGTTAGTCAGATTTGCCGCTTCTATCTGAAACAAATCCAAATTATAATATTATCAATAAAATATGTCCGCCCGCGCATCCAAAAATATCCGAGTACATTTTTTTTTACTTTTACACCAAATGCACAAAAGACTTCGGAACATGTGGTTGAGGAATGACAGAAGCGCAGGATTGAGAAAATTCGTACTTCGTAACTCATACTGTGTAACAATGTGGGAAGTTTTTTTTGATGCCTGTCTACTCTTTATATGTATGATGCGTCGATAGTTAAAAACAGTGGATGTGAATTTTTTCCTTATACTGCAATCGAACTAGAAGCCGAGTAAACTTTTGAAGTGCTGTTCGATGTTACTATAAAGAGAACATCGAAAAGCCCACGAAAGGTTTGGTGAATATTGATGATGTTTGCTCTATCAAAATAAAAAAAAATTCTAAGAGCCATGTAATTGAGATTTCAAGATCTGACATGTCCCTAGGAATTAGCACAGAACTGAACAGAACGTTTGTAGAAATGAAACTACGTAAACTGCAATGTAACACATACCTCATTCAAAACATGACAAACAGAAAGTAGACGTGTTTTCACATTTTATGAATGCTTCCAAAAATTATTCTCTCCTTGGAAAAATTACAGGCAAACTAGACTTCTGAATTTATTTAATGATTTGATAGAAAGGGCAACAAATTGGAGAGGAAATTCTTCAAAAAGACCTTATTTGATGTAGCAAAACATTACTTGTTACGAAAATAAAGTCTTTGAAACCTGAAACTTTTTATTTAATGAAAACAATATCAAAAAAGTTAAAAATTCATAAGTTCATGTGGTATACAAATAATATCTAATAATTTTAAGTCTTTATTTTCTTTAAGCACTCACTCTTTGAAATCATGCTTTATTCATTAAAAAAAATTATATTACTTGTATTCACTCGCCTCATAATTTTATACCCCAAAATGAAAAATAATATTTGTCAAATTATTTCGCCCTCTCTCTTAACTTTTTATTTTTGAAAATCCAAAGAACTATTTTACAAATTGGTGTGGCCTTATTATGAATTGTAAAATTAGAAAAGAACTTGACATTTTAAAAGAAAAAAAACAGATCTTTTTCAAATTATATGCCTTATATACAAATGAATGGGATTAAATGTTTAAAAAAGAATGGTTATGAAGTACGTTTCACCTATCCTGCTGAACAGTGCCCAAAGTGTACATACAAGGTTTCTTGATAATTTGTTCACCAACATGCTCATGCAATGCATGTATCTTGATATACCTTGACATGAAATGGACAAAAATATGTAAGATCAGTGGCCATATTCATTTTTAAGTTTATATTTTCCATGAAAAAGGAATTTCACGAGTAATAATTTATGTTTAGTAATAGATGTAAATTCATTCTGTTTTTAGTAACAAAAACAAAATTTGGTGAAACTGAAAATTGGTAAGCAAATTATGCTATTTCTATATGTCTACAGTTGTACTAAGCTTTCAGCTTTTTCAGTTTTAATCAAAACTGTAAGAGGAATAGCATGTTGAAAGAAGAGGTAATCAACAATACTATTCTATATCATCAATTCCTCACATTACTATAAAATGAGGATTGTTATTATAAAAAGCAAGTACTGACATTATGGATATTATATTCTCTATACCTCATCTTTATGCAGGGACAGTTTCTGGATCTCTGTAGTTTTTGTCTCTGTGACTTTTCCATCTTTGTCCACAGAGGCCACAGTCAGCCTTTTAAATTAAAGTAAAAGCTTGCTTTACCCTCCACACATTAATACTGAACTGAAACTACATCATCAAAATAAAGTACACTGTACATGCTTTCTAATGTTTGAACACAATCATGACAGAGACATGCAGGGACTTCAATATGCTATAAATCATCTCTTTTTATTTGTGAGAACTTATTTTTTTTTTTGGATAAATGCAAGACTTTATACTTGCGAAAATTTCATTCTCAAGTATATTTAAGTAATCTATGTTTTAATTATTAAAGATTATATATATATATATATATATATATATATATATATATATATATATATATATATATATATATATATTTATATATATATATATATAATCACTAATTTCCTGAAAATTTTGTTTCACTAATAAATTAAAAAAAGCAATCTAACAAAAATAAAGTGTAATGAAATTTTGGTGATCTACAGCACTATTTATGTAGAAGTTAAAATATTATAAAAATATGGAAGATATTGATATCAAAATGGTTGTTTACACAATCTTGACCATTGATACAGTGATTCTAAAATGTTAAGGTGTCTTTTTCCAAAATCTTTTAAAAATTTTTTGAAACGTTTTGAACGTAAAGTTCACATTTGATCCAGATATGCATGATCTCTTGTGTTAAAATACTTATAATCCAATTAGATTCTTCATCATTTATCATCTTTTTTAGTTAGATAGTAGGACTTCACCAAGTCAAATAACATAAAGATTTGTGTCATAATGTAACAAAACATTTCAGTCTACCTGTAGGCCAAATTTCTGACTTTTTCCAGGCTTGCTGAGTGAGGATTGGGTTGGCTGAGAGTATTTCGTTTGATGAAGATCAGGTTGTTAACATAGGTGAGTAAAATGTCTACTCCATAATTATAACCAACCCATCGCCAACAGTACTGAAATAGAAACAGCTTGGATTGAGAGCAAATATCATGAGAAAATTTCCCCATCTAACAATATTCATATTCAATCTCACTGCAATATTTTATTCAAGTATCAATATATATGAATTTTCTTTTATTCAGAAATAAAATCAAAACCACTCTTTGAATGATATGTATTTGATCATAGATATATCATTATACAGTTATTTTCTCCTATAAACAAAACTTACCTCTCCTTCACATTTGAGGAGTCTTCCGCACCTTAAGGAGGTTTGATTAAAATGATTTTCATCAGGTATTTCCTCAGGACTGTTGATTTAAAGATTAAATGCAATAAATGTTTACAAGTATATCTCTTAATCTTGAGCATGAGATTCAACTTCTGACAAAAATTGTAAATTAAAGAAGATCAACTTAAGGAATAATAAATGAATAAAAAGTTGATAAACACACACATGAAATATCAGCTATTACCCTTTGTCCTTTGATTGTTCTAATTTCAACATCTTTCTCCACATGCCATGATATAAAGGCTTTATCCACTCTAAAATTAGTAAAAAGTTTATACAATTTTGTGATTTAACCTTCTATTCTACAAGATTTGTCAAGTTAATTTTTTTTATTACTGTATACAAGGTTATTTTCGCCCCGTGTTATTTTCACCCTTTACACTTGCAAACAATTTTGCCCCATTTTAAATTCGCCCAGTCATAGTTCTGTTTAAGAAATTATACTGTTTCTTTGAATTCACCCCATTTTAAATTTGCCCACCTGTGAGTAGGGCAAAGGGGGCAAAAATAAAATGGGGGCGAAAATTTCCCTGTATACAGTAAGTAAATCTTGGGAAGCTCCAAAGAGGTACTCTCCTCCCCTTTTTTTCATCAAAGTTCAAGAAGGTTAAATATTTATAACACATTTTGTTTCTGACCCAGATTGATTATCCTGTCCTGTTCTAATATTAGCAGTGAGTCCAGATCTATTGCAATATGCTGCCATCTTATATGACTGAACGCTGGTAAGTACTTCTGACCTGGAGCTGATTCAAGAAAGCAGTCTGGTTCACCGGCTCCTGAAGTAAAAATTCAGATCATGAAATTCAATTTCATTATTTAATTATCACTTAATATGTATACAGCTTTTAAGGATTTGCTTAGACAAACTTCTGTCCAAGATTATGTGAAGAGAATTAGCTATGTTAAACACAAATATGTATACATGTATTAATTAACATGCGTGATAACTTACTTTTAAAAAATTCATCAATGAAGGAGAGCAATGACTTGTAGTCTCCACACCAAGTTGGATTCTCTTTCAGAAATATCCACTGAAAAATGTTTGACAGCAATCAATAACAAAGACAAATACCACTTACCTATTTGTTTATGTAAGTAAGAGTCATAAAATGAGTAGCCTTCTTACCCTTTTAAGTACTGAGTATACATCCATTTCTACCTGCATAACAAACAATCTAGGATCCCCTACTAAGTTTTTCATCATGTCAACACTGTGTATAGCAAATGATGAAAATAATTTGACAGAATGATACTGTGATTATAAGCTGAATAAAAATAGGTTATATCTAAATGTTTAATCTCATACAAAAAGAAGCAGAGCAAGGCTAGAAACCATTTAAATAATTTCATAATTCTACCAAATTAGGATTCTTAATAATTTTCACTGACTGAGGCACTGAGTTATTCATTATAAAAATAAACAATTTGCCTCAAGGAGTATCTTGTATCAAACAGTATCAACATTGTATTCATATTACATAAACTGTCAAAAACACACAGAATTCTGACCTGATCTGTTTGAAGAGGTCAAGGTCGGTTGAGGTCAGGATGTTGGTCAGGAGCCAGTTATAACATTCTGTCTTTAAGTTCTCCACATTATATCTACAGCAGGCTTCATGATAGCTACACACCGTGTCTCCACTGTAATTATATATACAGAAATTTTACACAAACTTGGAAAACTCTTTGTTTACATGTTAATCAGCTCTATTTTCCTTTGATAACATGTACAAGTCTATGACAGAACATGTGGAAGTGAGAGAAATTCAATTGAATCACTACAAAATCAAACGAAGTGGTAAGTGAAGCTTTCATGTGTGTGCTCAACACATGTTTGTTCTGTTCACTGAAATTCATATCAAGTTGATAAAGCTGACATGTACCTTATGGTGTTACTCATCAAAGTCAGGCACTGCTGCTTCAAACCATCCTACAAAAACCACACAATCATCACATTCTTGCAATAAAACTTTTTGATTTGATTTTACACTGTAGATAGATAAAAGATCAGCCCGACTTTGCTCAGACCCACCAGCTGTAGGAGAAATGCTGCTGCTAGGACCCCTATCACCTCCACAGGCTTGATAAACACATAATCTCTGTAGAGGGAACCAAAGGCTGTCTTCAGAGCTACAACAGTGTTTTAACTTCCATAAAATATAAACATTCCATAATCATATTCATGTAGAAATTTGGTTCAGTTTTTTTTTTTTTTTTTTTTTTTTTGAGAGGTAAGATAAATGCAAATTGTATACATGTATCATGAAATTTTACATTGAAGAAAGATGAATTATATCATCTGTGAACATTATATTATTTTTTCTAACCTGCAGTGTCTATGGCTGGGTCAGGGATCTGTAACTCTATTTCTGACAGCAATGACTCCCGCCAGGAACCATTGAACATGCAAGCAAAGTAAGGAGACTGAAAATAACATCAAATTACATACAAATCATACAAGCTTATTTCTAATTTTATGTCGACTTTTTAAAAATACTGCAACATTTATTTTCAGGAAAAGTAATCAAGGTTCTACAAGGATCCAAAAATAATGCAGTTGTGGAAATTGTTTAGTCTAAATTTTTAAACAAACAATGCTTTTTTTTCAAAACAAGATAGGTTATCATTCACTCAGTTATAATTAGCTGTAGTGTATTGTTGATGACTGTTTATATACATTTTAAACAACTCCTCACCTGAGAGAGATATATTTTGTGAAGTTTCCATTCTTGTCCAAGTGCGTATATTTTGATATCACTATTTTCTCCATCAAGAAATAATGTCTGATAAATGTACTTTGATGTTGATTTGAGTCGCTTTCTGTAATTATATGTATACATTACATGTAGTACAAAATAATTTCTATTATATATTTTATTTTCACAATAAGCACTCGCTGCTGGTACAATTCATTTCTTTTTTTCAACTTTTGACGATTTGATCAAAAAATTCTTCGTCAGTTTGGTCCAAATCTAGAGACTATTTGGTCTTTTGAACTGACTCAGTCAGAATTCTGCTTGCCCAAAATACAAAGGTTGATCTAAAATGTTACAGCTGCAGCTATAAAATTAATTTTTAAAATAATCGAAAGTTTTCAACAAAACTTTATATACCAAAACCTCTATCCATTTTGACTTTTGTCATTAAATTTCATTCAGTTATATGCAATACTTTAAACATTAAAATAAACACAACGTTGAGTCTGGTCTATCACCACATGCCACGAATGTACCAATGTTGTTACAATGTTTCTCTTCCATACTCATTTTGAATCTGATGATACATAAGATTAACCGATAAAGGAATGAATTTAGAAATAACATTTGGACAAATTTCAAATAATATTTAATATTATAATCCAAAAGAAGACAGTTTATAGCAAAATATTTTAGCAATAAAGATTATATAAAAAAAAGAAGCACGTAAGAGGTTAAAAAATATGCGGATGAACTGAAAAAGAGTGGCAAAAAGTAACTGACTTCATAATGATGTCAGTAAAATTCTTGCTTCACACTCGTGAAAATATCAAAAACCCTGTCCCGCTCGTGAAATAAATTCCATATCCAAACACAAAACATTGAATATACCCTATATATACATGATATACGTCCCTGGTCTAAATAAACATCTATAACTCATTAGCATTTACCATTCTAATTATAAATAATTTTTTTCACCTTTTCGGTGTATGAATGTCCGACAGTGGAGCTAAGCCAACTTCAAGTTCCGACTTTTCTGGAGAGGGGCTCTCTGACTGTCCCTCTACTTTCTCTTCACTGTCTGCTTTATCTGCTTCAATTTCAAGTTTTCTTTTGGTTCCTCTTTTACTATGTGCACTACCAGGATGTTTTGAAAACTTATTTGATAATGCAGAACTTAACTTGTTGCCCATGATCTGTCCAATATTATTCTTAACCAAATAATATAAAAAGTAAGAGTAAAGAACGCTAAAGTGTCAACATCCGGTTTGGAATTGGGTAAAAGTAGTTTTACAAGGGACGCATAAAAACGCTCACTATAAAAGTGCTACATTGAATTGCATACATTTTTAAAGTCGTTGCAAAGAAAAACTTTTGTATAATAATCAAAAGCAACAGAATCTACTTTTCATTTTATACAGCAAAACTGCACATATTCGTAAAGTCAAACTCAACAAGCGGCCACCCTTCAACCTCCACCCCCCACCCCCTACTATTTAATGTTCTCAAGTAAGTATTAAGAAAGAAAAAAAAAGAAAGGCATATATATAAAGTCTCGTAAAAGTAAATTCACATCTTCTGTCTTTGTGTGTGTGTGGGAGGGGGGGGGGTATTCTGCTGAATTAAGATGGTATCACTTTCTACAAAGGGTCATGCATTCACTTCTGTTGTTGCATCGCGCATATCACTATGATGTATAGAATATCATGCTGCTGTTTTGATCTCCACCCAGGTATCAGTCCGAGCGGTTGGTATCGGCGCAAGCCTGGAGGAAACGGTCCGAGACCATCCGAGGGCTGATACGAGGGACAAGATCAAAACAGTGGTGTGTTGTTGTTACAATGTATATCTAAAACCAAAGGCAATCAAAAAACAAATACAGTATTAATATATTTTTTCAAAAAAAGCTTTCTTAAATTTTGTCACATGAAATAAATTAAGAGTTATCTTTATTTTTGATGTTCATCAAGAAGGTAAAGGTGACTTGTCATGTAGAGAAAGAATTTGCCTGATTTGGTCATTAGAAAGACTAGTCCTAGTCAGTGTTTTGAAACTTATTCCATTTCAAAGCACATTAGATTACAAAGAAGCAAACAAACACCCATTTCTCTTCAAAGCGAGGTTTTGCATCCTCACAAGGTCGGGGTCCGTTTGACAACGGCAGCGTGTTGACTCAAGATCCCTGACGTACGTTTTCAGTAAACATGCATGAGCTACCTCTCTTAGTTACAAGTACTATCAGTTTTTAAAAACAATTTTCTTAATATTCTGGCATAAATAAATATTTTTTAAAGATTCAGATCTAATTTTAGTGTACAATTTGTTTTCTTTTAATATGAATTTGCTCTTAATTGACACAAATACAGAAATAATGGATTGAAATTTGAGGGCGAGACAGCCCTTGAAAACGGGCCGAGATAGAGATATCTCAGCCCTGAGGGCAAGACAGCCCTAGTTCTTATAGACGCTGTCTCACTCAGTCCAATACGCCTGTAACCGCTAGGGCTGATACATTTCTAGGTATAAGTTATGATACACATGTAAGCACGAGAAATAGTGCGTTTGTTTTAATTCATTATAATTAAATGCCTGCGCTAATGTTTAGCCATTAAGGTAGATATTTACTATTTAGATCTATAATGTTCAATAATTCAGAAGTGAAAAAAGAATTAGATAGACTACACGATCAGTATGTACTGGTCCCAGCTGACAAAGCAGGTAACACCATTGTCTTTGTTTGTAAGGCTCAGTATTTTAATTGTATTTTAGAAGATCTGGGATTTAATTCTACAAGTGGCAATTCAGCTTACACCCATAGCTCTCTTTCTAAGGAGGAAATTCTTCAAAGTCATATGTTAGTTTTGAATATTTTTAATATTGAATTTCCCAACAACCAAATTGAATTTGAATTACCATATTTATATTGGATTCCGAAACTTCATAAAAATCCTTACAAACAAAGATACATAGCAGGTTCCAGTAAATGTTCTACCAAGCCTCTTTCTTTACTGCTCACTAAAATGTTAACAGCAGTGAATGAGAATTTCAGGAGTACTGTGCAACAATATAATCGAGAAGTGGTGTAAATCAGATGTGGATACTTAAAATTAAATTCGAAGGAACTTTTGGAAAATTTGAAATCACAAAATCTACCAAAAAACTTACGACTTTTCAACTCTGTATACAACCATTCCCCAAGATAAATCAAAGTCAAGGCTTTTTGACACCATTAAAGCTGCCTTTTCAATAAAAATGGAACTCGTAAATTTACTTACCTTGTCATTGGTCGTTTGTAAAATTATTTTGTTAAAAACATTCTGATTGTACACACAAGTATACTCTGAAGTTGATATTAAAAAGATGCTTGAGTTTCTGATTGACAATATCTATGTGGTTTTTGGAGACCAGGTCTTCCTACAATCTGTTGGAGTTCCCATGGGTACCAATTGCCCCCCGTTGTAAGCAGACCTATTTTTGTATTCATATGAATCAGAATTTATTCAAAATCTTATACACGAGAAAAAGAAATCTCTTGCTGTGGCCTTCAACTCGACATTTAGATACATGTATATCGACGACGTAATATCAATTAACAATAGTTATTTCCATTCATATGTCGACAGGATATATCCCAGTAAGCTTGAAATAAAAGATACCACCAGTCTGACACATCTGTTTCATATTTGGATATTTTACTATAAACAGACGTTAATGGTAATCTAACAACAAAGCTTTATGATAACTTAAACTTTTCAATCGTCAACTTCCCTTACTTAGGCAGCAATATACCCTTATCACCTGCATATGGGGTGTATATCTCTCAGTTGATTCGACACGCAAGAGCATGCTCTACGTATGAACAATTTCTAAAACGAGGTAAGTTATTGACAAACAAGTTGATGAAACAAGAATATCAACAGTTTCGTTTAAAGTCATCATTTCGTAAGTTCTATGGTCGACACAATGACCTTGTTAGCAAATACAATCTATCATCAAGTCATATGCTGACTGACGTTTTTCATACTAATTGTTAGGCCATTATTTGAACACTGAATTGTCGATGGATTTTTACGTTATTTACCGATCATACAAGGGGCACACGGTGGGTGTGATCGGTCGGCAGGGGATGCTCACTCCTCCATGGCACTTGATCCAACCTCTGTTTCTGGAGGTCCGTGTTTGCTCTGCTCCCGATTTGAATTGTTTTAATGGACTTTGAGCTTGAATACTGTTCGCTGTCTCCAAACTTCATTTAATGTAATTGTACATAGATAACGAAACTGGGGTGACATGCCTCCATAATCTGATAATTATAGTCACTGTATTTCTGGATGCTGTAGCGAAATTGCTCAACCCCAACTCTGCGCACCAAAGCTTATCAGTCTGTTGTTCATATCCTGAAATATATTTATTGTCCACAATTGTGTAGCCAAGTAATAAGACTTGTCTGTGTTCACTGTTTATTGTAAACCAAAAGGCAGCAGTGATCTGACTAACAGCAAAGGATAGGATTAATTCCAAAAACAAGAAGTGTGCAGAGTAATAGTCTTCAGTGCACTTCAATCTGCAGCGTGATAACTAATGACATCAGCCTCAGTTTAAACCTTTCTCCGAAAAATGCGTTGATTCGATTATCCCATTGAACTTGCGAAATAAGAGACTACAGTGTCTGACATATCTGTTTTTATATTTGTATGTTTTACTATTGATGGCAAACTAACAACTAATCTTTATGATAAACTTGATGATTTCAACTTTTCTATCGGCAACTTCCCTTATTTATGTAGAAAAATACTATATGGGGTTTATTTCTCCCAGCTGATTCGATACACAACAGCATGTTCTACGTAAGATCAATTTCGAAAGAAACGCAGATTACTGACAAATAAGTTAGTGATACAAGGATATCAATGATCTCGTTTAACGTCAACATTTTGCAAATCCTATATTGTCAATACAATGACCTCGTTTGCATATACAGTCTATTGTCAAGTCGAATGTTGGCTGACGTCTTTCATAAAATGTTAGGCTATTATTTTCACATTGAATTCTCTACAGATTTTTTTACCCGATCATGACAAAGAGCACACGGCGGATATAACCGATCGAAAGGGGGTTATTCCTCCATGGCACCTAATCCTATCTCTTTTTTCAAAGGTCTGTGTTTGCTCTGCTTAAATTTTGTATTGTTTAATGGGACTTTTGACATGATTACTTTTCATTATCTTCACATTTCATACACATTTTTATTTCTTGTTATCACGTCTTTAGAAAAGCATACTGATATCTTTTCGTTTTAAAACGGCTTTTGATTGGCATTAAAAACTCTTTTATTTCGCGTTAAATAAAAATTACGCCTTTTTTGCTTTTATATATCCTTTCAACATGAATATGTGATGACGCCTTTTTATAAGGCCGTAATATCTCCTTTTAATTTCGCGTTATTACGCCTTTTGAAAGGCAAAATTTCTTAGCTTTTTTCATTGCATCTTTCTTTGCATTTATACGCAATTTATTTTTTGTTAAAACACCTTTTATAAGAGGTGTAAAACGCCTTTAACTACGTATAATTATGCCCTTTGAAGAGCATTATATAACGCCCTTTTCGTTTTATTATGCCTTTTCTTGCGTTAACTATGCTTTTTCACTTTGCGTTATTACGTTTTTCATTTTTTTCGTATCTGATTGTAAAAAAAAACAAAATAAGGTATTTTTTAAAGATGCAAGTTTCTTTTTGTATGACATTTACTTACTGTTGCTAAAATAGCCTAAAATGTCATATAGTTGAAATACTGTTCCAACAAATACTGTACAAAGCAGCCAGATTTCGAGCCTGTTGTACTTCGTTTTTAGGTATTTTTATGCCTCCGTAATCGAAGATTCTGCTGCATATAGTTTAGGTCTGTCTGTATGTCTCTCTGTTCGCAAAAACTTTAAAATCTTTGAATGGTCGTTGCTAAGGCTTTCATATTTCACGTGCGTTTCTTGTTGCAAGACCTTTTTGGGGGTACCCACATTTTTGACCTCTTGACTTTGGAGTTTGACCTACTGAAAAACTATAACCTTGCCCATAACTTTTGAACAATTACTGACAGGACTTATAAATTTACAACTCCTTTTGACTAGACCTTTCTTTGAGTACCAACATTTGACCTGAGTTTGGCATACCTTTGGAAAACATTTAACGTACCATAACTTCTGAAGGGTGGTGCTCGGGTTTTCATATTTCACATCTTTATTTCTTTTAGGTACCAACATTTTTTACCTTGGATTTTGATCTACTTTTGAAAAAATTAACCTTAGCCTTTAACTGCCATACGGGAACACCATTGTTTCACAAACACATTTCCTTGCATTTGTTATTGCGTAATGCGTATACCCCCGTTTCCCTTTAAGTTTTCGCTTTCTGATCCCTTATTTTGAGATATAAAAATTAATTTTCCACCTAAGCACCTGTAATTTTAACCACACAGTAAAATCTCCTTCATTTGCAATAAAAGCTATTGTATTATTAATTGGTTAAATTGTTGGTTTTGAGATGAACAATCTACTTTTAGTCATTTTAACCGTGATACTCAGCAGAGCAAATGGAATTTATTGGAGCATCTTTGGGTATTCTTGTACCCTTTAATATCTATTATCTCTAATAGCATTCATTTCCTCCCCTGACATGGACATGGTGTTGGTTTTAAAAGTTTCGCCTGGCAATTCCCAGTATCGGTAGTCTTAGGTTTTATTTTTAGTGTTTCCAGAATAATCACAACAGATATTAAGATCAAATTATTTTGTGGTCCGAATATAGTGTCAGCATATACACTTACTGTTGTGGACCATGGCATTCTGGCAAGACCATCAGAGTGTTTGAGTTTCAGTAAAGGTCGGATATCTTTTAAAAACATATTAGCTGCTCTTTATTTCACATTTAATCTTAATTCATCATTCAATCAAACACCACGATTTGCTAAATATCTGTTCAAAAGCATATTTCAGGAGCAGTGGGTCTGCTAAATGTGGACAAACCAACCATAATAAATCTGTATCTACTATCTTGATAGGTAAACCACAAGAATCTTAAGTTTTGTGCATATCAAAATTATTTGACATCGTTAACTTTGGTAATTTCAAATAATTTAAAAATTGTAAAACGTCACAAATTAAGGCCACTGTGGCAATTAATATACGGATGCTTTTTTACAGGCGTCATTGAAGGAGGAAAAGAGATGGTTTTCTTCGATAGAGAAGGTTATGGAAAGAAAAGGCAAGTGGTTTTAAATTTGTGCAATTTACTGCAGTTACATTAAAAATTATGTTTACAAATAGTTATAAGACGACCAAAATGATTGAGTTTTTCCTGCGTAATTCATTACATGTATACGTAGAGTTATGCAGAATTGCATTCTGAAGCTGAAAGATTATAGTTTTTTTCTTCAAATAAATGAAGCATTCTGAAAAAAAAATCTTCCATTTCATTGCACGTTATTTTTTTTTTTATATTTTAGTTTATATATTTATTAATTCATTGACATAATGTCCACTGAATTGCAGTATCTTTGTGAAGACATCTACGGAATAAGAAAAGAATTCTATTTAATAAAGATCACTCGCCCCACCTATTCAATATCACCTGTCAGTTCTCATGTAATTTCTGTAGTATTCAGTAAAGTATTCGTCTTTTGAATGATGAAATATGACTTTTATTGCATATCAGGTAAATATTAAAGGATTAATCACAAATTATTACCCAAACTGAATACCAGCTATAACACATAGGGTAGACCACAAACATTAATAATTTGTCACAGGCAAAAAAATCTTGTATTATGAAACCTTTCACAAAGGAGGCAATTTCCTTCCTCAAACTGACGCAATTATTTTGCTGGAATGGTTTTAAATAAACTGCACCTTTTGGAAAATTATACGGTTTTAAATTCATGTCACTTGAGAAGATCGCAAGTACTTGATAACTTTCTTACTTGAGAAAACTTTTTGTCCAAAATTTATTTGCTTTACTACAATTTTAAGAGCTTTTCAAATAAAAGTATACCCCCCTCCACCTAAAAATAATCAATCATAAAAGGTTCAACATAAAAATGCATGTAACTAAAATCCCCCTTCTCTCTCTAATATGGAAATATGATTTTATTAATCAATAATTTCGATACCTGTATTTGATATTGATTTGTATGTTTTAATAGTTTCTGTATTAATCTAGAAATTAGCTTTTTGTTGAAGTTCACAAACATAAAATTAGCTTTATTTCTAATATCCATCAAAATTGTCCAGTGCACTTGCAGTTGTTAACATTATACATGATGTACTGAGTATGAGTGATCTTTTTATTTCCAAAAATAGCTTCTTTTTTTAAAGTTAAATTTAATTATTTTGATATAAAATATTTGTCAGTAAAAAGTTCCTTCTGATAAATATCTTTTGCATATTTAAACTAAGTAGTATTCAATTGTATGAAACCTGAATAGTGCAGGAATACCATCCTCACGAACTAACATGTATATGACTTAACAAAAACACAGTGTATGAAACCCTTTAATGGTCACATTCCCTTAGTTATTCATCTAAGTACATTAAATACATCAGAATATTTGAGTCTTTTTCTAATATTAGGTGCAAAAATTGATTGAGGATACGCATCGTATTCAAAAATATCGAAATCGCTTTTCAGGATTTGGACAAGTTTCACTAGTTTATCTATAGCTACCGTCCTGTATATATCCATGAAAAAGCCTTCCTTTTGTACCTTCATGTTCTCTTTTGAGGTAGATCTTCCTTTAGCTTCCTTCATAGCTCTGATCAGCTGTATAGGCTTCAGATACAGAGACTGTTTCTCACTAAATGGGTAATTTTGATCGATACCAATCAGTCCTTTGATTTGCATGTGTCGCCAAGATCTGAGGTAAGCTTCATGCATTGATAAACACTTGACAATTTCTTCTCGTCTTTCCTCTAACGATGTGGCGACATCGATGAAAGTGTCATATCCGGCCTCTTCTTCTAAATCATTGATATCAAACTTAGAAATATTTAATGTCCTCATAATGAATGTAAAGTCCTCTTTGAAAGTTTCCATTTTGCCAATAAAATCATACTGTAATTGGCACGGCTTACATAAATCGTACATTGCCATAAAATGTGGATCCCTCCTTCGATAAGTTGTACTCTCTGCTTCTATGACATATTGAATGAATTCGTCAAAACTGATATTATGGTAACATTTTGTAGGGGGTTTCACTGTTTTAGATAATTGTGCGACTTGGTCTAACCGCATCGCTCTAGTACTTTGTTTTATAGGAACCCGAATCTCTTTTCCAATCACACCCCAGTAAAATGGATTAGCTGTATATATCTTATCCAAATAACCAGACAGAAGCCTTTTGAATGGATTTCTAACGAACATAAATACGATATGAGTTCGTAGTTTTGCTAACATACGAAATAAATCTTCCCTGAATAGTGACTGTGACTTTTTGTTGACATTAAGTGGCTTGATTTGGTATGGATTGTCTAGGTTAGTGGAATCCAGAACTTGAAGTACCCTTCTCCAGAAAGTGGTCCCAGCTTTCTCTATGCTGCAGTATATCAGTTTGTGTGACTTGCTCATTTGAAAGTGGTTTTGTATGGTGCGATCTGGTTCACGACCAATAATGAACTCTTTACCTCGGCAGGCTTTGTTGTATTGTTTAAGTCTTTGATTTACATAGGGTTCCGAAAGGACAGCTGTTTGCATCTAGAGAGTATAAACCAGATTTATAATTGACACGCACTGTACAATATTCAGTACATTAGGTAACACTTTGTTATTGTAATTCATGCTAATTTTTTCAATATTTATATTTCTGATTGTCAACTTTGAAAGATAATTAGGGTTTCTTTATTCATTAGATTTATTAATAGAACTACACTTGAGGAATCAGAATAAGAGTTTTTGTGCCTTACTAGAAGTTTTGGTGACTGTGTGTGGTACGATGAGATGTTATTTCTATTGTCAGGTGTTAGATCCACAAAAAGTTCTGATAGGTTTGTCGGATATAAAGACAACTCCTGCCAAACCACGTCAGCCTGTGATCCCCTCAAGCTATTCAAAGAGGAAAACTCTGTAAAGAATATTTTCATTATTTAAAATAAGTGAAAGTATATTACAAATGTTAACAACAATTAAGTCATTCAACTCTTAAGAGCAATCTATCATGAAGCCAGCCATACGTTATTATGACAGTGCGATGATGACATAGAATTAATTTTGTCATGGAAGCACACTACGTATTTTGAGTTAATTTATCAAGACAAATATACTCCCAAATCTCATTCCACCGAAGAAGAAAGTTTAGATACATTGTAATTATCTTGAATACTTTTGTGTCACCTCCCCAGCTTTTTGTTAGTGTACTAACGGATGAAAAATAAAGATAGATACACAATTACATATCATAATAAAGGATACTAAGGATGTTTGGGTATTACATCCTGGGTTATCTAGATATTGAATGCAAGGGTTCGTGAGTCAGTACAGACTTTGTATACCTGCTCTGAACCGCAATAATCACCACGGCAAAGATTGAAATAGAGATAGAGTATTTAAAATTATCGTTCAAGTAACTGGCAATATACTAGTATTCGACACACAAGCGCTTTTAATTACTCAAGGTGTACAAATAAGACACAGAAATAGTATAGAATAATATGTTTGAGTTAATTATACCAGAGAAATTAAGGGAATTTAAATATATACATATATATTGTATAGAATTCATATATAAGCTTAAAAAATTTTATTTTTAGAGTTTCTAGTATTTATAGATTACACATCTAATTTATTTCTTTCTAAAAATATTAATTTGTCATTGGACAATAAACGATGGTAAATAAAAGTAATTTAATAAATTCAGAAATAAAGTAGCCTCTTACCTTGGTATTGTACGAGTCCAAATAACACGAGAAACAGGCAACCGATTATTGCCAGATTCTCTTTGGAGACCCGTCTTTTTCGGCAAAACATCTTCCTCTTGACACTAAGTGTTACTCAGAATCAGATTGTTTCGCAGTACCGTAAACCGAGAACATTTTGGATTAAAAATTTCACCTCATTTACATTCGTTCAGCCATACTAATTAGGTAACAACAGAACCGGACATATTCCGCTTTTTTAAATGCCGTCAATCAAAGATCCTAAATTCTTTTTATCGTCCGTGACACTTGTATAACATGTCATTTTAAGCGGGCTGAATGACAAATGATCATAGAATACTTAGAGTAAAATTTTAGTTTACAATTATTTCAATGCTAGAAAAAAGGCTTTCCATATATGCTATAAAAATAAAAAAATATGTATCAGACACAGTATTACCAGTATTTTTCGTAGGAAGAGATGCATAATCATTTTTTTTTTCTCTGTTGTGCATTAAGAGCTATTCTCTGTAACCATTTACAATTTTTGCTATTCTCTGTAAGCATTTACAATTTTGTAATAGGGTGATATTTTCAATATATTTATGATTAATAAATGATACTAAAAGTATATTGTGTTTCTTGTTGTTTTATAATTATTTCACTTGATCATCATCTACATCATCATCATTTTGTATATATTTAGTTGAAACACAATTGGATACACATTCCTGTATTGCCCTATTCTCCCTTGGTTCTTTTATTGTGCTATTCATTGATCATTAGTTGACTTCTTCAATTAATGACTTTTTGGTATTTAATGCCTATGGCTATTTTACCTAGGTGGTCATTTTCAGACATGTGATACATGTCATGTGGTTTGAAGAACCAATAGATTTACTTTATATATTTTCCCGCTTTTGGTGAACTGATTAGAAAGGTTATTTTTAAGATAAGAAAGGAGAGAAAGCAACTTTCTATCATCCATGAGTAAATTCAATTGATTTGATCATCAAGTTTATTTCTTTTACTTTTATCATTCGACCTTAGTAATTTATAAATATCAGTTATCAATTTCATTGATGGGATCTGATTATTGATTCTGAAGTTATATAGTTTTAAACTGCCTTTGTTCATTTCTAATTTGTTAAAATCGGTGGGAAAAACACTTTTGATAGTAGTTTTCTGGCAAAATATAAGACGTTTTTATGAAATTTTGCGATGCAAGAGTTATCTCCCGTGGCATCGGTAAATCTGCTCAACACCTTTTTATCGGAATCCTAGTGAAATATTTAGAATCGATACACTAAAGAAAATAATTAAACAAAAAGCTAAATAATTTATTTTCAAAATATAATTCATTTTCGCCTCCAGACGTAATATTTAGATTAAAATTGGCTCTAGTATTCAGGTTGAATCCACGTTTCCATTGATGTATCAGTGACGTCATATACCTAATATTGCGTCACAATGAAATAGTTACAAGTTTCCAGAGCAGTTTGTGAATTCTTTGCGTTAAAGTGTAAAGAAAAAGATTTTTTTAAAAAATGATTTCTCTTTTTCTGTTTAATTACTCCTCAGAGTGCATTATTCTTAATGCTAAATAATATTTTAATATCAAAATGTATTTTATACACGGGCGGCGTCTCAGCTAGATGACGTTTTGATAAGTAATTTTATACATGTCTGAGAACTAATTTTTTTAACTGATTTACTAGGATATGCGTAAAAATAATTAATGAAGTGTTTATCATGAACATTTCTTATAAAATTGGGAATCAATGATGAATGTTTTAGATTTGCGCAACACTTAATTCAACGAAGTTGAGATGTTTACTTCATGATATTTGTAAAAACTTAAATATATTTATCTATGCAGTCAAATCAAAATAAACAAACCGAAGTACGATTAAAAATGAAAAAAAAAAAACCCTGAAAAATAAGTTATAAAAATATATTCATTGAGTTAAACTACTGCTGAACTCCCCACTATAATTTGGCACTAAAACGGAAGATGGTTTAATGAAACATTTCGTGTTTTTTTTTTTATTTTACTTATTTATTTTTTTAATTTGGCGATTGAAACAATCACACACTCACATTTAATATGGAGTTTAAACATGTGACTATGTTGGCCAATTCTAAAATGTTTTCACGTTCATGAAACCAATTTTTAAAAATAATGATGTCATGAGACCCCCCCCCCCCCCCCCCCCCCGCTTTTTGCTTGCGATTTATCGGCTCTTGAATAATGATACCAATATGAAAGAGCTTATTTTCTTATTTATATAAAATCAAATTTTGTAAAAGAGGAAAAGGTTTTACAGATGACAGGTAAGAAAAAACTTGGATAAAGTCGAGACTGTACACATAAAAATATTTCCTATATTTAGGCAAGTTTAATTTCGCCACTGATAGAATTTACTCTTTAATTCCTGAGGAAATAAAAAAGAAATTTTACTTGGAAATAAGATAAATAATAAAGCTAGGAAGCTGTCTGCTCTCATTTGTTGCATAATGCATGTACAAATACTTTTTTATACCGAGTATCTATTAAGAATTCAATCAGATGTTTTACATGTAATCTTCATGTACGTAAAAGACATCAGTAATTTAAATAATATATATATTTGAATCTATGGTTACACTCATTTAAAAACAGTTAACTGACTGAAAAGAAATAAAAGACAAGCATATTTTTCTGATAAATTAAAATGAAGAGCCAAATTTAGGAAATGTTTCTAAATTTACAGTAAAAACCGATCCCGATCCGATCGAAAATGATGCAAAATTAACAAATTTATCAAACTAAAGGCACCTGCCACCTATATAACATGTTAAAAAAAATAAATCAAGTAAGTTTTTACTCATATTACAACAATAGAGCCAAATTTAACATTACAATTATAGTATTTTTTTCTTTATATAATTCCGGTCGGGATCGGTTTCATTTGGGAAAATTATTTAAAAAAAAAGAAAAAAAAAAGATAAATTTGACTCCTTTTATTTCTTTCAATATACCTGTTCCCACTGATTTTATTGAGTGATTCAAAAGTTTGTACTTTGTATTCATAATAAAATAAGAAAAAAAATCTGTCCTTGTAATGTATTGGGTTTTATAACGTAATGAAAATTGGATACTGAATTCAAAAAGTTACTTGCTTAACTCAAATTTGGACGATATAATTATTTCTAAAGAAGTATAAATTGGAGTGTTATTCAATAATAAAATAAAAGATAAGAGTCTATGCTATAAATAATATTCATCGACACATCCAGCTTTTGAGTATCTGTTACATATAAAACAAAATAAAAACGTAGTAATTTTTTTTACCCTTATGTTGACCTTTTTGCACTTAAAATTAAGCATTTACTAAAAATAGGACTAGAGGAGCACTAATTTTTTTTTAAATGTTGTCATGTGTAAACACTTGCTTTAATAAGTCTACATGCAAAAAATAATTAAAATCCATGATATGCGATGTGCCACCCATTGCCTGGTTTTTCGGTGGACTGCCTCTTAAATTATTATTTACAGTTGATATGTAGTATACCCGAGACTTGATTCAGGCAGCTTATTGAGTTTAAGCCTTGTTCCATAAACAGGTGATTAATTGATAAGCATATGAAATATAATACTTTTATCATAGATAAATGTAATGTAAAATAGTTGCATTGAAATGTATATATTTATGGAGTAATATTGTATATGCATAATATTCATTATCAGAATTAATGTTTTTAATATATTTTTAATGCAGTCAAGGGAAATAACTTGTAAAGTACTTTAAACTTTAAGAAGATAGCAAGAGTTATCCTTCTTGTATTATACATATTCCCTTGCAAGTTTATTGTTGATTTTTTATGCTCAATATTGTTTATTCATATTACAGGGCTTAAAACTATAACTACAACAATTATATTATCATTGTGTCCATCCATATCAACACTGAAGTATTTAATAATAAACGATGAACCCATAAGTGGTGTTATTCTTCACTAAAGGCCACTACTACATTTTATTTGGCATACAAGGTTACCAATTCGATGAAACTTTGGCCATTATTACATGTATAACATAGCCTCCTTCGGGCGTTATAGGATTTCATCACACATATATCCCAATGAAACTCTAAAAATGATATCTTATTTCTTAAACACCAGAAACACATCTCAAATGAAATTTGGATGCTGTGTGTCTTAGTTTCAATGGTTACAGCTGAAAAAGTTTGAAAATTTGAGATTTTCAGTTACTTTGAATCTTTATCGAGCCTAAATAAAGACTTAGAAGATCAAACAAACCGCTCTCACAAAAATATTGCATCTTGTTGCAACTTATACTACAAAGAAACTATTTATAATATATCTCTAAGTAAGTGGTAATCATGGGTATATTTGGAATACACTTTAAATGCTGAAAAACGTACGCCAATTTATTCACTAATCATAGCTGTTATATGAACCAACTCAGTCAGCAACACACTGTCAAGAAAAACAATAAAAAATATTTAACCTTCAGAAATAATGTATTTGCAATTATTCTAAAATCATTTTACATGGTTGCCATGGTAACACAGTGTAGCCATACAAAATATATTGCTAATTTTTGTTTTTAATCTTCTTAACGAAAAATAACTTGAAAATTCAAGACTGGTAGATATACATCGTCAGGACTTTGTAACACAGCATAAGAAATATTGGAATTATTTGCTATGTTGTAGTATAACCATGGAAACGAAGTACCAGTGATTTAAAGAGATAACTTTTTTGCTGTTTAAGGAATTTATTTATCTTTTATTAAAAACATAGTAATCAGAGATTACAAAGCTCATTTCAGCAAATGTTGTCTTTAAGTAAGGCAAAGTCCCACACTATACTTATAATCTAGTAATGTGCATCCCTAGCTGCAACATTTATGCAATTTTAGTCTGATAGGGCTTGCAGTTACGTGGGAATGGACTTATCTAAAAACTTTAAACTAGTCATTTAGTCCGAAAATGTAAGTCAAATCCAGCATCTGGAGCAAGTTTGAGAGTGTTCATCCCTTCAAGCATAATCCATGCAAGTTTGGTTCGGATCAGCCTTATAGGTTTTGGTAATGGACCTGCTTCAAAAACTTTAACTGCTCACTCATCTGGAAAATGCAGGTCAAGTCCAGTTGTGTGTATCCTTAGATGCATCATCTGTGCAAGTTTGGTCAACGTAGGGCTTATATAGTTACTCTAGAATGACACTGCTTCAAAAACTTAAACCTGGACATTTATCTGGAAAATGTAGGTCAGATCCAGCATCCGAAACAACCCTCGTAGTGTGCACCCTTAAATGTATCATCCATGCAAGTTTGGTCTAGGTAGGGCAGATAGTTAATTTAGAAGGAACCTGCAACAAAAACTTTGACCTGGTCACTCATCCGGAAAATATACACCAGATCCAGCATCCGAAGCAAGTGCAGTTGTGTGCATCCTTAGATTTGCATCCTTAGATTGTGCAAGTTTGGTCAACCTAGGGCTTATATAGTTACTTTAGAATGAAACTGCTCCAAAAACCTAAACCTGGACATTTATCTGAAAAATGTAGGTCAGATCCAGCATCCTGGTAGTAGATATCCTTGGATGTATCATCTATGCAAGTTTGATCAATATATGGCTTATAGTTACTTGGAAATGAGTCCTGTTCCCAAAACTCTAACCCTGCACCAAAAATTTTTAATCTGCTCCAAGAACATTAACTTGATCGTTCTTTAGCTGAAATTTGCATCACCTGAAACCTTGACTGATACAATGAAACATACTAGAAGCATCTTCCACACATTTCTGATTTATGTAGGGCAAAGAAGTATTTGAAAAGAAATCTGCTCTAAAAATTTTAATCTGGGATGCTGACGCCGAGGGTATTACAAAAGCTCCCCCCAACTTCGTTGATATGAGCCAAAACATATTATTCGACTCACGTTGAATTGTACTTATCTAAAGATAAAACTAAAGCTGAATATCATATATTTATAAAGTTTGATGAAGAAAATAGCACTGTTGCTATGGTTACAGATTCAGATGCTGGAAGTTATTTTAACTTAACAAAAATTTCCTTTTTTGAAAAGGACAGAAGGTAGATAAACAAACAGCTTCGATGACATAACACAAGTTTTCCGGTAACCTTTGAAAGCATTTTTTATATTACCCCTGCAGGCATATGATATCCGACATACACCACAGTTTATGTATTCAAAGAAATTCGTGACTTTGTCTCTGCTGCTTCTGTAGCATCCATAATGAATTCTTGGCATCATAACGTATCAAGGTAGAGGAGTGCCGGGAGTATGCAAATTCACACGTGACAAGTCATAAAATGTATGCATAAATACAAAACATAAATGACATTGAAAATTTATTCTGCCATGTTAAGATCCATACATATATTATGTCAAATGTCTAAAACATATCTGGCACGTACTCTGGCTTCTTATATAATTGTAATATATCTGGGTTAGATAATAGCCTGACTTCTACAACGACAGAAAAAGGACCTGCACGTATCCCGAAATTTCTTGTTAAACAAAATGTAAACCCAAAAGTTACTTAGGTAATTCATAAAGCGCAATACGTACAAAGCAAATATCAATTGATAGCCATTTTCCAATATAAAATTTAATGGCTGCTTGGTAACTACCATATAATATTGCAAACAAAAGAAAACAGAAAATGGTATTTCAGATATTAAATGCACAATTGTGAGAGCAGTGACAATTTTTACAGATCGTTTTGATGCTGGTGTGGGACTGAAATCATAACTTCTTTTTGATAGTTTGTAACAGAAGTATGTGCTTGTACACAGCAAGACAACAACAGGTATGACATGGACACAAATTGATCGAATCAGTAGATCATCCCTCTGCAAAAACATTTGAAAATTTTTATCCTTGATACTCTTTATAGCACAATAGAAACTTCCGGTCTCTTTCAATTTTCTAGGATACAATTTTGCAGCGATATCATAATTGTCCGTGAGATACCGGGGGACATTGTATAAGAGAGTTATAAGGTATATCGTCATTGTTCCCATCAACAATCTTCTGGATGTCGTGTAAAGCTTGGCCTTCAGCGGAAAACGGACCAAAATAAATTTTACGATGCCAAGAAACATCATCAACCAAATGGATGTCATGTTGAATGTGATGGACAAGTTCGTTCCATATTTGTAAGTAATACATAAAAAATGAATCTGAAATTCACTTTGTGGGTCCACAGAATGAATGTGTAATGTCAGAGCGAACAAATATGAAACTAAGAGCAATACTACGGACGCCATGTCTGAAAGAGCCATGCCGATCAGAATCAAATTAACACCGCCAAACCATTTTCTCCTGAAGAACACGACAAGAATGAACAGATTTGTCACAACCAACATCAGTTGTAAAATAGCAGGGATCAAATTTAGGTAAATTTGGTGATCCTTTGGGAACCAGCTAAACCGTGCGTAATACGTGGCATACTCCATGTCTGGCTTTTACAAGATTATCAATTCATTTAAAAATCGCAACAATTAATGGACCATATAAAGAAAGAGCGTATAATTACTAACATCACCTATTCAGTCATTGCTTAAAACCGAGTGTTCAATAGAGAATAAAGTTAATTAATTATCAAATTCGACCATAAATGACCAGAGGTCAGGCAAAATGAACAATAAAAATCGGTAAGAGCCGTGCAATTTACTTCGTCCACAGTAGTATCTATGTTCATTACGGACCGTTAGGAATTGTTCCCATAACGATATGCACTATTAAAGAATTGTGTCTCTGATATGTATCAGACTATTACTAAAATGATTATAGTCTTGGCTATTTCAGAAAATACTTAGCGCAAATTAAAAAGCAATTTTGAAATGTTCAAAGAAGAAAAAACTATATGCTCCCCTCACTTCATACCCAGTAGGTACATGTAGCCAAGAAGCCACAATAATTACGAAATTTTATAACTTACATAAATATTGTAGAAAAATTACGTTTTCGTCCCTTTCTGGGTCCACAGTATGAAAATTCCAAAATCTTGTTTCACATCTCCAGGACACCACATCTTCAAAAATATAATTAAGCTACTGCTTAATAAAATTCTGAAACGTCATTGCACATGTACAGGACACGCCTATCAGATTCAATGCGATGAGGCGCTACTGTGCACTTAAAATGTAAGAGTTGTTAGATGTAGAACCACGTTTTTTTGTAAAGAAAACGTTGACCCCCTCCCTCCTTGTCCCCCCGGGTGCATATGAAAATTCTGAAACCTTATTGCACATCTAGAGACACTACCAAAATTAAACGATTTGGGTACTGCTTTAAAATGTTAGATATAGAGGAGTTCTACAAGACTTTTTTTGTCATTTTTAACTTTCTAAAGACACTTCAGGTATATGTTGTTATACTGGTTCGTCCGTCTGTCATTCAAATTCCTCTTACACTTTCAGCAGTAGCCAATTTATGTTCTGAAATGTGTTTGGTGGAATAATAATCATAAATGTGCATCAAGGCTTTTTATTTTATATGCATGTATTATAAACGAGGCTCCCAGAACTCGTCTTACGGTTTATGCAGCAGCCAAATCATTCTTTGGGTATCATTGTTCATGTCCTGTTGTATCCAATAAGGTTTCCTCCTTGTGACCAACTGATAGCTCAAAATGGACATCATTTTTCTACGGAAACCTGGTGCCCAGAACTGCTCTTACAATTTACACAGTAGCTAAATCTTCGTTTGAAATATTATTGTCGGTTTCCTGTGCAACAAAATTTCGGAATTATTTTCACGTTTTCAAAATAAAACCCTGGTTTCCACAACTCCTCTTAAAATTTGCTTAAACTAAATCATCCTTTTGAATAGTTTTCCTGTGGATGTGCAATAAGGTTTGGGAATTTAAATTATCACCCAGGAGACCAATTGGGGGGCGGAAAATTTAAAGCACACTTTTCCAAAACTTCCTTTTAAACAGTAGATTCTTCAATTCAAGACACTAACATGAGGCTTGGATAACATGCCCACAGTATTTCAAACTTAGAAAGATCAGTATTAATTTGTGTAAATTATAGAATAACTATCGTGGCTTCTTCACTAGTTACTCAGGTTAATATATAACGCCATTCAAAGTTGTTGTTTTTTTCTAAGTTTAGCGTCCGCGTGCACTTTGGTTTTTGACACCCCATATCAGAAAACCTACAAAATCAGGAACCCTGAAATTGATTATTTTGGTCGGAATCTTTGAATTCTGTCAATTTCTCTGTATATTTGTGTAGAATATATCATATAAGGTATATTGTAAGCAATTAATACATTGATTATGCTGAAGAATAGTTCTTTCTACAAGAAAATTAGATTAATGAAATCAAATTCCTTTTTATGACTATCAAGTCTGTATTTTATTTTTTTGTGTGTTTTTTGCGAAAAGGTAGGTAGGTTTCTGAAAGATGGGTGGATGCTAAACAAAGAAAAAACTTGGAATTCACGGCATTATATAATATTACCCATTTTAAATGCATATATATGCTGATCGTATATGAATCAGGTAATACTTGTTTGATTTTCCCGATGTCTGATATGTTCAGCTGTCCTAAGGATGCTATCACCCTTAACAATTAAGTTTCTTTCTAAATGGTATCTAAGAGCTTTTGCTATATACTTCATACTTGTAAAGGTTTCGGTGAGTAGATAACTTGGTAACGTTCTTTGACCTCTGTCGTCCACATTCACTGGAGCAGGACATCCATAATGTTCAAGTTTTGCTCGAAATTCTAATTTTTCCTGTCCAGTTTTCTCTCTTTTGAGGTTTTCATGAACTCGTCTACAGATTAAGCATTCAAAGCCCTCGAAAAAATTTATACCCTCGATGTTATCGGAGTAATCATAAACCCACTCCCTGTCTCTCAGAAGTGATAATAAATACCCATTACTTATCCCCGATTTCTTCCATTCGAAGTATTGTTCATATTCTTCGTCGTTCTTGTCTAGGTATTTGAGGTATTTAGCGAGATCTTCTACAGATTCATAGTCATCCACAATAATGGCCGACCTATTGGATGGGAGCAAGTCCTATATAGCAAAGAAAACACATAATAGAATAGCGTTAACATCATATAAGTCAAATCCAGGCAAAATTAATTGTCTTTCTTCTAGAGATATACTATATATAATGTTATCATTTGACTGTAGAATTAAGATTTATACACAGATTCTATACATAACTCACTTATGCATCCAAATTCTAGTAATTTCCTTATAATGGTAGTCAAAGGCAAATTTTCTTTTGAAAGAAGACGAAGCAATTCACATGTGGAATCACTTTAGAGTCCGTACTTTTACTTTTGGCGACCCCATCACAATGGGAATAGTTCCGACATGTAGTGGCCTCCACAGCTTCTCCGTCACGTAGGCAACACAGAGAGCGTTCTCAATGGCCACAGCAAACTTGTACTTCGAGATCAACTTGTAAAAATCTTCATGGAACATCCCTTCTATCGAATCTCTAAGACTGTTAAAGATATAATGTGATAATCTTTACGGAATCTAAAGGAATTTTATTAACTAATTCTGGTGTGTGTTCTTTTGTAAAAAAGAAAAAAAAAATATGTTGAGTTTTGTGTCTGATCTGTGTTTATCATGCGCAAATTAACATTTATCAGCTAAGACGAAACATTATTAAAGTATATTGCATGAATACTGATTCATTTTGAAATGGTTTTCTACGTTTTGTTTTCTGGACTGTTCATCACCTGAATAAGATATATGCATACATACACTATAGTATACTGAAATTTACTTACTGTTTTGGCAAATCCCTGTTATGTAGACATAATCCATACGAGTCGACTGGTATGTATTCCATCAGTCTTCTAATGTATCCGTCTCTGTCTGAGGCTGTAGCACATGCACTGTTTGTAAAAATCACGGGAGCTAACTTTAAATCTTCGGCTTGTTGTCTTTTCTCCTTTACAGACAGCAGGTGCTTTGTACTGGTGAGCCATTCGCTACTCTCCAGGAACTGGGTAACCAGAGGATAGTCTGATTCCCGCCGAAATGTGCTGGTGTGATTGAACAAAGACATTACTTCCTCAAATGAAAAAAGATAATTGTTTTTCGGAGATTCATCGTGAAGCAGAGCCCATTCATGGTGAGGTTCTCTAGGCAGCGGAAGATCGTCATACTGAAATGCTGACCCGTAAAACATGAATACCTGGGGTAAGAAAAAAATTAAATGTTGAATTTATCTGCATATAATTTCCTCGATAAATATATTATTATAAATATATTAGCTACTAATGCTTTCCAGATTTATATTGAACCTTTGTGCATATTTTTTTCAAAGGGGACATGGAATTTCAACTAGACGATTTTCGAATAACAGCCGCTCAGGTAAAGAGTTATGAATCTGAATATAATTACAAGATACATGTACTTCATTGTCACGAGCCACGGGTTTAATCCCCTTCTGTTCTTTCGGTAGGACACAGACTTAAATCCGTTACCCTTCCTTCTGTAGGACACGGGTTTGGATCTGCTAGCATTCTCTGTTGCACACGGCCTTAAATTCGCCACCATTCCTTCTGTAAGTCACACCAGTCTTTAATCCGTTACTGCTCCTTCTGTAGGACACGGGTTTGGATCCCCTAGCACTCTCTGTAGTACATGGGCTTTAATCCGCCACCGTTCATTCTGTAGAACATGAGGTTTAGTCAGCTACCGTTCCTTATAAAGAACATTGACTTAAATAAGTCACCGTTCCTTCTGTAGGCGTCTGCTGCCTTGATTCTGTAGCATAAGGCTTTTAATCCCCTACTGTTGCTTCTGTTGGAATCCGCTACCTTGATTCTGTAGCACAAGGCTTTTAATCCCCTACTTTTCCTTCTGTAGGAATTCGCTGCCTTGACTCTGTAACACAATTAAGGCTTTTAATCCCCTTATTGTTCCTTATGAAGACCACGGCCTTTAATTTGCTACCGTTACTGCTGAGGCACATCGGTCTTTCCATTGCAGCACACTGGTTTGGTTTTAAGGACAGATGATACAAACAAAAGAAATGGATGCCTGGATATTTGTAATTATTTTTGGACCAATTTGATTGTAAGTAATAAATTTATAAAATATTATGAATTTGTAAACTTTCTATGTAAACTTCACTGAAACACCAGAACAAGTTCTGATATAATTTTTGCTTCACAAACTCCCATGCTCTTTGTCAGGAGTGCAACAAAATGTTAGAATTACTGCTGATCAAATATGAATAGATATAAAGAAAAAATTGATTAGTAAAATGTTTATGGTTGACCTCAGTTGCTTACAGTGTTTTCCTGTGAAGGAAAATATACTATAAAATATATTTTATCTTCTCAAAAAATAGTTTAGCTAACTTTTTGACATAAATAGGGAATTATTCAAGATATAAAGCCAAGTTTAAGTACTTTCGTGTGTTTAAATTATGAAGTATTGAACTATAAATATTGCACAATTTCGTTACCACTTGATGTTGCCAACACTTTATGAATTTTTTGTTCTGTGGTTTTTAATTTTTAATTTTACTGCAGTCAGGAGTTCAACAAAATCAGTGATCTTCATCTATCTTTACTAAAAAATAAATTGAAAAAAAATGTTTGATACTATATGATGTTCAAAACAAAATGTTTATCAACATTTTATAGTCATTTCGGAGAGTATTTTTCATGACGTAACACATATTTTTAGATACACTGTATATGTGGGTTTTTTGTTTTTTGTTTTGGTAAAATATAGACAAAAACAAAGATTTTTTTATGCTTGAATGTGCACAGGGTACGGTCCTACGGCGCACGATCAAAAAACTAGGGTTTCATTAGCGAATACACGAGTATTATTTCGAAATAAAAGTATTAAATACAAAATTATCCTATTTTTAATCCACTATCTATTATTTCGTCTTTTATAAAATATCAAGGCATTTGCTTAATTTTTGGCGGTTTCCTGAGCATTTGAAATGGAAAGTGGTACACGCAACACACGAAAAATGGCGACGTTTGGTGACGTTACGGCGCACAGGAGAGCAGTTCAGTTTGATTTAGATGTAGTAATGACGCCGTAAGAAACTTTAAATGGCTACAGAAGAAGAAAAATATAAAAATATCACTAGATCTTTAGTATACAAGTGAAATGGGAGTTTTCTAAGCGAAAGCTTTTTGATCGGGTCCCCGGGTAGAACAAAACATACGGACAAACAGCTACTGGCAATTTAGCAAAAGACGCTGTTACTGTTGACCGTCGATATAGGAGAGCCTGTTTAGTTGAATAAATGCGAGAGTACTGTTCATAACTTACTAATAAATCTTCAGAAGGTCCCAGGTGTGTGCGAGATTGGTTCCTGGACTGTTTATGGAGGAATAAAGGGAAAATCAAGTATGTGCATCAATGAAATCCCCGAATTTAAGTGGGGCTTATCCAACTTTTATTTAGCAAAGAGGAAACGTGACGCTGCTTTAGAGACTTTGACGTTATCATCCGTGCGCTGTAAGACGATACCATACATAACATTAAGTCTCATATTTTGTTTATTTGAGCAGATATCTATTTGAAATTTGTTATGTATATTGATAAAAAATGTACTAAAAAGTAGTGAAAGTTTTAGAACGCAGTGATGATAATTTTTCAATATACTCAGTAGACAATATAGACACCTCTGGTGTTTCAGAGGTCCGTGTTTGCTCTGCTCCAGAATTTGTATTGTTTAATGGACTTTTGAACTTGAATACTGTTCGTTATCTCCATACATTTCATTGTAAGAAAACTTGTATGTCAAAACTCTCTTTTGGCTTAAAGAACTGACTTAAATGGACAAAAAAATTATTTGGGGGGAATTTTATTTTTCATATTTCTTTCATATTAACACTTTTTAAACGAGAATTGAAAAAAATAATGTAAAATAACAACAAAAAAGCCAAATGTTTTCCATATATATATGACATACAAGAGAAGAAACTCAATCAAGGTTTAGATCTAATCATTTATATCCCTGATACCATTTTGAAGTATAAAAGACTGTATTTTTTTTTTTTTTTTTTTTTTTTGATTATGTATTTTAGAAAGTCTTTTAGGATATAGTGATATTTTCTTTTTCCACATAAAGTTTTAATAATAAAAGTTCTGAAACTTTTTTTTTATCAAATTGCCTATTCTATTGTTCTATTGCAGGAATTTTAACTAGAATGTATGTACAATAAATTAATACAAGTTTTGTTTTTTTTTGTTTTTTTTTCAATTCACCCCTGTCTTTAAATCGCTACCATTCCTTCTGCAGGACACGGTCTTTAATCCAATACAATTTCTTCTGTAGGACACACCAGACTTTAATCAGCTACCGTTCTTTCTGCAACGTAGGGTTCTTTATCCGCTATTCTTCATTCTATATTATGTGGTTTTAATCGGTTACAGCCCCTTCTGTACGCTTAAATTGTCGGTATCCGCTAGCTTTCTCTTATTTTGTAATAAAGGGGAGCGGGAAAATAAACTCTTGGCTTTGGAAGAATGAAATTCATGTACATGTTAAACTTTTACGATTTTTGAAAACTGTAATCACTCATTATTTAGCCTTCAGTCCACTGACCTTGGTGAGAGGATTTCTGGTATAGTTCCTATTTCCGGTGATGAAGCACGTGACATCCCCACACTTCCTGTATACGTCCGCTTGATCATCACCGTCCGTCCACCACAGAATGATCGGATCTTTAATTTTCAATTTCCTCGAGTAACCTGAAAGCTTTTCTATCGTCCCTGAATTTGTGTTACTTGAGAGTTTCCTTTTCCAGTCCTCGTAAATTTGATCATCTTAAGAATTATTGAGTAATTTGTACTACAGTAAATTAGAATTAATTTTGAATACACAAAAAGAAACTTGACAATAATCATGAAATAAGTCATAAAATACATGGAAATCACATATTTTATATAACTGACCTTTGAAGGACTGTTCCTCATCTACATAATTCCGTTCCTAAATGAAATCATTACAAATTACAGATTCAGAGAATCTGGAAGTTTGGAAATGGATTATCAACATAAGAATAATTTTGAATACTTGCGTCATTTCCCAATACGAGCATGAGTAACAGCAATGCTAGAAAAATGACAAAGAAACACAGGAGAAAACATCGGAATCCACGTTTAATTCGCATAATAAAAGTCCATGAGAAAAAAGTTCTATGCATAATGACACAATTTTTATTGAGGTCAAATGAGATAGATGTCGGAGAATTATTATCAGTGTTGTTCTGTCACCTTGATAAGGCACCAAGGTCTGCAATAAGGTGCTTACTTCATAATTTACCATACATATCGATCATTACAGATGGATCTTCCAGTATTTCACTTGGAATTCTTTTTTCCCAAACGAAATTATCATTTCGGTTGTATTTAGGTACTCGAAATACACGTATAATCCAATTGGTAAGAAAATAAAGCTTATATTATTAAAAAAATTTATTGATAAATATATTTGTACATAAATAGAACATATCTTGATGTGCATAAAATCAGTACCATCCATGAATGGAAAAGAACCTGAGATCAATTAAAATATATTACAAATACTTAACTAAAGCAGAATAAAATAAAACTAAAGACGTTGCAGTGCACACTCATACAAGCCAAATTCTCTCCATAAATCATAAAGCTCTGGATTTCTGCTTTTCATCTAATTTTTTCATTCTTTAAGAGAGACATGAACACACACAGAACATAGTCCAGCAACAAACAAGCAAAGCTAAAACAAACAACAAAATAAGCTAGGATATTTTAAAAGCAAATACATATTATACAGCCATCTTGACCATGAGGTCAATTTAATGAATTAATGAATGAATATAATGCCTACATGTAGCATTAAAGTAATGGATTTCAAAAATTTTATTAAACAATGCCATTAAGATAAGGTCAATTCATAAGCAACAATTCTGTACAAAAAAAGACTGAAGCCAAATACAATGCACAAAAATACCGTTACACCAAAGGAAGGTAATTTCAACAAGAGGCCCATGGGCAACAATGCTCACCTGCCTACTTTAGCCTTGCTGTTCTTCATATTTCCCCCAAAAAAATTATATTCCCGTGAAAAAATGTGACCCCAGATTATAGCCCCACTGTAAGGGTCTCTGAATCCATACAATGTGGGAATACTTGTACTTCAATATCATTATGATTAACTTGGCCTAGAAAATATTGAGAAGAAAATTCCTTTCATGTATACATGCATTATGTAAAATATGATCCCCATTTTAGCTAACTCCAACCCATGGGGAATAATTTAAAGGAAAAAAAAATCAATCCGCTTACCTTAGGAATGTTTTCACATGTGTGGTGCAATTGTGGTTCTTCAGAAAATTTCAGAACTTTATTTCCTATTTTAAGTCCTATCTAAAACTTTGAACATTTTTGAAAGAATTTGTACAATTAAGAATCTACACTACCTCAGGAAGCTTTCACATACATTTCATCTCTTCTGGCCCAGTGGTTCTTGAGAAGATTTTTAAAGAATTTTTCGTATGTATTTCAATGTGAAACTTTGATCCCCTATTGTGGCCCCACCCTACCCCTGGGGGCCATCATTTGAACAATTTAGAATTTAAATTACCTCAGGAAGCTCTCACTTGTTTCATCTCTTCTGACCCCAGTGGTTTTTGAGGAGAACATTTTTAAAGAATTTTTCCTATGCATTTCAATGTAAAACTCTGATCCCTTATTGGGGCCCCACTCTACCCCCGGGGGCCATTATTTGAAGAATTTAGAAAGCTTCCATGTAAGTTTAATCTCTTCTGGCCCAGTGGTACTTGAGAAGAAGTTTTTTTTTTAATGACACCACTCTATTGTTGCCTTTTCTTGGTTACCTACCCTTGATATAAGGCTAGGCCCTTTATTTGAACAATTTAGAATCCACTTGACCCAATAATGCTGCCAACTTTGGTTAATATTGTCCTAGTTGTTCTTGAGAAGAAATAGAAAATGTGAAAAGTTTACAGACGGACAGACTGACGAACACCAGCCAACGGGTGATCAGAAAAGCTCACTAGAGCTTTCAGTTCAGGTTAGCTAAACTAAAAAGTTTTAAAATCTTTTATGAATGTGACAGCCTACATGTACTTCTTACAGAAATCAATGCAATAAACAAATAATTGTTTCTGATATATAAGTAAACACTTGAAACAAAAAAAATACATATCTAGAGAAATCTGATCTCAGATCAAAGGTGTATATACTTATGTATAATGACAAATAGTTCTCTACAGCAAATTTATCAAAGTTTCTGAAATACACTAAAAATAAATATTTGAGCAAATCTTTGATAGCTTTTCTTTGATTTTAAAGAAATCTGACAAGAAGGAACTAATTTTCAAAAAAAACTAAGATATGGTTCATTCACAGTCATCTAAGGTCCCCCGCTGCTCTGAAACGATTTGCAGTGCTGGCAATACTACTGCGATCTATAGTTTTATTCATATCCAAATGAAACCTTAATGCTTTGGCATAATATTTACTGTTGAGGTATTCATAACCCCAGTCATCATTTTTTAAAGTCCGTTTCCCTTGGTCATCAAACTTAGATGGAGCAGGACACCCATAATGATCCACAGTAGCTTGAAATTTTAATTTTTCTTTCCCCTTTTTCTCACGTTGTATATTTTCATGTATTCTTTTACAGACAAAACACTCAAATCCATCTATGAAGTTTATTGCATTGTTGCTGGTGTAGTCATTAATTGACCACTCTCTTTCTTTAAGAATTCTTAATAAATACTGATTTGTTATTCCTGTTTTTTTCCATTCCAAATATTTGTCATATTCCTCATCATTTTCATCCAAGAATTTCAGGTAGTTAGCCAGATCCTCTATTGAATTAAAGTCATCCACAATGATGGCCGATTTATTGGAGGGAAGCAAATCCTGTTTAAAAGTAACATGATATATACAATATCTGTGTGAAATGACAACAGATGCTGGCTATACAGCTGTGTATGATACATCTATTGATTTTAATATGCTACTAAGTCCCTCCAAATCATTGAAGTGTTTTAACAATACTTCACTTTTAACAAGCTGTCCAAAACTACACATCAAATTGTACAATGATTTTATTTTGCTGAAATTACATTTTTTTTTCAAGTTTTAATGGACTAAAATAAGTTTTTATTGATTTATTCCCTATCCAATATTGTATATACAGGGATTCTGTATTAAAGCAAGGTAATGAAAGACTCTTTTTAATACAAGTATCTGTTTTGCTAATATGAAAACCGAGTTTCCAATCTTACCTTGATTCGTGGTGAACCAATGACAATAGGAATTGTTCCTACAAACAATGGTCGCCACAGCTTCTCCGTCACATAGTCATTACATATACCATTCTCCATCGCAGCAGCAAATTTATACTTAGCAATAAGTTTGTAGAAATCATCATGAAACATTCCTTTTAATGGATCCCTAAGACTGGCAAACAAAAAATAAAAATATGCTAAGTCACCAATTTGCAATAAAGTAGTTTTTATCCCATTATTAGCAATGCCCATCTAAAATCTATTTATAGAAAGATCCTGATTGTAACTTTCAGGCAAGAGTAAAAGGAGCATATCCATTTTGAAAGAGAGGAATGCCAACTATTGGTAAGCAACTAGCATAACCATACAGCAGCATTAAAGATTTGGTGCATTACAGAGAATTTATTTTTACCTTTACCTACCTATTATCTACTACACTGTTTGTTAGAACAAACAGGAAATACACAAAAAAGTCAAACTTTGACTTACTGATCAGGTAATTTTTTGTTATGTAGACAGGAGCCAAATGAATCAATCTTTATGTGGTTCATCAGTTTATATACATAGCCATCTCTGTCTGACGGTGTACCACAATCACTGTGTGCATAGATCATAGGGGCTAAGTGTAGAGCTTTGGATTGCTCTGTCTTCTCTTTGGCTGACAGAAGAAACATGGAGCTGAACAACCAGGCAGCACTGTCTATGTATTGTGTGGTGATAGGGTAGTCTGACTCTCTCCTAAATGTGCAGGTGTGGTTAAACAAAGTCATAACTTCCTCAAAGGAGAACAGGAAGTTATTTTTGGGAGATTCCTCATGAAGAAGGACCCATTCATGGTGTGGTTTTCTTGGCAGTGGTAAATCAAAGTATTTAAAGTCTGTTCCATAAAACATGAACACCTGAAAAATATTTCTGATGCATTTATTTCAATTATCAAACATTAAGATGTTATTCAATCATGGGTTAATGATTCATAAAAAAAAAATCACATTATTCAGCACTGAATAATCAATTCTGAATTTCACTGTAACACATCACAGGGACTGGTAACATAAAAGAAAATCGGAACCAACATCTACCTGAATTAACATAGGTTCAACTCAAAAATATGTGGGGTTTTTTTTTTTAATTTTAGAAAATACCTTGCAGCCACTGAACTAACAACTAGAATCATACATACAACAATAATTTTTCTTCCATCAAAATGTAATCTCACTAATTTAAAAAGTGTTTAAGTAGGATTATACTAACTCAATATCCAGTTATGCGAGTCAATGTACTTTAAGTTGTCCACTAAAACAAAGCAAAAATTGCACATTAAATTCAGTTTTGAAGTCTTTCAAAAGCTGGTAGACGTAAACTGTAGATTTTTTTTCTCCTTTAATTATTTGCCATTATCAAATCTCTCCAATTTACTGAATAAGCTGAATAAAGCCAGCCTTTTTTCATAAAAAGTGAGGCCTAAGCCAAGAACAGATGATAAGTTGGAAACTGCTTGCAATTTAGAAGGCAGAAAGTGTTTGGTCAAAAAATGTTCTAGAACAATGTTTTTGATCTATCACGTCCCTTGTTAAATCTTTGAGGCTTTATTAAATCTAGATGGTAAAACTTTTATATTTGGAGATCTATACTAAGTAATACAATATCATCAAAATCTTTAAATATGCTGCTTTTGTCAATGAAACAATATATCTATAGAGTTCGTTGTCAAAACCTCAGCCTCTCTATCCATGGTTTTCTGAATGAATTCAAAATTATTTATAAGTCATTGAAATATACAGCCAGAGAATGCAATAAAATAAATGAGTTTAACACCTCCTGGCAAAAATGGCACTCCATACTTTTAGACTAACATGAATAAACCCTGTCTTTAAACTAGTTTTGCTACCTCTATTTATCTGTCATCCACATTCTCTTTTAACTCATCCTCTCTCTCTCCCTCTCTCTCTTTTCCTCTCCCTCTCTCCCTCTCTCTTTCTCTCTCTGTCTCTCAAAAAATGAATACTACAATGAAAAGATTGTGTTAATTTCATATGTTTATGTTTGTATTATAGCATTGTGGAATTCAAATAAAAAAAATCTTTGAGGCTGTGCCAAGCAAATTAAGTGGATGACTTGAACTACATCAACTTGCATGACAGGATATTGGCTTTGTGAAACAAGACTTAAATGCTTCATAAATGTTCATGATATATTTTTACTTATGAATAATTATTGCTGAATGATTCCAGTTGTTATTTCACTGGTTGCAAGGTTTCTTTCTCCCTGTTGTGTATATATAAAGCTCACATAAAATCAGGAATAGTATAATAGTGATCCCTGTGTAACACATGGGGTGTGCAAGGAAGAGGGATTGTGACACAGCATATTGCAAAATGAATCATGTGATGTTAATTTTAACACTGATAAACATTTTTTAACTGCTTGTTATTTGGTTTTAAAAAAATTAAACAGGACTGTGATGTCAAGTTTTCTTCATTGTAAATGTTGTTTTCGCACACATACAATGTATTAAAAATTGTCCCTTTTTTTTATTTAAAGGAGTAACATGATGTACAGGTATATAAGAAAAACAACTGTGAAATAAGCAAGTTCTGTTTGAATAATTTACTGTATATTTAGTGATGAAGTCACAAACACAGACACTTTTTTAACCAAAAATATTGTTATCATACTCTGAACAATTAGCTGTTTATAGAATTGATATCAATTCACTCAAAAGTTGAAGTTATTTAATAATATTCTGCTTTCATAATTATTTGATAAGCTTTTTTTCTGAACAAGAATTTAACTATTATCATGATTTAATATAACTATCTGAAGGAGATGTAAAGGGTGACTTATGGTATCATATTCTAATATGATATGAACATACTCTCATGCACAGTCATACACTTTCAGCAAGAAGTTTACTCATGTGTACAACTTAAACTTGTTACTATTTAAATTTCAACTGAAATATATTTAAGGACTTTTAAAGTTTAATTAAGTTATAAGTAATATAAAATGTCTAGACCATGAGATTTTACAATTTTTTATATACAACTTGATAAAGCCTTGAATATTCTGTATTCAGCTTAGAAGAGAAAACACAAAAAAGACTAGAAAGTGTCGAGCACTGAACTGCAATCTCTGACATTAAGATTTTTAAAAAGCTTGCCTGAACCTACTTTTGTCTGGGGATTATTCCTGTAATGTCGGTTAACTGTGAAGTAACACTTAACATTTCCACACTTCTTGTACCTTCCTGGTTCCCCGGTAAATGGAGTCCACCAAAGAATGATTGGTTCTGTTATTTTTTCTTCCGACTTCTTTTTCTCCTCATCTGGATTTAATTCTTCTGGGTCTAGAAATATTAATAACCATATAATTTTCAATCATATATATCTATTTATATAACAATTTTGAGATACTTCAATCATGTTCCAAAACCCTCTATAAGTCTAGGAAACATTTGATGTTTTCATTTGCATGATCAGCATAAACGTTTGAATACATTACCTTCATAATGTGGTTGAAAGACATGGTTATCTCCATCATAATTCTGAAACAAAATAAAACAGGAACGTGTAAACTATCGTTAGTATAAACCTTCCTGGCTTTACATTGAAATACGATGTCTCTGGTATACAATTATAAATCACATCTTGTTGTACAGAACCAGTTTTTTTTTTCCTTTGAAAGGACCTTTCCAACTTTTTTTAAATAACACTCGCTTTAATGCAAACTTTACACTACCGCTGCCCTACAAATATGTCAATAACTGTAATTTACTTTAACCGTTTAATGCGAAACATTATGGCAATACCACAAGTTCATATGAATGAGCAAATTCGAACGTGATATCGACGTGTGATAGTGAAAGTTATCAACTTGGCGTGAAGTACTTATCTTATTACCTCTCCGCCGTAAAGCATCATCGAAACAAAAATCGCGAAGAATATGAGGACAAAACACAACATAAATACTTTAAATGCATTTTTAACGCGCATAATTCTCTCAATATTCTCATTCGAGGGCCTGACTCTAGAAAATCGTCAGGTTTACCGATTAATCTGGTTTTCTGGTGAAGGACCAGTTTAAAGGTCTGTGTAAAACTAGTTCCTTTATCTTAAGTACGAAGCCGGACCAGTGCCTTTTCTCAGGTTGTAAACTTGTTATTACAAATTATCAATTTGAAATACAAATTATCAATTTGAAATTAGAAATGATCAATTTGTTATAACAAATTTAAAATTAGCTATTTGTCATAATAAACTATTATTTTGATATTACAAATTACTTATTATATTAACCATGTTAACAAATAAATAATATAATCACAAATTACTTTTTTGCTGTAACAAATTTATTTACTATAGTGCTATATTAACGTTTCAAATCTCAATATGATAATATACATGACGAGAAAACATTTTTTAATGTATCCAGAGCTACAAGAAGATACTAGGCATCCATTACTCAGACCATGTGACCAACGAAGAGGTCCGCAGGAAGATCTCGGAAGCTATAGGACCCCACAAGACATCCTAACTGTAATTATAGTGTATGGACACACTTCCCGCTCAAGAGACATTGCATACACAATCCCACAAGGAACAGTGGAAGGAGGATGGAGACGAGAAAGACAGAAAAAGAGGTGGTTAGACAACATACTGGAATGGACAGGATTGAGCCTGGTCTGAATCTCTGAAGACAGAGACAGAGGGATGAAAGTGATGGACATGTCTTCAAAGGTGCCCCAAAGACATCCACGGAAGTCAAGGAATAGGTGAAGGTATCTAGAGAGATAGTCTTTCAAAGAAATATCAAGGGCATTTTTTCTACAAGATTAACAGATTGTTTGATATTATAGTCAACTTTTTCTCCATTTTAATTGGCACTGAATAATAATCTTAAAATCCTTTTTTAAAAAAATCTGATTCCTCCCACAAGTACTCTGAGGTTGATACTAAAAGATGCTGGAATTTCTAATTGACAATATTTAGTCAGTCCTTTGGAGACCAGCAGACATGCTTATGATTTCCTGAGACCAAAGAGACGTGTCTTAGAATATTTCTTCAGGCCCGTGAGAAGCAATTTCCGTTCTTTGGGGATGGGTAGGGGATCAACCAAATATTTTCGATTGGGGGGGGGGGGGGGCTACCAAGTTAAAATGACTTGACAGGCCAAAAAAGGTCATAAGACAACTAGCTTTGTTTTCTGTTGTTTGCCATATATCGGCAAAATTATTGGAGGGCATGGCCTCCCTATGCCCTCCCTTCTCAGTTCCTACGGCCATGTTCTTAAACTACATCTTAAGATACGTCCTAGTATGTAAAACGAAAGCATCTTAGGAATATCTTTACTCTTAAGATGTCGTCAAAACTAGTTTCTATCCTAAGCATTTTCTTGCTTTTTTTAAATTCTTGTCTGTAAAACAAAATATTACATATAGTTCAAATCTGTACTTTCGTTTTTTTTAGCAGTTTAGTCCATTCCTATGCCAGCTACATGTATTACGCTGTAATATATGTCATGCTGTAATATAACCTAGATATGTCTACGATCTAGTAGGAAATTAAAAAAAAAACTAAAAAGCGAAAATTTACATTCATAGATGAAAAAAAATCGATAAAAAATACAAATATGTGAAGAGGTCATAAAACACAGACCCCTTGGACATTCCAGAGGTGGGATCAGGTGCCTAGGAGGAGTAAGCATCCCCTGTTGACTGGTCACACCCGCCGTGAGCTCTATGTATTGATCAGGTAGAACATTCCGTAGTCAAATTCACTATAAAACAAAGGCCTAATAATTGGTATGAAACAAGTTAGCCAAAAATTATAACGACCATAAAATTTATAAAATGCTAACTGAAAGAGTTTGTTGAAATCCCCGTAACATCAACTTATCTTACAGTAGCCTGCCTCGGTTTAAAAATTGATCGTTCTCGGAGCATGCACGCTCTGAGTATCGAATAAGTTGAGAGACCATATGTAGGTGATAGCGACATATTACTACATTCAAAAGGAAAGTTGACGATGGAAAAGCTGAAGCCATCTCGTTTGTCATACAATTTAGGTGTTAGTTGGCCCTTATCGTCTATGGTCAGTAAAACATCCAAATATGAAACAGATGTGGCAGACTCTGTGGTGTCTTTTATTTCAAGCTCACTGGGATATATCGAATCGACATATGAATGGAAGTAACTTTTGTTAATTAATTGATATTACATTGTACAATGTCGATATATGTGAATGTCGAGTTGGAGGCCACAGCAAGTGTCTTCTTCTTCTCATGTAGAAGTTTTTGAATGAATTCTGCTTCATAGGAATATAAAAACAGGTCGGCTAATAAAGGAGCACAATTAGAACCTATCATAATTCCAAGAATTTATTAATGATCAAAAATTCTACCTGAAAGGAAGTAAAAAAAAATCAAAAGGCATTATAACTTAAAGAGAAAAATCCAATGCAATAACACCAAAAAGGCGTTATAACGTAAAATAAGAAGGCGTTATAATGCGAAAAAAGTTTGTGGCTGGATATCCAGGAAGAAAATGTTTTAAATGTTTATATTTTCAGTGTTAAACCAATATAGTCCTTCTCTGATGCCAAACACCTGGACCAAGGGTCATGGATCATGCAATCATCATTATACACATACAAAACGTTTGCGCAATTTCTGTCCAAATAGAAAGAAAAAATCTGTTCAAATGAGAAATAAATTTTCAGTGTATAATTAGTTAAATATCACACTGCATGTGCCTAAATTCTGGATTTTCACAAGTAGAGTGTAAACCTCTATTAATATGCAAGCAAACAGCTGTCTGCTAGATGTGCAGGAGTATGGAAAAATACTTTGAAATATTGCATGAATTAAGATGGCTTTGATCCCATCCTTCATATAATTATTATCATATGGTATTAGCTTTTCACTCTGCATTATAAAGCCTTTCCATTTTTCGCTAATTTCAAAAGGCGTTATTGTGTCTTTATAAAAGGCATAACTCCTTTTTACTTCGCGTTCTTACTCCCCCCCCCCCCCCCTTTTTTTTAGCGTTATTTCGCCTCTTTTCATTTTGCGTTATAACACCTTTTAAATTTTCCCCCATAGATTGATCCTAATAGGCTTTCGTAGAATCGATATACTGCAGTATCACACTGAACTCGAAATAAAAGACATGACAAAGTCTGACATATGTTGCAAAATTTGCTATTTTACTTGAGATAGAAATTGACGACAAACTAACACCTACACTTTATGATAAACGTGATGACTTCAAATTTTCTGCTTCCCTTACTTATGTAGCAACGTACCATTATCATCTGGTGTATATCTCCTTGTAAATTCGATACGCAAGAGCATGTTCTTTATACGATAAATATCTTAAACAAGACAGGCTATTCACAAATAAGTTGATTTTACAGGGGTATCAACAATATCGTTTTGAGTCAACGTTTCTCAAATTCTATAACGGTCGTTGCAATGACCTTGTTTGCAAAAACAACCTGTCATTAAATCGAATTTTGTCTGAGCTTTCAATACAAATTGTTAGGCCATTATTTTCGTACTTACATGTATCTGTCTACATAGTGATTATTCTGTTTATCCGATAAGGACAAAGGGCTCATTGAAGATGAGCGACAGAAGATATTTACTCTTCCGTGGCACCTTATCCTTCATTTGGTGTTTAAGGGGTCCTTGTTTGCTCTGCTCCCTATTTGCTTTGATTATTTGGATTTTTGAGCATGATTACTTATCTTCATATTTCACTCACTGAAAGTCTAATAAATATGTAAATTATACATGTACACGCAGAAGTAGACATGTGGCATCGTTTTTCAAAGTGGAGAGTAAGGATACCCAGAAAAATCATTGAGAGTAAAACAACAATTGAAAACTGCCCAAACTACCAGTACAAGTGTACGCCACATAAACATTTGAGATACTGAAAACTGCCCAAACTACCATTACAAGTGTATGCCACATTAACAATCGAGATACTGAAAACTGTTCAAACTAGCAGTACAAGTTATACCACACAAACATTCAAGATACTGAAAATTGCCCAGACTACCACTACAAGTGTACGCCACACAAACATTCCAGATACATGTATTGTTATTAATTTTGAATTTCGAGAAAAGGATTACCCCAAGAATATTTACTAAGAAAGAAAAGAAATCAAATGATATCAAAGAACCCAAGATGAAGACAATCCCACCTTTTACAAATTACGAGACAAATGTAAATGTAAAAATACATTTCCAGATATATTCGTTGCAAGTTGCCATTTTAAATCAAATATGGAGATAACGAACAGTAATCAAACTCAGAAGGAAAGCAGTGAGAGATTCTTTACATTTTGTGTGGAGATACCTGAATCAATAAGAACATTTAACTCACAAAAATGCATAACTTTATACAGTTACAAGACAGGTATATCTGTTATGACAGATGTCAAGACATTCCCAGGTTGTCAATACAACATTTTTATCAATGTGAAATGACCACGTGTTATCTACAGACTTCAAGACCACAGGTAAAATAAGAGTAACATCGCCAATTATAAATTAGTATACATAGCCGCCAAGATCACAGGTAAAACACTTACTCTAATCGTAAAAATCACAGAAATTGCATGCAAGGAACTTACTTAATAACATTTAAAGTAACTAATGTTATTTGCTAATTGTTAAAAACTTAATATATCACTTGATTTAAAGCATTCTGAATTCATTGATGTTATCGTCATCGTTCCCGCGGTATGTACCCAAAGTATTGAATTGAATGATGTCTTTATTGATGACCGAGTCTAGGCCAACAAATCAATGCAACACGTTGTCGGTGATTAAATATCAAGTAGCATCTGTATTTCTTGATAAAAAGAATCCCGTTGAAGGGTTTGCCTTCATTTAATCTTGAGAGACATTTTATAAAAATCATTTTTAATTATAGAAAGAAAAAAATGTTCCTCAAATATGGAATTAAACCAATATATCATTTAATTTTAAACATGGGTGATAAATCGACAAGAGTATACATGCATAATTCATAAACAGTGTTTCTTCTGAGGTAAACTATCAATTCATTCAATTCACGGCGATAGTGGGATTACCTTTAATGTGATTTGTTAGATTTTCTCTTATTGTAAAGGCTTGGAGTGGAAAATGAAAAATGGATATTTTTTTTTGGTTAAGTTTGAGCTTTAATTTGCAAATGAGAAGAGGACATGGAACATATACTCGTAACGATCAAACATCAGAGGAAAGAGGGCAATGCACTAACACAAGAGGTATGTTTACATCTTTATTCAGGATCGCATCATTAGAGACATTAGAATCTTGGAAACGAATATAAGATTTACTTGTTTACGTAGACGCTTGCTTAAATTACTTGTCATATTTTCTGATTAAGTAAATTTACAGAATTTGTTTAAAATGTGAAGACAACGAAGTGATCATTTTCAAAAATCCACGGGCCCTGAAAAAAGAGGGGGGGGGGTAGATGCTATGAAAGAGGAAGCATCCCCCTGCTGACTGGTCACACCAGCTGTTGTCATGATCGGGTGAACGGAAAAAATCCGTAGTCAATTCAGTTTGAAATAAAGCCTTAACTATTCATATGAAAGACGTTAGGCAACATTCGACCCAACGACAGATTGTATTTGCAAACAAGATCATTGTATCGACCATAGAATTTGCAAAATGTTGACTTTAAACGAGATTGTTGATAGCCTTGTATCATCAACTTTTCGTCAATAGTCTGCCTCATTTAGAAATTATTCGTAGGGAGAATATGCTCTTCCGTATCGAATCAACAGGGAAACATTAACTCCATATGCAGGTGGTAATGATATGCTGCTACATAAATAAGGGAAGTTGACGATAGATAAGTTGAAGTCATCACGTTTATCATACAGTCTAGTTTTCAGTATTCATCAATGTCTTTCTCTAGTAAAATATTCAAATGTTAAACAGATGTTCCATACTCCGTGGTGTCTTTTATTTCGAGTTCAATTGGATATATAGAATTAAAATAGGAATGAAATTGAATACTGTCACTAGTAATTGAGAAACCTCGATCTAAATATCAAATTGAAGACAAACAAGAAATCATCTTTACATGTAGAAATTTTAGGATAAATTCTGTTTCATGTGAATACAAAGCAGGTCTGCTAAAAACGGGGCATAATTAGTAACCAGGGAAATTCTAAGAGACTGTTGGAAGACCTGGTCTCCGAAAACCACATAGATGTTGTCAATGAGAAACTAAAGCATCTTTTTAATATTAACCTCGGAGTACTTGTGTGTATAATCAAAATGCTTTATAACACAATAATATGAAAATAAAATTAGAAATAAAATACAATTTCAAAGCTTGATTTTTAAAAAAAATATATATTTTTTTTAATATATAGTTTTCACAACTTTGACATTTCAGAACTTCAACATAAAAGTCCATTGTCTGCAATGTTTAGGTAAGGCTACTGATGATATGTGTGTGTGTGTGTATATATATATATATATATATATATATATATATATATATATATATATATATATATATATATATATATATATATATATATATATATATTAGGGATGGCAGTCGATTACAGAATTGCTAATCGGTTAACCGCAAGACGTTCCGACCGATTAACCGGTTAATCGTATCATAATGCACGTTTTCTTGACAATTCTTTTTCAAGTAACTCTATCCACATACACAAATAGACCTAAATAAGACGATAGAAGTTAAAACATTCCATTATTCTTGATTCGGGATCAGAAAAATACGGGTATATTTTTTATTTTAATTTCAGTAGACAAGAAAAAATTGAGAAAACCATGAAAAAAGCCAAAGAAATCTTTGATAATTTTCCAGAGCATATGTCACAAAAGTTCTTTCTGCATTTTCACTATGATAATCAAAACTACATGAACTCTATAGCCCTTAATTTACAATATTTGTTTAATAATTACATGTAAATTGGATTGAAAACTGGAAACGAGAAACACTCCAATTCACAGTGCTCAATGATTCAATTATTATCATTAAAGAATTACAGGACATTCAGGGTAACGACGTGGTGTTTTCATAGTAATTAAAACTACATAAACTGACCAATTACGCAACGGTCTCTATCTGGAGATTAATAATTACATGTACGTCTAAATTAGATCCTTTAAATCCTAAAAGATAATCCTTTGTACAGCGATTTCTTTTTTAAAAATAAATTTTAAAAAATGTGTTCAATTTAACAAATATTTTTTTCCGATTAACCGATTACAGATTTTCTAATATCGATTGCCTTCGTTTCGACCGAGTAATCGGTTAACCGGTTACAAATTGCCATCCCTAATATGTATATATATATATATATATATATATATATATATATATATATATATATATATATATATATATATATATATATATATATATATATATATATATATATATATGAAAAATTGCCTCTCCATTATGCCTCTAACCTATAAATGTAATTATACCGATGAATATTTCATCAGTTTTTGTTTCTTTGTAGGAAACTGAAGACATATCGATTTCACCGTCTATACATGTACCCGATAGGTCTCGTTCTGCTTCTCTTTGTTCTGCTCTATGGTATGAGTTTCCTTTATTTTTTCTTCCGTGTAACCTTCTAAAGATTCACAAATTAGACGAGTGTAATGGTGATAAAACTTTAATGTTTTATAGCAAGAAGCTCGAACAACAGTTTGTATCTGATAGAGAAAAAACTTCATCAGTCTAGTATTAAAAATGACATTGGTAACATTACAAAACTCCACCCTACCATACTGTGGTGGACAACATATGGCGGGAAAACAGATGAGAATATTACCTGTGGCGAGATAAAATGTCGAGTCAGCGTGGATAGGACTCTAAAATCTCATAAAAACGTAATGGTGAGTCGACCCTCTACTGAAGAAAGTCATTTATCTGTTAAAATTTAACATTAAAAGACTCATTCCCCATCATATGTAGTCGCTATTAATAACATTGAAACTCAATTTATTTGTTAAAGCTAATCAGTGTACATAGCTTAGTATTTGAATAAATGGTGTTGTTTTTTTAAATCAAATCTTCAAAAGAAATAAAATTATACAGTATATACGAATAGAAGACCGACCGCTGTATTGAGCAGCTACACAACACATTCTCTTATCAATACAGGCCATTGTTTTTTACGGAACCTCGCTGGAGTTAGCGGATATGCCACTTCCACGGAATCCAGACGTCATCTGGGCTCTGAAACACGAGGAATCTCCCAAAAACAACGATTTCATGTTCTCTCACGAGGAAATCATGACTCTGTTTAACTACACATCTACCTTCAAAAGGCAGTCAGATTATCCTCTCCCCACACAGTCTCTCCCTAATCTTGATTATTTATTGGTAAGTATTATATCAGTTTTTTTTCTCTCTCTCCCAACAGTTTCTCCCTAATCTTGATTATTTATTGATAAGTACTATATAAGTCTCTCTCTCTCTCTCTCCCCACACAGTCTCTATCTAATCTTGATTATTTACTGGTAAGTACTATATCAGTTTTTCTCTCTCTCTTCCCACGCAGTCTCTTCCTAATCTTGATTATTTACTGGTAAGTACTCTTATCAGTTTCACTCTCTCTCCCAACACTAATTTTGATTGGTAAGTACTATATCAGTTTTTTTTCTCTCTCTCCCAACATAGTCTCTCCCTAATTTTGATTACTTATTGGTAAGTACTATATCAGTTTCTCTCTCTCTCCCTACACAGTCTCTCCCTAATCTTGATTACTTGTTGGTAAGTGTTATATCAGTTTCACTCTCTCTCCCCACACAGTCTCTCATTAATCTTGATTACTTATTGGTAGGTACTGTATCAGTTTCCCTCTCTCTCCCTACACAGTTTCTCCCTAATTTTGATTACTTATTGGTAAGTATTCTGTATCTTCCTGATCTTGATCGGTAGCCTAGTGGTAGGGCGTTCGCTTCGTGATCAGGAGGACGGGGTTCGATTTTCTTTCGCCGCGCCGCTTCAAACTTAAGAGGTAAGCATAGGTAGTGACTGTCCCTTCGCCAAGCGCCCGGCACTAGAAGTGAGTCACGGGTCTAAATACCGAGGTCCCGTGTCAGGGTAGATGATTGATTGATTGTATGTTGTTTTACGTCCCATTCGAGAATTTTTCACTCATATAGAGACGTCACCATATACCGGTGAAGGGCTTCAAATTTTGCCCTTTACTCGGCACTCAGGGCCATTGAACAGTGAGGGATCTTTATCGTGCCAACGCCTGTCGTGACACGGGGCCTCGGTTTTTAAGGTCTCATCCGAAGGACCCGCAACTTTCACTTCAAAGTGCGAAGGAACAGTTGCTACCCATTTTATATCGACTTAGGTCAGTCGCAGCCGAGATTCGAACTAACGACCTCCCGATCACGGAGCGAGCGCTCTACCGACCGAGCTAGTGTCAGGCTAGAAGTTGCCACGATAAATAACCCTCACTGCTCAATGGCCCTAAGTGCCGAGTATAGGTCTAAATTTGAAGCCTTCACCGGTATACGGTGACGTATCTATATGAGTGAAAAATTCACGAATGGCATGTAAAATAACATACAATCAATAAAAAAAATCCTAATGTTGATAAATGAAATATAGAGATAACAAACAGTATTCAAGCTCAAAGTCGATTAAAACAATACAAATCGGAGCGGAGCAAACACGGACCTCCAAAAACATCAGAGGTGGGATTAGGTGCCATGGAGGAGTGAGCGTCCCCTGCCGACCGGTCACACCCGCCGTATATTCCTTGTCATGATAGGGAAATAACGGAAAAATCCGTCGACAATTCAGTGTGTAAATAATGGCCTAACAATTTTTATGAAAAACGTCAGTCAGCATATGTCTTAATGATAGATTGTATTTGCTGACAAAGTCATTGTATCGACCATAGAACTTTCGAAATGATGACTTTAATCGAGACTGTTGATATTCTTGTTTCATCAGCTTGTTTGCCAATAACTTACCTCGTTTTAGAAATTGTTCATACGCAGAGCATACTCTTGCGTATCGAATCAACTGAGAGATATACACCCCATATGCAGGTGATATGAGTATATTGCTGCATAAGGGAAGTTGACGATCAAAAAGTTAAAGTCATCACGTTTATCATAAAGCTTTGTTGTTAGATAACCATTAACGCCTTTTTCTAGTAAAATATCTAAATATGAAACAGATGTGTCAGACTCTGTGGTATCTTATTTCAAGCTCACTGGGATATATCGTGTCGACATATGAATGGAAATAACTATTGTTAATTGATAATACGTCGTCGATATATCTAATTAGTAAGTACATGTACTTAGTCAGTCAATTGGTATTAAAACAGCTAATATGTGATGTATATTTAACTTATTCAATCAATTTTCGTAAGTTAAAACAATTCTTGCAATCTGAGTTTGTGATGATTTTTAGTATTAAGGTTAATTTATATTTTCTCTTATTTGTTAAGGTATGATAAGTATATATTATCATAACAGTAATTTGATCCAAAGAGTCGTACGTAACTTGATTTCGTGAAATCAACAGCAATATTGAGTGAAACACACCTGGGTATATAATAAAAACTCCTTTGTAATTAGTAACAATGCATAATTTCAGAAAATGCATATCATAATATAATTTTTAAAAACATAATCTGGCTCTCAATGAAATACTTTATTTGTTAATCATCAGGATAGAACATTTGTTGTGGACACTAAAACTAAATCTGAGATGAGGAAGACAGAAGACTTAGCCCCTGTGCTTTACGTCCAGAGCGATTGTGGGGCACCATCAGACAGGGATCAGTTTGTGAAACTCCTTCAGAAATATATCTCTGTGGACTCCTATGGAAGATGTCTACACAATAAAGACCTTCCAGAACAGTAAGTAAAATCAAAATCCTTCAAATCAAAGGCCCAAACAACGTCCTTCAATTTTAAAATTAATTCATTGTTCATAAAAGCCAGATAATTGAACATATTTTTTGTAGGGTACACACAAACATACAAGAAACTATATATTGAATGTTTCAAATTTTCATTTTCTACAAGCCATTACAATCATATCATTGATTTTTCTATTTTTTTTTTTTTATCTTTCTCTAGCATTAGATTTGAGTTTGGTAAAAGCATGGCTGGAATGCACCACGATGACTTCTTCAAACTAGCAGCAAAATATAAATTTACTTTAGCCATGGAAAATGCTGTATGTGAAGACTACATGACAGAAAAATTATGGCGCCCGCTAAGACTAGGTTCTTTGCCGATTATATTCGGTTCACCTAAGGTTAAGGTATCATTTTTTGCTTAATTCAAGTCTCCATATTTTGAGCTGCAAAACTACAACTGATTCTTGATATTTCATAACCCTCAAGTATTAAATATAAACGTGTTATATTCATTTCAGGATTATCTTCCATCAAATAAATCTGCAATACTAATAACAGACTTTAAAAGTGCTGAACAACTGGCCAATTTTTTAAAGGAGCTGGACGAAAGTGATGAAAAATATAACGAATACTTGAAATTTAAGTTCTCCAATACGATTGAAAATCAATACTTAATTTCTCACATGCAGTCCAGAGAATGGGGAGATTTTAGTGCAATTCAAAAGACTCCTAAAAAGTTTTACTCTCACATGAGTGGATTTGACTGTTTTATATGTCAAAAAATTCATGAAATACAAAAGGCACGTGACCAAAATGAATCTCCTACTTTACATATAGCTCATGCAGATCATTATGGATGCCCTGCGCCAAGGCGCTTTGATGGAGATGGAAAGTACGGAGTGTACAGTGAATGGTTCGCAGAGCCTTGGTTGTATTCAAAGTATCTTGCAAAGGCATTCAGGAAGTACTATGACCGTTATGAATCCAATTTCACACACACAGACTTATTGGTTTTGTCAAAAAGACTTAGGAAAGAAGACAAAGTTTGAAACTAGAACCTTTATCTCAAAAAACACATTATATAAACTTTTATTTCGCTCAAGCATAAAGTGTATCATCTTTGCAGGCAAAGGGATTTTGGTCCGCTACGCTCTCTACACACCTTTGACAGATTAAAAAATCTGCCAAAGGTTTTTTTGGGGTGAGCAGCGTTGTTTCAATATTGTTCAGACAGCACTTTAGTTTTTTGACACTCAGATGATGATGCAGAGGACGGACTCCTGAGTACGGGTATTTCTTCTCCTTTTCTCTCTGTTTATGTTGATTTTGACTTGAGGCCGATTTGTCTTCTTAAAAACGGTCTTGTGTGGAGCTCTAATTGGTGATAGCTTAAATATGAAGTGTAGGTACTTTTTGAATAAGAATCATTTCTAAATATTTTATTTGTATTAATTAGAGTATTCACATGTAAATGTGCAATTAACTATGCTACTACAAACATACTTGAATTATTTCCGGTAGAGGAGAAGGTCCAGAATCACGTGGTTCTGGTCTTTGAGGAATGGGATACACAATGGAATATCTGTCACACGATGAAATTTTCGGATGTATTGGCAAAATGGGACTTATATCTGTGGGAAATGTACATGATGGTTTATACATTATACAGTATTGTCGTTGATGGGAAAAACACAAGAATGAAAAGTGAATAAATACATAAAAAAGCTTAGTAGCGAAAGTGCCATTGAACAGGAAAATGTAGGTAGATAGATGACATGTCTCCTTTAACTATTTAATACGCCATGTGAATTAAATAACTAAGAGTTATTCATCTAGAAAACATGCTTCTTTTTTGGCAGTCTCAACATAAAGATAAATATTCTTAACTCTTACGTAGCTATGCTATTAGTAAAGAAATGTGTGCCTATTGTTGGTGTGTAGGAGCTGATAACCCATTTTGGAGCAGAAAAACATATGCAAAAATTAAAATGTGTTCCATTGTCTGTCCTGATATACTCCAAATATAGTAAGAATATTTTTATTTCCATAAACTTATATAAGGGGAAAAGGGCGAATCATGACATAATTTACCTTCGTTTCTGTCAGTATAGCTGAAATGTGGCTGAGAATTTAGTGCATTGGACGGTTCAGGGCAATTATGGAGACATAGAAGAGGTACATGTTTACTGTTCTCTAGATGTACAACAATCTTACAGCAGTCTTCTGACAATACATAGTTCAGAACAGGGAAATGCATGTCAATCATCGTCACGTGGAGACCCAACTGCACATCCCATAGCCTAATGGTCCCATCCTTTGATGCTATATGCAATAAAAACAAATGTATAATTATTTGTTGTTTTGATGCATTTTATCCTCAATTTAAAAATGGAAATACAGTAAATATTGTTTTTTTTTTCTTTTTAAAATGATGATTGGATACTAATATCAAAATAAATACTCTCTTTCATCATATTCTTCAGATAAGCCTCAGTCACTCTTCACCGGATAAAGCTAACAAAAATCAAACGGATGAAGAAACGGGGAAAGTACGCAGTCTGAAAAATGGATAACAACCGTACAATTACCGGACATTTATCATGCAAGCAACCTATAAATCAAATGTGCAACGTATCAGAAACTGACGAAATATTTTTGAAAAGAAAACTAACGGTCAATCAATCGGTGTCTTGAGCACGTTTAGTTTATTCGTTTCACGTCCGGTAATGGTTCAACTGTAATTAAGTTCGAACTAACATCAACGAAAGTAAACTTGTGAATACAAGAAAAGTTCACGAGTTTCACACAAAAAAGAACATGCAAACGTATAGCTACGGTACTGTCAGCGATCACCTTAGTCCGTTTAGTTTTGAAAATGCTCAAAACGTATTGCCTGATAGAACTTTTTCAAACCTTGAAAGTACTGTATTCGCCAAATGAGAAAGGACAAGAAACGTACATGCGAAGGGATAGGAACGATTTGAAAAATTTGCCACGTGTTTGACGTCTGGAAGCATTATCCGATGACGTTCGACTGAGGCAATCTATAGTATTCATTACGACAAATCTGTTTATATCTTACATGATATCACAAATTGCTCATTGGAAAGGAAATTTAGGGCTGTGATGCACATTGTGTGGCAATTGAGTTTGTGGCGACACTCCCCACTAGATATCTCCCATACCATGATGCAGCCATCGTTGGCCCCAGAAATAACGGCGCTTCCATCGCTGTTAATAGCCACTCTTATAACACTGGTACTATGCTCCACTAAAACCTAAAAATGAATCCACAGTAGGAATATTGTTGATGTAGCACTTTTATTATTATTATATATATATATATATATATATATATATATATATATATATATATATATATATATGATAAAAATCTAAGAAAAACCTTAAAAAACCTTGTAAAACCTTGGAGTAAAGAAATTGCTCATAAGGAGAACTGACAAATATAAGGAAATTTTTATGAATCCCATAGGAGACTTTGCACTGTGTACCCTAATGTATAAAAAGAAACTCGGTTATATGGAAGCGAAATTCGAAATCTCGCCCTCCTAATCACCGAGATTAATGGCGATTATGATAACCGAAACTTCACACCTCATGTAAAACGAAAACATTTTGTAATTCAAAAGTTTATATACCTGAGATCTTTCGATAATACATGTACATGTTTTGCTGTTTATCTGTAAGAAATAAACTAATGTTGGTTATGCATTTATGAACTTTCAGAATTACTGTCTATATCGTATTACTCAAAAAGTAATTTTTGTATGCCCTACATGATGTTTAATTGTCAGAAACTGTATATACATGTATATATCATGTCTTTCTGCTATTTTCAGTGCAATCCTTTGGATTGATTAAATAAACTACATGTTTGAATTACACGACTTTGTCAAGCTAGTAAGAATAGCGATTTCCTAAGTTTCAAAGCTGTGTGTGCTTTTGAAAATGAACAGATGTCTGTAACAAATATTTTGGGAACCAGAATACATGCACATGTACTCAAGTATAGCTTTGGTACGCAATGCACCACACACTAAAATAAAAAGAAATAAACTGTTCGTATGCGAAAGAAATTCATCGAGTGCATACATGTGCAACATTATCAGCTTCATGAAAACTCGAAAAAGAATTGAATCATTCGCAAAGTCAGAATAACGAGTGTAATAAAATCTGTAATAAAATGTAATGTAATGTAATAAAATCTGAAAATTAATCACCCATATTTAATCCATTGAAATCAATAATCATAATCTGTCTCTGAGGGCCTGTCCTGCTGCCTGATAAACATGATTAACTACAATCAAGTTCATTACTACCTGCCTTAGTTGTGATTTTACCTACATGGATTGTGATCTTCCCTGCGTGAGTTGTTATATCATCGATTTGTTGTGATTTTACCTGCTCGAGTTGTTAATTCATCTTTGTGTAGTATTTTTTACCTGCTTGAGTTGGGATTTAACCTGCGTGAGTTGATGAATTTACCTGATTGAGTTAGTGATTTTACCTTCATGAGTTGTGATTTTACCTTTGTGAGTTGTGATTTTACCTTCTTGAGTTGTGATTTTACCTTCGAGAGTTGTGATTTTACCTGCGTGAGTTGGGATATTACCTTTGTGAGTTGTGATTTTACCTGCGTGAGTTTTCCAGTCGTCAGATCCCAGACCTTACATGATTTGTCTTCAGAACCAGTCACGAGGAATCGGTCTTTTATATCACAACAGAGGCACGTGATTCTTTCTGTATGGCTGACACCAGTAACCAATGTTCCTGAATCAGTCTTCCAAACTCGTGCACTGTATTGGTGAGTAGCAATAGGACATACATACCTAGCTTACTTGATTATGATGATTATAAGTATGTAATAAAGAGTTATGAACTTTATAAGTAATCTTCCTTCCAAAAATTAAACAAAAGTCTACATGTTTTTTGCAATTTTTGTACATCTTTGAAATATAAATGCAGTACTATTAGATAAACTACTAGAATTTAGAATTATAGATCTGATTACTGTTCTGTATCTTCAAAATATCTATTTTCTGAACTTGACATGACATACCAGTTATCTCCCCTAGCAGTGATGAGTAACTGACAGTCTGTTGATAATATAAAGGTGGATGCTTGTCTGTCAAACGTCATCAAAGTCGTGCCTTCGTCTGCCCGCCATAGATGAAAGTGTCCTAGAATATCGTAAGACACAATTCTCATATCATCTCCCAGAATCTTCATCTGTCTTACAAAGTTCTCGTGTTTCTGTTAAAAAGGTTCGAATAATAGATGTTTTAATTTTGTGCTGAGTTGGAAAAAACAAAGTATTTAATTAGCAACAGTTTAATGAAATAATACTTTCTTTCTGTCAGAGTACATTTTACCCACATTTTGTAGCTGAAAGTTTATAATATGACTTATATGAACCAATATATAGCTGCAACAAAATGATATTTAGTAAACAGTATTTACATTTCTCTATTGCAATCTATGGCTTTAAAAAAGGAAAAGAAAAGAGACACTAGTTGGATACTGAAGCGATTTCTGGAGTTTACCTCATAGCTAACTATAACCATGGCTAGATTTCTGGAGTTTACCTCATAGCTAACAATAACAGTGGGTAGATTTCTGAAGTTTACCTCACAGATAACAAGTCGCCCGCGTGGCGCAGTGGTTAGAGCGTTCGCTCTAGAGTCGCGGAGTAAGGAGTTGATTCTTACGTCGCGAGTTCGAATCCCACTGTGGGACTTGGAGACCGGTCCTTCGGATGAGACCGTATGAACCGAGGTCCCGTACCGCAGTAGGTGCTTTCACGAAAAAGATCCCTCACTGCTCAATGGCCCCGAGTGCCGAGTATAGGTCAAAATTTGTAGCTCTCCACCAGCAAGTGGTGGCGTCTCCATATGAGTGAAAAATTCTCGAGAGGGACGTTAAACAATAAAAACAAACAAACATAGCTAACAATAACCGTGGCAAGATTTCTGGACCTTATCTCATAGCTAAGTATAATCGTGGCTTGACTTACTCAATAAAGCTTACATATACCTCAAAGCTAACATTGCTTGTGGCTAGATTTCTAAGCTTACATAGTTGACAATGCCTGTGGCTAGATTTCTAGGCTTACCTCATAACTAACAAAAACCGTGGCTAGATTTCTAAGCTTACACGTACCTTATAATTAATAATGCCTGTGGCTAAATTTCTAAGCTTGCCTCATAGCTAACAGTAGCCATGGCCAGATTTCTAATCTTACATGTACCTCATAGTTAACAATGACTGTGGCTAGATTCCAAGCTTACCTCATAGCTAACAATGGCCGTTGCTAGATTACTAAGTTTACCTCTTAGCTTATAATGACGGTGATTTGATTTCTTATCTTACATCATAGCTTACAATGATTGTGGATTTGTTTCTAAATTTCCCTCAAAGCTAACAATAAACGTGGCTAGACTTCTAAACTTACCTCATAGCTAACAATGACTGTGGCTAGACTTCTAAACTTACCTCATAGCTAACAATGACTGTGGCTAGATTTCTAAACTTACCTCATAGCTAACAATAACTGTGGCTAGATTCTAAACTTACCTCATAGCTAACAATGACTGTGGCTAGACTTCTAAACTTACCTCATAGCTAACAATGACTGTGGCTAAAGTCATACTCCAGACTTTGATTGTCTTGTCCTCGGCTGCCGTCACTGTAAAGGCAGTTCTAGAGGAAGGTTCGATACAGGTAATGGCACCACTATGCCCCAGAAAACTCTCAGAATAAATGTTCATTTCAAGATCCCACAGTTTGATTTCCCCATCGGTGGCTCCTGTTAAATCAATACAGAATTCTGTATTCTTTCTTTATTCTTTATTTTCAATAAAACTATTGTCCTATTACATATACACTTTAATGCATTTTACAGGCTCTATGCTTGAGCTTTGAGTGAATATATATATCTGACATGCAAGCACCTGACAAAGCAATTTTGGCGTCGGTCGTGATGGCTACACATGTCACGATACAGGTATGGTCATCATTTTCTACGTTGTTCGTCAGTTTTGGCAGGAAACTCCATAAATTGATTTTACCCTAAAAGAGGAGAATTATATTTATCATCCCATTACCGTTGATAAAGAAGCTGAAAAAGTACAGGTATGAAGTTCACAAAGAAAAGTCCAGAGAAACACATTCTGATTCTATGGTACCCTATGTTCTGGGCTCATTCTCTTAGACTTCCCAAATTCTAAGACTGTGCAAGAGACAAGGCACATTTCAATTTAATAGATTTCATTTTAATTCGTCCTTTTAAGAAAGAGAATCTTTTGACTCACTGGTTTTGAAAAGCTCTAAAAATAATTGAAATGTCAAATGATAGTAATTACAACAGCCATAACCTTAAACAGTAAAACAGCAAAAGCAGATTTATAAGCAAAACCAATATTATTCATTTTTCTGTAAAAACCAGTCTTCCAAGACAGACAAATCTTGGTTTTGTCATATTGAAAAAATAAATAAAAAGTTTTTACTTGTCAGATTTTAGATAAATAGATACATGAAAGCTGCTTTATACTGGTAACTTTAAAAGAAATGGAAAGACCTATCATAAATATCTCCCAGTAAATTCAAAATTCCGAAAAACTAAAAAAAATGTTTTTAACCATTTTTACAACACTGTACAATTGTAAACAATTAACGACGCAATAGCAATTGCATTTTCAAACTTTAGGGTTTTTTATACCTCAGATGAACTGAAAACCATAGACTGGTCATTGGAAATTCTGACGTGCGTTACAGCAGAGTTATGACCCTGGAAGATATCTATAAGTTCTGTGGTCCTGAAGTTGAACATATAAACCATGTTGTCCTGGCAACCGGCAAAAACATGGTGACAATTATCAGCCAGCGTCAGTGTTCGTACCTAAGAAAGAAAAGTAAATAATCAATTCTAATTGAAAAGAATGTGTGATAGACAGCGAGGCGTCAGGTAATTGGAGAAACAAATGTCCTGTTCTGGTGTAAATTTGTCTTGCTGTATTCGTTCGAAGAACTATTTTTGTAACAGACATTACTTAGCAAGGTAAAAGGTAAAAATTAATTTGACTTTAGTTGTGTACTTTGCTTTATCTGACAAGTTTTTCTCACTTTCGTCTGAATCATTCGTTTTCGTAACAGGAAAAAAAAACACTGACAACACATTGATTGATATAAAAGGCAAGTAATAATAACTGTATTACATACCGGTAGATAAAAATAAATAATAAATCCAATGAAACAATAATTACCCATCCTTTATGTCCTTTAAGCTGGTGAATCCAGGAACCTGTGGTGAATGATATGACATTCAAACTCCCGTCCTCGCAGCCTGAAATATATAAAATATAATATAAAAGCTCATATCTTAAAGCAATGTATCTTAAAACATATCAAAAAGCGAACTATTATTCTTCGATTGATATTTTAAACTTTAGTTTTGTTTGTTTCTTTTTCCGCAAAAAAATTAATGATACCTGATGCTACTATATTCATAAAATGTCATTTGGCGAAATTTTGAATTAAATTGGAGGGGATATGACTGTTTTATCGTTAATTATAGATGATCAAAGCGTAAAAACAATGTCGAGAATGGCAACGTCATTGAAAATCCTGGAGCACAGAGCTATTAAAAAATTATTTCTGCAAACAGGAAAATATCCGAAGGAGACTAGAATGCTTTAAGATGGTTCAGGGATTGCCTATACGTATCTAGGACAAAAGTGTTCAAATGACAGTAGCTTTGTTAGAATGGAAGGGTTGACGTTTTTGACGACCCAAACGAAAAATTGACGAAACATTTCAGTCCTACAGAGACGTCACCGTATGCCGGTGAAGGGCTTCAAATTTAGACCTATACTCGGCACTCAAGGCCATTGAGGGTTCTTTATCGTGTCAACGCCTGCCGTGACACAGGACCTCGGTTTTAAAGGTCTCATCCGAAAGACCCATGACTTTCACTTCTAGTGCCGGGCGCTTGGCGAAGGAACAGTCACTACATACGTTTACATCTTAGGTTTGGCACGGCGCGGCGAACGAGTATCGAACCGGGTCTCCCGATCACGAAGAGAGCGCCCTACAACTAGGCTACCGTTTATCCCGCTTATGAGTCGCACGGACGTACGCTGCGCCTATAGATTTTGTATTGTTTCCATACCTGATCGTTTAACTGCGTAGACATCGATTTTAAGATCTTACTAATATCCGATACGCCAAAGACATTTTAGAAACAAAGTAACATGCCTTGCTATACTTATTCAATTTTTAAGTAGGGAAAAAACTTGAAAAAGCTATAGAACTGAAAAGTATTTAGAGCTGTGAAAAAGCTTAAGAGGTTTGGAATCGGGTTGTCACGTCAAATAACGTCAAAAAACGTTACGTGATTGCTCCGTGAATCCTATGACCGCACAGTAAAAGTCATTGTATATTTTTAAAATATTAGTATTTGGATCTTATTTTTACTAATTAACAAAAGATGAAATAAATGGAGATAACGAACAGTATTCAATCTCAAAAGTCCATTCAAACAATACAAATCAGAATCAGAGCAAACACGGACCTCTTAAACATCAGAGGTAGGATCAGGTGCCATGGAGGAGTGAGCATCCCCTGTCGTGTGCTCCTTGTCATCATCGGGAAATTATTTTTTAAAATTCATTTGCAGCAAACGTTCACAATTTACAGATCATCAATTAGTGTATGTTATGATTTATCCTAATAATTATTTTAAAACTTTTTTTTTTCAGTTCTCAAATTAAGGTGAATTTCTTTTTTTTTTTTTATACTACAATCAAACATTTTATACCCTTTGCCGCATTAATTGTGTTTTCAACAGATATGAAAAATACATCTTGGATCAATGATTAAGCTGTTTTAAAAATGCAGGTATGATTCTAATTAGGTTTTCACCTGCTAGCAAAAACGTGTTGTCAGACGTTAGATCCATACAGGAAATAGGAGAGTGAATGTCATCCACAGTAAGCAGCTGAGTCTTCTCTTTCATACACCACACAATTATCTTTGTGTCCCGAGAGGCTGTAAAATATTCTACTAGTTTTGCACATATGGCACCCTGCACAGTCATGTCTCTCTGTATGTGTTGTTTTCAATAATTTTATTCTGATTTTTTTTTTTTTTTTTTTTTTTTTTTTTTTTTTTTTTTGATTTTTTTTATTTTATTTTTATTATTATAATTTCGGAAAAGTTATTTATTTTAATATAATTCGTTTAGGCTTAGCCTCTAAATACTAGTAAGAATCTTTTATTTAATAATAAATATTGTAATTTGTTTTTAATCCATAAACTGATCAGGATATATAATTAAGCAACAGAAAATGTTTATTTTATACCTGACGATAAAAGATCGGCATTGCTGTTGAGCTTGAGGGCTGTCACTGCTTTTGTGTGACCTTTCAGAACATCTGTTCTCTTTCCTGTCGACACTGATGACAACACAATGGTCGTGTCATCAGATCCACTGATCACGACGTCATCTTCTGGGGTCATGCACAGACAAAGAACAGCGCCCAAGTGTTCCCTTTAATAAAGATAGGGAGAATAATATTTGTTGTAATCTTAATTTTATTATGGGGTTTTAAATTATTATTCAAAATTAATTTACCTTATGACACTTGTACAAAGACCTTCAGCAAATTTCCAAAATCTAACTGTACCATCCTCCGAGCCACTGATACAAAACTGTTCCTTGTTTGACAATATCAAGCACCGAATAGAACTTCTGTGACCTTATTATAATATAAAAAAAAAATAAATACAAAATTAATACTAGTGGAAGCACAAGAAATTTAAGACTCAAAAAAAAAAAAAAAGAAATACTGTTTACTTATTTACCAGAAAACAGCTTCAGTAATTTTTTGGATGGCACATGATACATTCCAATGTCAAGAAGACCGTAAGAACAGAGAATATGCTGGTTGTTGTGCAGTGGTGCGATGAGATTTGCTCCATCTAGACCATCCATTGTTGCCACAAGAGGAAGGTGAGGGCTAGGAAGCCATGACGTCATAGGAATGAACAAGGGTTCATTGTATGTGTCACACCATTGCATGCTCTGAGTCACGAGAGATTCCGTAAAACAAGGGTAAAAATCTATACATATAAAAATATTTGCATTACACATGTATTTTGCTTATAAAGTGTGTGGAAAGCTACGACATTCAAAACATCATAACACATCGCTAACGCGCGTCATTCAATTTGTTTGCACACACCGTTGCAGTTATGAGACTATATCTTTCAAAAAATATTCATTAAATGGTTAAATAATGTATGCTTTAAAAAATTACAATCAGTATCCATTGTATAGTATTTATGTCACCCGAACAAAGTCGGACAACAAATTGTTCCTGCTAGACCTATAATTTTGTCCATGAATGTTCTTTTAGATGGCTGGAACAAATTTAATGAAACTTCAACTGTAGTTGTGCTTTCCACATTTTAAATTTTCCAAATGGCCAGTTACCAGTTGCATAACCAATCTTTTGGAAGCTTTAAAGGATTCTTTTTTGCATCAACTTTCGGGAGGAGCTGAAGTGACGTGACCATTGTGTACTGACATTCAGGTACGTGTTCTTGTGAATTACTGTGCTTTGTGTGTATATATTGCCATAATATGCATAAAACTTGAGGCATTTATATTACACCATTAGGGTCATTGGGGTGAGATATGCTATTAAATGCAATAGAAAAGTTTCTAGTTACTTCCCTACCGGTGAAACAGAAGGGGACTATAGGTTTCCTCCTGCCTGTCCGTCCGTCTGTCCCTTTGTCTGTCTGTCAGTATGTTCCACTCAGTTTTCTCAACTGTTTTCCTAAATGCTTCCAGATATTATGCAGTTTTTTGGTGTGTGAGTGTACCTTGATGAGTTACAGTTCAAGTTTGCATTTCATTCCGGTTCGTCGATTTTTGACGGAATTATGGCCGTTTTAATTTCTGAGGGAAACCAGTTTCTCACTTAGTTTTCCACACTTTTTCCCAAACACTCTCAGTTATTGAGCTGTTTTTAGTGTCTGTGTCTACCTTGATAAGTAATAGATTAAGTTTGCCTTTTGTTCTGCTTCAATGCTTTTTGACGAAATTATGGCCTTTTTAATTTTTGAGGGGAACCAGATTATACTTGCCGGTAGGGGACTAGTATTGCTTATGCAATACTCCCAGGATGCTTGTTTTATTTAGTGTTCCTAAATACTCAAAGAAATTTGAAACATTTCTGCTCAGCACTTCCTTGTATAGATTTTTTTAATAGATCATCTTGGAGTGAACTTGAAATATATTGTCATATTCTATGCATGAATGATTTATAAGTGTTCGATTTGATTTATTCTGGCATCTTGCACAATGATTCACAGGTAATATTGCAAGGTTCATGAGCAACATAAATAAACAATGAGCTATTACCTTTGATGTCTCTTAGATACCCGATCAGTTCATTAGCTAATTGTGTTGGATGCTTTGCAAGGACAGGACATGATTTCAGCAGGCAGTTGTAAATCAGAAAGACTTCAGCATCTACTAGTCTGGACAAAGTTAATCGGAAGTTCTGAAGGACTGTATTTATGGAGGAGGAGTCAATCATTGAAAGCAAATACTCAAAGTTACACAGGGCGTGTTCCTTTAGCCGCTTTGCGTCACCTGTAAAGTGATTAAACATTGCTTCATGTTGCATAAGCGTCGACGGCTTCAAAGGAATGCGTATCTTTAAAATCAACAGTATTAATGAACATACGTCATTATTAATGCTACTATTATCACAGGAGCTTCATCAGATGAAATAGATTTTCAACATTGGTGCATTATCGCATGAACTTTCAAATGATTTCTTTATGATAAAAGAAAAACAAGTAAACAAAGAAAATATAAGGTATTGTCATTTTCTTTTCTTAGTCTAGCTCAAAATTCACAGTCTTTTGCGAGTACTATTTTGCGCGGTCTAATTTCTTAAAGCTTTCTGAGAGCTTACATAATATTTTTTTATGCCAAAACTCTCAGACTCGGCAAACATTTTTGCCATGGAGGTAAAACATCACAACCAGAAAGATTTTTACCTAACTGCAGTAGGTGTATCCAAAGTTCGTTTATCTTCCTATTGTTATATTTGGTCTCACTGTACAGGAGAGGTTGGTGACATACATATCTCTGAATGTCGTCCTCGATCAGAGAGTTTTCCTGTATCAACATCTGTTTACCCTCCGTCCATGTCTCCAAAAATAATTCCGTCAAATCGGAATGGATACCACCAATACTATCAACATTTGCCATGTATCTCCTTCGAACAATATCTTCTACAAAATCATGGGACCAGCACAAAACAATTTTTCTGTGGACGAAACGCTGAGACAGAAGTAATCCTGAAACAATATAAAAAAAACGCTGAGACAGAAGTAATCCAGAAACAATATAAAGATAGCAAAACCATTCAGGAAAAAAACCCGTTAGATTGATCGCCCAAAGTCCGTGATTGTTTGATTAAAATGGGAGCCCCCCCCCCCTCTTACCTCATGGGAATTACTTTATACCTCGGCGACTTGTTCATGAATCAAAATAATAACATAGTTAATGCAATGGTTAAAAAATTGAAAGGAGTTAAATACATCACAGATTAAATTTATATTTACTGACCTAAACGGTATGATCTTGAAGCAAAATCTTGATAAACTTCTAGCAATGACATGCTCATTTAATTAAGGGTTCTAGAGTTAGATTTTAGTATCTTATTATTCGGTCTCCCCATCCTCAAAGATTTGACATACGACGACATACTTAAGTTTAAATCTGATCTAATAATGGGTTCAAAACGATTTGAAACATAGGGACTTCCATGCTAATATATATATATATATATATATATATATATATATATATATATATATATATATATATATATATATATATATATATATATAGATCCTCCAATATTGGGAGACGAAAATTAAAAAAATAAATACATACCTATCTCAGATTTGAGATAAATCCATAAGAACCATGGAAATCGAAACACCTCAGAATTGCTATATCTTAAAACAGATAATATGACATCGTTGTTGCAAGATAATATGTCCAGAAGTTCTGATTCACTTAAACCAAAGTTTGATAGGGTAAAATAACGACACATTGCTTCTACAAGCTCCGTTCCAAATGTAAACTCCAACTGGTCTAAATGTTTGTGAACTATTTCCTCATTTGAAATTGGAAAGTGATTGTTTATGAAATTGTAATTCACATGCCAGTCTTTTAAAAGTTTCAGAGCATTCTGAATGACAAACGGTGAGGCTTTTAGAAGAAGTTTAATGAATAGTTTTTCTTTGTTTTTGGCCATTACTCTCTTATTCTTGGAGAGATTAAAAGTCAATGCTTCTTCGATTCGGTCATGCGTCCAACCTGGAAAGATCACCATACTGTCTATAGCATTATTGGTTTTGGCTTCAAGTTTTTGAAAAGCATGATCTTTGCCTGGTCTGTATGAAATTATCAGATGCACTTTAGGAGGTAGCTTTATTGAAAACCAGTCGATCATATAGTTTGTTTCTTCCTTATCGTTGCTCTCTAAGTTATCAACACCATCTAGAACAAGCACAAGGTGACGCTGACCTTTTGAAATACGATTTGCAAGACCATAAAAGTAATTTGTGAGATGCGACCCATCATACTCCTCCAAACAAATGTTCTGCTGAAGTACAAAATTCAGTTGAACACAAATTTCCCTAAGAATTTGCTGCTTATCCTTCGATTTCGGAGTTATCCCTATGAATCTTGATATAAGTATCATGTCCTTACCAAATAATTCTCTGGCACGAAAACATATTTTAGATAGGAAGAGCGATTTCCCACATCCAGCATCCCCTTTGACAATTATGAGCGGATGATCAATTCTTGTTCCATTCATTAGTAGCATCTGTATCTTGGACAAGAGAAAGTCCAAGCCACCTCCATGGTAAACTTTCATTAATTCTTTGCAATGGTGCAAATGTATCAGTGTCTCCAGACAAAGTTCACCTTTTTTCGTTGACGGAAAATGCAGTTTGTTCTTTTCATGTTCATCAAAAAAATCCCTCAATCCCATCGCCACTGCAGCTGTCAAATTTTCAAGATAAGCCACATGCTCCGAATTATCTTTTGATATACCTTTCGAGTCACATTGTAAAGTGAATGTGAATTTATTTGAATTTGAAATCTTCGAGTCTACCTCACATTTTAAATTGCTAAGCCTTTCCTGTTTGTCCTTTTCCAGGATTCCGTTGAGGTCAAGGTCAGTGAAACAGGCTTGAATGTCTTTTGCTTCACTCATTGATAAACCTTTGATAAGAAATTGCATACAGAGTATTAATTCCAGGGTATCTGATGCAAAAAAGTTCAGGAAAACAAAGTGCTGAAGTAGAGAACTTTGTGCGTTTTGTTGTAACTTGTATACTTTTTTCCCATTATTGCACTGATATACCGTAGATTCCCAAACATAAGCGAGTAATTAATTATCGCGTAATTTCGTGAGTGGTTCGTGAGAAGAACCACTCACGAAATAAGATTCCTCGCTTTTATTTTTATGATGCTAAAATCAATGTAAAATCTCTCGATAAACCGTCCACTCGCGAATTATTGTTCTCGTGATTTGATGTTCAAGAGCCATTTCGCGAAAATAAGCACTCGCGAAAAATAATGAATCTACAGTACTAAGTTTGTTTTTTCTCTTTATTTTTTTTTGTTTACCTTCTATATTTCTGAATATAAAAACTCCTTCCTTGCAGCCCAGTTTCAAAGCTTGTGTAACCTCTTGTTCAAAAGCTAAAAAAGATTACTGTTGAATGGTTTTTAACAACATCATAATCATTAATTTACCTAAGTAATACATGTATTTGAAAATTGTTTTTTCATGTTTATAAAGTTTCAGGGACGAAGAACTTGACACAGCGTATTGCAAGTAAATATACTGATTCACACACACACACACACCCTCACACACACACACACACACACACACACACACACACACACATATATATATATATATATATATATATATATATATATATATATATATATATATATATATATATATATATATATATATATATATATATATAATGATCATTTTCCCATAATTTTATAGTATACCCGAGGTGAAAAAACGTTCCTGTTTCTGGAGATGAACCTGGTTGATGTTTCCTTCGTCGTGAGCTATTTTGGCGCCATACTGAATTATGTCCAACAGACCTGTGTAGGTAGCTGACCATTCCTCTATGTTCCTCTCATGTTCTCTCTGATTTCCACTAGACCTAAAGTTACAATGAATTTCATGAGAAAATGAGACATCTTCGATATCAGTTTCTTTTAATATGCAAAGCATAATTTTCTTAAAAAGTATAAACGAAAATAAAGTTAAACTCTATTCTTTTTAAAAGGAAATTATTGCAAAGCCTTTAATTCTCAGATTTCAAACTTTTATCGTAAAAAATAGAAAAGAAAATGTTCAGAACAGTCAAATTACCCGTAAAGCAAATTAACTTTCACTTCTAAACACTTTAAAAGGACTAGTTTTACTTTACCCTAATGAACAGATTAAGAAAAAGGTGTACTAAGAAAATTCTAGCGCAAATATTTCTTTCCATGAAATTACAGAAATATTTGCATTTTAAAGAAAATGCTCTGAATAAGAGCTCTTTAATAAATATCATGATGAAAACTTTCCATGTTATTGTCAGTACCTAGCAGCTAAAGGATCACAACAATTATGCATAAAATCTTCACAGCGCATGCTCTATTAAAAAATTACTAAACCAGTTTATATTGACTATATTAAAATTTCTCTAAAAATGATTGAAGATAAGTCTTTTTTTCTGATGATTGAACATATCAACCTGAATTGAATGTTTTTGTAGACATCTTGCAGAGGTTTCAGCTTATACAAAACGGGAACAGAGTACTCATCCTTAATGTACCAGTCGTCTAGAAGGCGGATGTCTGTTAATGAGTCAAGACAATTTTAATTCATTTGTAATAAGTAACTTGTCCTCATGTCAATGTTTGTACAAGAAAACCATGTATACTGAACAATTTAAGAATGTGAAAATGCAAATTTACTGAGTAAAAACAGCGTAAAATCCTTTGTAATAAGTAACGTGTCCTTATGTCAAAGTTCATAGAAGAAATACATGTATATTGTACAATTTATTGCGGGAATTACCGCCGAAAGTCTATGTATCTTACTTTTATTCTGGTTTTGCTGACTTCTTTATTCTGTAACTATATGTCACTTTATTGTTTTCATATCGAAGCTTATTACATTTCTCTTTGAACACTTTTTTCCCTTCATTTTGTCCTTACTTCTATGTTGTTTAATTCTTTTTTTATCCGGGTTAATTCGTACTACTTTCTTTTCTATTGATACCTGATCTTTATTACATTATCATAATTATCCCTATTACAAACGTGAATTAAATCACGCAAACAACGAAGCATTTAACAGGTCTAGGCCTCCGTTTTAGGAGCATAGTTTTTGCAAGTACATTTAGACATCATCCATCTGCCACGCAATTCTAAATTTAGAGGACCCGACATAGTGCTGAGATTTTTCTTTTTAATATTGGCATCGTTTTGAATGGACAATTATTGACTTCATTGTTGAGACAGCAATGTATTTCGGCGGTTTTATATTGTACTGGTTTATTATCTAAATCATTGTTGTGTCTTCATCAGGGATCCAACTGTGATTTCTATTGTGGCAAAATAGATTTTGTAAGCAAATCATCAATACTTTTATGTTTAGAAAAAAAAAACAACTGGTGACCAGTATTTCCAATATTAAAAACCATTTAAGGTCAGTGTTTTGACGGAGGAGATATTGGAATGTTGATTCAGGACCCCTGACGTTGCGAGGAGGAGGAATGCCATCGTTTATTGAAATTTACCTATGAAATATCGGAGTCATCACTACCATTTCTGGTCACATGTAAATACATAGGAAATCCTTTCTCGGAAACTCGTATTCTTGACGTTAAATCGTACATTAAACCAAAATTAAATTTTCAATATTTGCACCGTCACGGCGCACATCCCAAAACGATCTGTAAAGGCTTTATTAAGAGGGCATATATAAGATATGTAAGCAATAAACAAACAAACAAAAGCTATTTTGCTAATTACAGTTGGATCCCCGATAAAGGTAAAACTATGATTTAGATCTGAATACACCAATACAATATCAAACCACCGAAACACATTGCTGTCATAACAATAGTCAATAATTAATTATTTATTCAAAACGATGTCAATATAAAAAAAGGAAAAAAAATCTCAGAACAATGTGTCCTCTAAATTTAGAATTATGTGGCTGATGTGTGTTGCCTAAATGCACTCGAGTTACTGTTTCACCAATATATAGTTCCAATGCATATGTAAGAAAAGACAATTATTTCATAAATATCAAGTTTATTCTAGAAAAAAAGCATCATACGTACTTCATTGAAAACAGTAGTGATTTATTTTCCAAATAATTATCTCGTGTCAGTGCATTTTTTGAAAGACCTTACCTTCTTTAGACTATTCATTAATTTTTTCTTGTACTTCATTTTTCTATATTCCTTTTGCTTGCCATGTTTGAGAGAGAGAGGGGCCTACCTTTTCCCCCCTCAAATGCTTCATTTCTAATATGTGTAAACTCTGCTTCGTCCAGAAAACTTGGAAGAGGACAGTCCCCATATTTGGAACCCAGAAGGCACTATAAGTAAATGAAATAATTATTCATTAATTTCAGGACTTGATAACCATCTTCAATGTGTAACTTTTCTGAAAGAATTTCTGTAAATCATTTTCTGATTGGTTTATCACTGGCTGTGATAAACCACGAAATCATCAATTTTCGTGGGGGTTAATTTTCGTTGTTTTCTTGGAAAGAATTCATATCCCCCACGAAATGTGAAAATTGCATACTGCTTCTTAATGTTCCTCCTTTAACAACGAAATCAAATCCCCTCGATCCAGTAGTTTTTCCTCATATCACGAAAATTTGACCCCAGAAAAATAAGTTATTTTACAGTACCATATAAAACACATTAAGTCATGCAACACAAAATTGTAAGGTACATGTATACGCCAATCACATGATTTATTTTAACGTTGTTAAAACTCGGGACTATTACCTCAAAATTATATTGGTGCGACAAAAAAATCTCTGCATGTCATCAATTAATATTTGAAAATTCAACAACTACAATTCATTAAACCACAAGGGTAGATAGTTTTACCCCTAATGTAAAAATAAGAATTGTACATTCTGTCAGGTGGAAGAAGAAACAATTGAACATTTGCTTTGGGAGTGTGATAGTTTACAACATTTTTTAAGAGAATTTGAAGATTACTTTGAAAATAAAACTAATCTTCAAATATCAATCACAAAAAATAATTTCATTTCATTTTGGGGTTCTTGGATGAAAAGAAAAAGACACATTAAATCATTAGAAATAAAACGACAATTGAAAACAATTTTTTACCGTATATATTTTTTTTTAAAATTGATTTTTATTACTTAAAGAAAAGATGGGTATAACTCTTCAACAAAGGTCAAGGTCATAAATTAGGACACGTTCCATTCTTACATGCTAATAGTAATAAATGGGAATTATGTCTAAATATACTGAGTATTCCACCCGTACACATCTGTTACGTATTCAAATTCATTGAATCTGAGGCTACAAGGGATGGAATACCTTAAAGAACAACAAAACTTTGTTCTATGTTTTAACATCTAATTTCCCTCCCAAGCAAAATGGGATAAACACTACTAAGGGTGCATTATCTGTTGACCATTTGAAAAGATTACCCCTAATTTTTATATATATATATATATATATATATATATATATATATATATATATATATATATATATATATATATATATATATATATATACTGAAACAAGAGATTACATAATTTTTTTTTGTATGTAGTATCAAATGATTAATTTTATAAAAGAAATTTTTTTAAAATTTATTGACTTAATTATAAGTTTGACTGTATGACTAAGCCAAAACCAGGTAGTCGGCTTACTAGAGATTCGGTCTCGTTTAAAGCTATATATGGCGTAACCAAAATTAAAAAAGATCTTTCTATTTGTTTTATTGCTCTCGTATATAAAGATAGTACTTTTCTGAAAATTACACAATTTAAATCAATCGCGTTTCAAAGATATCAAAAATTTAGAACTATAACCGATTTATTTAACAGCTCCACAAAAATAACAGAGATTTGAATAACACCGCCTTAATTTGATCGCGTGACACTATATTTAGACAATCAACGATAATGGCAAACAATGAGAACGGTGGGAACACAAGCGTTTTAATAGATTCAGAGAGAAAAGCGAGGAAGAGATGGGCAGATATGGAGACAAGTAAAGAGAAAATGATGTTATATTAACAATATCATGTACATTTATACGTGTTCCGTCATGCGCGTGGTGGATATTATTAATATTCAAAGTTTAACCTTGACTTTGCTGTAGGGAGAGGGCTAAAATAGGTATGCCTGCTGCCTAATCCCATTCACTTCATGTGAATAAAATTATGTATAAATAAAAAGTTTAACTTCAATATAACTATATAGAAACGTGAGATAATGGGAGTTCAAAATCGGTGAAAATTTTAGTTTACATAACATATATCATGTTTATCTACACTCAATTTTGTATTATTATTCTTTAGCTCAGATACGCCATATATAGCTTTAAGCTCTCCAATCAATGATATTTTCAATATCTGGTAATTCCAAAAGTTTTCTGCGTCATAAACAACATTTGATCATTTGAAATTGACAACTGCAACATTTCCTTGAGTGTGAGTGAGGCATAACATGAGGTTATTTAGTACATTGCTAAACGCATTAAAATACCTTAACTTGAGCAACAAGAATAACATTTTAATCAATTTCCAATGCATGCATACCATTGTATATTTTACATAAAATATTATAATTGTGTGTATATATATGAAAGGTCAATTTACAGTTTAAATTTCAAATGTCGTATAGTAAATGGCTTAATTGTTATTAACCAAACAGTAATTCAACAATAAGAAACGGTATAATTTTAAGGGATAAGATGCACTCCTGTCATTTAACAGTTTATATTTACATTTTCAAATTTCTTTGTTCAAGATAAAACTACAAATGATAAAAAAAAAATCTTGATTTCTTCATAAAGCTATTGGTTCATCGATAGACGTGGTTCAACAAAAATCAGGTGCCGGGAGGAAGAGAAGTGGTCGGGTCTTGGAGCACATGATTTACGAAATCACTAAATAACTGTCTAGTTTTGGGGTTTATGATGATGATCAAGCAGTTGAATTCCGTTATTATTTTATGCATGAACGCCTTCGGCGTTTATGCAAATTATCAAGCAAGCCAATTTCTTGACCATATCATAAAACCAAGAAACTAGACAGTTATTCCTTAAAAAAGTACTTACAATGAAGAAAGGGCCCGAAGACTTCCTATGACACTCCTCCATTGTCGCCAGGTGGCGCTGAAAGCTGTGTGTGTCCTTGGCGTGGTCAAGTTTACAACCATGATGGACATCAACCCAATGTAGATCTAATCCGTATTTCAGACAGTGGTGTTGGAGTGTGGGGAAAGTGTCTTTCAGAAGAGCAGTCCTTTCAACTTCAAAATCTATTTTATAACATGTTTAAAAGACTACTAGTATATTTATCTTCAAACATAAAGTGAAGTTTTAAAAGATATGTCTGATATACATTCGACAATAATTCAATTGAATTCGGGCCCTTACTTTGTACCCATGGAAAGGGTTTATACAGGCAAAGCCTGCTGCCCAATCTATCTATATTTTATTACATATTTTCAAATCATAACTGTGTTTTCTCTAATTTCTTAATGGTAGTATCTTTCATTTAACTTATAATACAGAGTTGTCTCTTCAGTCTATTTTGTTCATTTTCAATTTATTGTTTATACATAGATGTTAATCATTTATCTTGATCTTTAATTTACTTAATTATTTTTTTTATTTATCTATTTATTTATTTGAAGAGAGTTACATTTAGTGAATGAAAAAGAAAAAAACTATAAAAATATATGCTAAAATTGAAAAATGATAAATCAAATATAGAATCATTTGGACATCATACCTACTTATCAGAAAGAAAATCCACATAATATATCAGAATGGGCGTGTAGCATAGTAATAAAACCGTGGAAATTCTTAAGAAAATACAATGAACATTTCCATGCCATAACCATAGTGACTAGACAAATATACGTCTTAAGAGATGTATTATTGAAAAAAAAAAGAGATCCGTTATCCTTAATTAGAAAGCGAACAGTGTAATTAGACTTCAGATAGAACTCATCGATCTCGATTGAGGTTTTGTTGATAACTTCTGACATGAAAAACAACAGTAATAAGAACAAGCTGAATAATTAAGAAATGAATTCAATTTTTGAAGATTCATGAGGACATGAACTACGACGCTTCACGCCGGCATATTTCATGAAGCGCGTTAGCGCTTCATGATAAATATGCCGGCGTGAAGCGTCGTAGTTCATGTACCTCATGAATCTTCAAAAATTGAATTCATTTCTTATATTTACATTATTTTTCTGATGAGTTGCCACAAATTACACAATTCAACTGTCATTTTTAAAGCAAAACAGTTTGCACTATAGTTTTGACGTCAAGTACGGTATTATGACGTAACAATGGAGATATTCATGCTCATCCATGGTAGTTCATGAGAAAATGAACAATCGTCTTATTTGCAAAGAATCTTAAGGAAAAATATTTGGAAATGTAAATATTTGAAAATAAACCCATCTCCACTGATCTCATTCCAGATTTCTCCTAACATATATTCACAGGCTGCATTTTTCAACTTTCTTAAAATTTTTATGAAAAAGCATATATCAAAATTTCGTGCAATGAATAATTATTTTACAGTAATATATCTGTTTGCATTATATATCTTTTGTTTCATTTAAGATTTTTTTTTTTTTTTTTTTTTTTTTTTTGCATACCGGGGGTTTTGTTTCAGGCAATTTCCGTTAATTTTATTAGAAGGGGCAATATCTGATTTGCGGTACAGTTTCATATGCTGTGCGCAAATTCCATTTGTGGAATATTAATAATGTTGTATGACAACAAAAATATCTAACATACTTTTAAATTCTCATTGTTTCTTTTTGAGTGGAATAATTAGCTTAGGATCAAATCCCACTTTTTTGCTTCATAATCAAACGTCAGTGATATTGTCAATATTATCCGACATAATATAGCAATGTATACTCCATATCACAGAAACTTGTTTCTGTAATAAATTTTTACCCCGTAGTATAATTATCATACCATCTGTCATAAATTTTTTTTTACAGAAACAAGTGTCTGTGTTCCATATTGTAAGATACTGTTTTAACTATTAAACACATAAAAATAAATTGCACTAATAAAAAAAAAATGTTTGCCACTGGGTGTATTTGATCCGGGGACCTCTGGATTGTTAAGCGGGTGCTTATCCACATGACCAGTCACACCTTGCATAGAATGTCCATTTAATTAATACTTATATAGATATATGTTTCATTTAATATTTTCAAAATCTTAGATCAGCAATAATTTTGAATGATAGAAACTGGTTTATTAGGAATATTACTATAGTATTAAATTGATAAAAAGTGATTTAAAAAAAATTATTTTTCAAACTATAATGTTCTTTGTCTAACATACTTCCTGTAATTATCTGAAGCCATATTTGCTTTGTTCGATCTAAAGAAAAATACATGGAAGATCTCTTGGACTGTTCTGCAATGTAAGTGAAATTGTGGCATAAAATGTTTTATTTTTATATATATAACAATGCAGTGTATGTGATAATATGAAATATTTGAATTATTCTGATATTTTTATTGGGTTATAATTCATTCATTGTTTATGTAACAATTCCAAGTCAAACAGTTCAGTTATTATAATGTTTCTATTACAATCATTTCTCAAAGAGATAAATCATGAATATAAAGAAGTAATTCAAGATTTTCAAAGTATAATATATTTCCAAATATTACACTTTTATAACCAAGCTTATTTTTTTTATACTGAAACCTTTACACTTGATAAATAGTAAATATGATGTCATTATTGATGACAGGTTGATGTGAACCTAATTGTGTTATTCGTTGGCTCAATTACAACGTACACCTCCTGTTCAAATCCTTACTTAGGGTATGTGACAATCATGATATTTTATTTTTATGTCCATATTATAATGAATGATATTTATCATTATTATGGTACATAATGAAAAGTAATATATATAGGTATCACATATGTTGAATATCATGAAATTATTTATCTGTTTCATTTATTATATTCAACTGATGTAACTGTGTAATAAGGATATAATTTTTAGAAATAAGACAGAAAAAGTATTGTAAACTGTCTTATACTGCATTAACTGTCATTGTATTTATATATTATTGTAGAACGGTACCTTTAAAAGAAGTTTCTTAATAAATGATTGAAGCCTAACTCATTCCTTGTTACAATATAAAGGAAATTCTGCATTATGAGATATGAAGATAACGAACAGTGTTCAAGCTCAAAGTCCATTTAGACAATAAATATCGGGAGCAGATTAAACACGGACCTCCAAAACATCAGAGGTGGAATCAGGTGCCATCGAGGAGTGAACATCCACTGCTGACCGGTCATACCTGCCGTGTGCTCCTCGTCATGATCGGGAAAACGGAAAAATCCGTAGACAATGCAGTGTGTAAATAATGGCCCAACAATTAGTATGAAAAACGCTAGTCAGTATTTGACTTAATGATAGGTTGTATTTGCTGACAAGGTCATTGTATCGACCATAAAACTTGCGAAATGATGACTTCAAACGAGACTGTTGATATCCTTTTTTCATCAACTTGCTTGTCAATAGCTTGCCTCGTTTTAAAAATTGATCGTACGTAGAGCTAGCATGCCCTTGCTGGGAAGCAAAAAACCCATATGCAGGTGATAAGGGTATATTGCTACATAAATAAGGGAATTGACGATTGAAAAATTGAAGTCATCACGTTAATCATAGAGCTTGTTGTTAGGTTACCATTATCATCTTTTACCATAAACGTTTTTCTTGTAAAATATCCAAATATGAAACAGATGCGTCAGTCTCTGTGGACTCACTGGGATATATCGAGTAGACATATAAATGGAAGTAACTATTGTTAAATGTCGGGTTGAAAGCCACGGTGTTTTCATCTTCTCATGTAGAAGTTTTTGAATAAATCCTGCTTCATATGAATATTAACTGATGAAAAAACTCTTAATGACATAAAAGTCTATTATTCCTTTATAATTTTGCAAAGATGAAATTTCTCTTTTTGTCTAATTTTGCCCCTCAAGCTAAGCTATATTATTGTTTGTATTTTACTTATAAAACACATTTGAAAAATTGTAAGAGTTGAAGCAACATTTTATAATATATATTATTTTATTATATATTACTTATCTATTAAAGTAATTAAGTAAGTAAGTAATTGTTTATTTAAGTGTCACAAGCCAAATATTACGAATTAAACAACACAATTTCAATTGCATGTATAGTTTTGGTATCCTGCCTCAAAGACACTAAAAAATAATTTCAAAAAATGTGTGTAAATTAAATCTTTTTCCACAATTTTAAAATATTTTAGTTACTCCAGGGCTTATTTAAATATCTGCGTGTTCCTTCTTCTGCATATTTAAAATAATGTTTTGGCTACCACAGCCTGTATATCAGTGTTGTTCATTAAAAAACAATTTCACTAAAGCTATTAAAGTTTGCTTCTGAGATTTTAGCTAACGCAGATCGCTATAAAAGCGTAATCAAAATTTAGCTCAATCGTCGATCAAAGAACCATTTTATCAATCAGTATTTCTATCTATTAAAATTAAATTAAATATTTTTAAGTAGTTTTAGATTTATTATTGAAATAACGCGCAAATCATCGAATTCATTGAAATAAGTACAAATTCTAAAGTATACAACATTGTCTTCTTTGTTATTTTACCTGAATAATTGGAGCAGACATAGATTTTCACAGTTTGTCGTGGAAGTTCTGGAACTTCCTGGAGTCTTCCTGTAAGAATGTTCTGTACCGCTGTTTTATACACGGCCGTGGAGTCAGCGGCCATCTTGTCATCACCATCGTGTGGTCAATACAAATGACAGCTAATGCCAAAGGATTAAACTTTGTCTGAGGTTCAGTTCATACCTATTACACACAGATAATCTAAATGCACGATAATGGTATGGCACAACAAAAATCAAATTACTATATGGCACTAAAACTTTTTCTCATATAAAATTGCAATTTCAAAGCTTACATTTACGATCACTGCTATTTAGAGCACTTTGAGTACTGCAAATGTGTTTAAAACATTTCAATAAAGAATTCCATGTCATACCTGTTGCTTTTCTATGTTAAAGATGTTCGAAAAAGTGAAAATGATAAACAAGCACTGTAGGTAATTGGTAAAAACTACTTAGAAAAATTATGAAAACCTGTTATGTAAGATTTTAAAAAATTATCTAATTAAGAAGATTAACGTCTGACATCTCGATCAGTGATTCATTACTCCTTATTTAGTAAATGAACCATTTCTTTCAATCACCGCACGTTATATCTATGAAACCTTTTATTATTTTTTTTTTTTTTTTTGTAATATCTTAAATTTAAGTGCAATTCATTGTTCAAATAATGTTTAAGTCTTTTTGTATGGTTGTAAAATTGATTGATGAAACTGTATATATATTACACAGGTTTATTTTACTCTAGTATGGAAGTCAGTGACGATCACATGTTTCTGTACTGACCGGATATAACTAGGCATTTTGCGAGAATTTTCCTTCGGAAATCTATAACTGAAATCGGATTGATTATATAATTTACTAGAAACTTCCTAATGGAATGAAATAAATGAAGAAGTTGCGGAAATATCTTAATTAATACTAAATCTCACGCGAAAGCGAATAATGGATTGTATTGGCTTAATAGAAGAGGATGAGGAATGTTGTTCGTAGTATCTGAGAGACAAATAACAGTATTTTAATTACCTTGTCATGAAGCTAATCCCTTACCGTGGAATTGACAACGCTTTTTGATGTTCTGAAATAAAATTGATAAAGATATCAAAAGCAAGAATGTTTTATTGGAGGAAGAAAATGATTATTTGAACAATTTAATTTGGATAAAAAAGGAAAATAATAAAATGAGAAATCCAAACTTTCTCAATGACAGAAAATCATTTTATTACAAATGATTTTGCCAATAAGATGATGATTCATGTATTCTTATATTTTCATTGGATTTTGTCCGTAATATCATATATATATATATATATATATATATATATATATATATATATATATATATATATATATATATATATATATATGCAAATAAGATAAAGGACAGTTTTTTAATTACAGAGAACAACTTGAAGAATATTCATTGACACTTACTTCGACTATCAACTGTTCATCCTCTGTAGAGCACGGTTCGTATGATAACTGTATCAGTTCCAGGTAGTAATAAGTATTAATTGGAAATAAATGCCACAAGGGTGTCACAATCGATCGTGGAAGATTTCATTTCAGCAATGTCATCATCTCTGACGAAGCCCTTGTGATCATAAGATGCTTTCTTTTCCTGCGTTACATCTATGGATGTCTGGATTGGAATACGCCACTGGTCGTATCTTACTATACAGTATCGTGTGAATTATCGTATTCTTATGTCGTACTCTGGTTGTCATAGATACTCGTTACGGATATGAGATCCTACCTTTACCTGTCATGATATCACTTGTGTCGTCTCATCAAAGCGATACCGTTAATATAGTTTATTTCAATTCATTTTACACAACACTGTGTTATATAATTACTCTTCTATTTAATCGATGGCTTTCTTCGTACTTGTTCATGCTCAAATCTCAAAACAAAAATATAATAATGATAAAATAAAAATAAACAACATGCTTAAGAATACATGAATATGTAACTGAAAATCGAATTCAAGCAGGGACATACTAATTGTTGTTTCTTTTCCCCTACAGGTGCTCTATTCCAAAGCTTAAGGTTGAAAATGAATCTATAATATAATATTTAAAGCTTGAAATACTAGTACTCATATCCAACAATGACGGATATTATCGGATAGTAGTACGTTACCTGAATGAAAAAGAAGATAATGAACAGTGATCGATCTAAAAAAAAAAAAATAAATAAAAAAAAAAAAAAAAAAAAAAATTTAAAAATCTACAAACAATTCAGATCTTTACAGTAAAATATGCATTTTATCATTAAACAGAATATTATTTTAAAATGTTAGAGAGACCATGAATACCATTGCAAAAGATTTGTTTAGTACCGCTATTTAATTAATATCGACAAAATGTATTGAATTATTTCTACCGTGTTTTTTGTGTAAAGGATTGGCAAGTTTAACTTCAAGGTGCCTCATTCAATCTCCTTTTCGCAAGAGCAGATACCACAGAGTCTGTCACATCAGTTTCATATTAGGATATTTAGCTAAAAAAAGACGTAAATGTTAATCTAACAACAAAATTTATGATAAACGTGGTGAATTTAACTTTTCAATCGTCAACTTCCCTTACTTATGCAGCAATACACCTTTATCACCTGCATATGGGGTGTAGATCTCTCAGTTGATTCGATACGCAAGAGCATGTTCTAAATTTAATATGTACAATTTCAAAAACGAGGTAAGTTATTGACAAACAAGTTGATGAAACAAGAATATCAGCAGTCTCGTTTAAAGTCATCATTTCGTAAGTTCTATGGTCAATACAATGACCTTGTCAGCAAATACAATCTATCATTAAATAGGCCATTTTTTAACACTGAATTGTCGACGGATTTTTCCGTTATTTCTCGATTATGACAAGGTGTACACGGCGGGTGTGACCGGTCGACAGGGGATGCTCACTCTTCCATGGCACCAGATCCTACCTCTGATACTTTTGAAGGTCCATGGGAATTCTTATAGATTGTTGGAAGACCTGGTCTCCAAAAACCACATAGATATTGTCAATCAGAAACTCAAGCATCTTTTGAATGTCAACTTCAGAGTACTTGTGTGTACAATCACAATGTTTTTTAACAAAATAATTTTGCAAATGACCAATGACAAGGTAAGTAAATTTACGAGTTCCATTTTTATTGAAAAAGCAGCTGTCAATGATATCAAAAAGCCTGGACTTTAATTTATCGTGGGGAATGGTTGTGTATAAAGTTGTAAAGTCGTAAGTAAAGTTTTTAAGCTGTTGATTTTGGTAAAATCTTGTGATTTCAAATTTTCCAAAAGTTCTTTGGAATTTTTAAGTATGCAATATTTCTTCATAGTTTGCCTTAACAGTGCTGCGTACTTTTTCAAACTACATGTATACAAAATAAAAAATAAAATTTGAATTAAATTAAAACATTATTAAATTATTCTTTGAAAACATGTGTTTTTCTTCGGACGTTCGGGTATACAAACATAGGTAATCAAAGATTACGAAGCTCACCTCGATGAAGGTTATCTATAAGTAAGGCAAATCTTACATAATATTTTTTCTAGTAAGTGTTCATCCCAAGATCAATATTCATACAAGTTTGGTTTAAGAAGGACTTATAGTTACTTGGAAAGTAATCCGCACAGAGACCTACTCAAAAAACTTTTAACCTGTTTACTAATTAAGAAAATTTTGGTCAGTTCCAACATCCAAAGCAAGTCTGGAAGTTTTCATCCTTAGCTGCACCATCCATGCAAGTTTAATCATAACATGCCATAGTATTATATAGCTACTCAAAAACATTACCCTGGTCACTAATCTGGAAAATGTGGGTCAAATTCAGAATCAAAAACAAGTTTGAAAGTGTCCATCCTAAGATACATCATCCATGCTAATTTGAATAAAATATGGCTAAAATTCACTCATCTGGAAAATCAAGGTCAGATCTAGCATCCGAAGCAAGTGTGGTAGTGTCCATCCCTAGATGCATCATCCATGTAAGTTTGGTCCAAATAGGGGTTATAGTTACTTGGGAATGAAACTGCTCCAAAACTTTAACCAGGTCACTCATCAGGAAAATCTAGGTCAGATCCAGCATCCGAAGCAAGTGTGGTAGTGTCCATCCCTAGATGCATCATCCATGTAAGTTTGGTCCAGATAGGGCTTATAGTTACTTAGGAATAGACCTGCTCCAAAAAATTTTACCTGGTCACTCATCTGGAAAATCTAGGTCAGATCCAGCATCCGAAGCAAGTGTGGTAGTGTCCATCCCTAGATGCATCATCCATGCAAGTTTGGTCCAGGTGGGCTTATAGTTACTTGGGAATGGAACTGCTCCAAAAATTTAACCTGGTCACTCGTCTGGAAAATCTAGGTGAGATCCAGCATCCGAAGCAAGTGTAGTAGTGTCCATCCCTAGATACATCACCCATTCAAGTTTGGTCCAGGTAGGGCTAATAGTTACTTGGGAATGGACTTGCTCCTAAAACTTTAACCGGGACGCCAACGCCGACGCCAACGCCGGGGGTATGGCATAAGCTCATCTCGACTTCGTCGAGGTGAGCTAAAAAACCGACAAAAATAATTCTTATGTGTTTCTATAATATCGATTTTTAAAAAAGGTTACAGTGAATCTTTGACGCAAAATACATGTAAAAAAAAAATTTACACCCACCCACACTCACCCTCTCACACACACTGTATATATATATCTATACTTATAAATTAATAAATTTTGCAAAAAAAAAACTCCGAAACGGCTGCACCAGAGTTCATACTAACTCCTCTATGAATACACTAGATACAAGATGATGTCCGTAAACTATATTCAGATTTCACTCGCATAGTAAGTATCATATATCAAATTAAAAGTCTACTTTCATTTTCTATAAACAGCCATGAAATAGTAAAAAGGTGAGTAGGGTGGCGGTTCCGGTTGGCGGATCTAAGTTACTGGAAATTTTTAATGAAACTGAAAACAAGCAATCGTTTATTTATTTCATAAAACATCATCACTGAATTATTCAATCAAAACTTGATTTAATTGATATAAAAGAAATAAGTTGTGATTACCGATTAACAAGGGAAATGTGCAAATTATTTTCGTCATTCACCGATCTTAATATTGATGGAAACTTCTAGAACATCATATGGCATCGAGCCCGATGTTAAAAAGAAAAAAACGAGGTGATTATATAAAAAAAAAAAGCTTTTGTGTGAATGGTCATTGAAATAATGGTAAATCATTGATAACACTTGAGTTGTGAATTTATATATTTATATATCGAAAGACTATTAGTAGGTTTTCCTAATAATTTATCGGTAAACTTTGTATATTCCTCACTGAGAGCATAGTGACAACGAACCGAAGTACAATTTGTAACTTCGTAATAAATTTTCTTACATGAAAAGAGAAAATTAATGAATAAGGTATTGTTCAAATACAATTAAATATGTAAAAATTTTGTGCTTTAATCAATACATTTCAGATTTTTTTTTTTCTGAATACAGTCTTTTGTATCAAATACTCGGCAAAGGGCGTTCAAAGCTAATGTTTACAAAATAAACAAAGAAAAGAAAAAGAAATTTCAATTTATCATTAAAATGTGCATATTCGCTGCTTTATCCTTGATGGAAAAGAAATAAGAGCACCTGAAGTACAATATCCATAACATAGTTTAACAGGTTTCACAATAAACGTCAATTAATGAAATTATTTTTACAAGGGGGGGGGGGGGGGGGGCATACATCTACTTCTGCTCCAAAGCTAAATGCGGGATTTTGAAAAAAGTGTATCTTCCTGCTATAAGCCTGTAAGCTCTCAGTAGAAACTATAATATATATTATTGGAATATTTCTGTCGGTAGTGGTATAAATTCAATTCCCCGCGCTTGTGCGGGATTTCATCTAGTATATATATATATATATATATATATATATATATATATATATATATATATATATATATATATATATATATATATATATATATATATATATATATATATATATATAATGCTCATTGTTCATGGTTATGTCGTTTCTGACAGAATTTTATTCAATAGGACAGACTCATCAACATGACCACTTACTGTAACCAACTTTTATTCACGAGCGACCTTCTTTTACTCGCGAATATTTATCGTTGGCAACCAATTATTCACCTCTGTTTTTATGTAGAATGTTGCCTCAGTTGCGAAAATTAATAGTCGCAGATGGATTCTTAACTGAAGAATCGCAAATGAAAGAAATCGCTTTTAATAGTTGGTGTACAACCTACAAAATACATAGAAGTGTGTATACTCTTATTAATTTTAAGATACGCGTAGTTAATACCGAAAATACTGAAAATTTCATTCATTCTTTTTGATTTGATTGCTTTTGTTTTTTCTTTCTTTTCTAAGTGAACGCATGCGTATTATTATGTTCACATAAAGTTAAGTTATAAATCCGCCTTTTTTAGGAAATATTCTAATTTGTTTGATAAATGTGTTATATTTTATTTATAAGTCAGAACTGTATAATATTTCACAATTTATAACTTACTACGTCATAAGAGATAAGACGTGTACTCCTTTATCTTGACCACAGTTGGAGAACCTGTTCATTCACCATGTCTAGACATCTGTTAATTGTTTTCCATTTCCTTCTAGCCGGATTTTTATGCCAGGCTGCTTTGACAGAACTCGATGCATATTCCTTAAAAGGTGAGGACAGAATTTTTCCCAGTATTTTTGACTCATTTGCTGCATATTTAAGTTAAAGGTCCAAGCTCAAGGGAACAATGTTTAGTCTTATTTAACAAGAGGCCCATATATCCTGGTGCTCACCTGAATATCCCCTGTATCATGAATTTGGCAACAAATGATAAAGTAAGCTCTTCCTAGGACTCGAACTCCGAGAACATGTAACATGAATATTACATGAATAACATTGGTTGAAAACTCCTCCTGCATTATCGAAACGTTTCAATTCTGTCTGCTGAATATTTATGAGTGCTTAATATGATATATAAGTTATCTCTACCTTGGTTTTGGCTTTGTAATGAAGACCGAACCTTTAAATAGATCAAGAGACATAAATTTTAAAATTTTATTATATTCATAATTTTTTTTTACTGAGAAAGATTCTTGATAAAGAAGACATATGAAGATAAAAAACAAAAGTCATGCTTAAAAGGCCAATAAAGAACTTACGTTGTGAGTAGTGCAAACACGACCTCTAAAAACATCATAGATGGGATTAGATACCATGTAGGAGTAAGCCTCCCCCGTCGACCAATCACACCCGCCTTGAGGCCTTTGTCTTCATCCGGTAAATTGAGTTATTCGTAGACAATACAGTATCTAAAAATGGCTTAAAATATTGTGTTAAGTAGTTCAGTAAACATTAGGTTGTAATTGCAAATAAGATCAATGTATTGACCAAAGAATTTGGGAAATGTTGACTTTAAACAAAATTGTTGATACCCTCGTAACATCAACATATTTGTCAGTAGCCTACCTTTGTTAAGAAATTGTTCGTACACAGAATATGCTCTTGTGTATCAAATCATTGTAGCCTGTTATCATCATGCATACAGTTTTGCTGCTGAATGTCCAGGAGTGTAACAGATTTTCAGCTCATGATTTCAATATATAACCAAATTAGCCTACCGTGGAACAAAAACCTTTTTGATAAAGGATATAATTTCATCATTTTGGTATAGGGCTGTCACATATTAATATCATTATCATATCAAGTCGAACTTTCGATCAGAGGAGGAGATTAATGTTGGGTTGGACCTACCCTTCAAGTCCACGGGTTGTGGGGACATGGACTAAACGTTTTGTCCCCCCCCCCAAAAAAAAAACTGGTTTAGATTGCTTAGGTGATGTTAAAGAAGAAGCTGAAGATATTCAAAAGGTCTTTGACGGCAATATCTAAACGATCAAATATACTTTTTTCATGAAAGTTTAGAAGTTGCTCTATATTATGATTTTACAATCTTTGTTGTAGAATTTGATAAACTGGTTCGACAGAACCTGGTGTTTATGGTTGTGGACCGCGTCAATGATTCCATCACGGCCCAGAGACAAATGCAATACGACTGCGCAAGCCTAGTGAATCACACCGCAGACAATTGCAAATCATGTGAAGCGTAAGATTCAAACTTGATGTACACTTATCGAATTATGGAATTACTTTCTCTTTATTTACTTAATTGATTCCTATGTGTATTTCAGAGCACAGTACGTATTAGAGCAAAACAGATGTTGCCAAAGATGATGTGGACTTTTTATTTGCTACATAAATTAAGTTGATGCGATACATAAATCAAATCCTTTTTCAAAACTAAGAATATTCTCTGATGAACATAATTTGTATTATCATCAAGATTTCGTTACAAATTTTTAATAAAATTTTTATTAACTATCTGTAACAGAATACCTATCATATTTGTTAAAATCCACTTCAAAGTCAAATAAATGTTTAGTCGCAACAGCTTCAGTTTATATAAATATTCCGTACAATTTAAGAAGGTGGGTTATATCATTTCTTAGTATCTTTTAATTATTTAATGATAATAAACGAAAAAATTATATAATTAAATCTAGAGTACCGTTATTTATGAAGCCCACACTATTTTTTTTTTATTGTAGGTCCATCACTGATGTGGCAGTACTCTCTTTCCTGTTTAGCATAAGGACAACTCTTTATGCACGAATTTTGATTTTTTTAGCTGAACTAATCGAACATTCTTGATTGCTTTCAAGTCAGCACTAAATGACATGTTTATATTTCCTAGCCACACCCCTGACAATCATCAGGTCAGTAATCCCCTAGATGTAGTATTGCCAGTGATCCTCCAGCCCTCTCTCTCCGCGGGAAAACTTCTGAATTTTGTCGCGAGCACCGTGACGTCAAACCAAGCCGTTAAATTGCTAGGCAAACAAACTACAAAACTGGTCCACGATATAGGCAGTGTAGCAGAGAACGCAGGCAAAACTCTGCTCGGTAAGTTTTCTTCATAAAAACTTTGAGTTAATTACGTTTTGGATTTAACAATATACAACTGAGTCACTCAAACAAAAGGCCCAAGGGCCTTAATGGTCACCTGAGTATAATACAACACTATAAAGAATCTATAGAAGAACTATAAAATAAAACAAAATAAACTGACAGATGAAGCTATGTTACTCTAAAGCAAAATAAAAAGGATGATCAGGAAACAAAAAATAATTCATTTATGAATCTTAAAGTAGATATCTTTATTGCCTGTACTTGCCCCTAACCCTGGTCACTATCACCATACAAACTAAACAAAACAATAGTGTGTGAGCTCTATAGATAAATCCATCTCAATCTCTCACATTGGCCTTTCTGGTCTTTGAAGACCATCTAATATACAAAGATAAGGTATTTTTGTCTCATTTTATTTATCTAATTATTTACATGTCTATCTGATCATTAAAAGCTATGAAAGTACTTTTTGTATTATATATTATAAAAATTCTTTATATTTTCTTATTCAATTCACCTTTCAATTATATTTGATCGTGATTAATTACCACGTATAAATAGTAAATAGGAATAACTTCTTTCAGTAGATAGAAGCCCTGTCCAGCACCAGAACACTTGACCAAATGGTCCAGAATTTCAAAAATCTTGGAAAAATATCCTTGCTCATTACAAATTTGTACTCTGTTTGCCTCCTTGATGACCAGGGGAAAAAAGTAAAAAGAAATAATGTATTTTTACTATAGATTAAACACAGCCCAAAAAAACCTGTTCCTCAGACCCAGAGGCCATACAATTCACAATTGAAGTGGCACACTCCCTAATCATAACTATGCACTTACTTTGTTCGCTGAATACCCAGGAGCAGAGAAGATAATTTTTCAAGGAAGAAAAGCATCTTCACTACATAATCAATAAATCCCCGCACTAACATGAGAACCTCTGACCCAGTGAACATGAAATTTACAATTTTGAAAGAAGCACCCTTGTTCATCATAACCATGTACTTAGTTTGTTCGCTTAATACTCAGGAGCAGAGAAGATTTTCAAATAATGCACTTTCACTATATAATCAATAGAGCCCTGCCCTAACAACAAAACACTAACCCAAGGGCCATGAAAGTCACAATTTAGTAAGAAGACATTTGTTCATCATAACCATGCATCTAATTTATCTGCTAAATATACAGGGGGAGGGAAGAAGAGTTTTAAAGAATTTTTGTATTTTCACTATATGATCATAAAATCCCCATCCTAACTTCTGAGTCCCTGTTTCTTGGGCTATGAATTCCATAATTTCGGTAGAGGGCTCAATGCCTATTACAATCATCTCAACAGTTTTACTGCTTGATGTCCAGGAGTAAAGAAGGAAGACTTTCATTTTGATGGTTTTAGTCCCATCCTGCAGGGCCAAGGGGGACAGGGACCATGAAATGTCCAATTTTTGTTCCCCTTCACTCATAGATACATGTAGGTGAATTCAAAAATAATGACCATTAATTTAAATTTTTTTGAAAAAATTCAACTACCCATAATGAAATGTATGGAGATAACGAACAGTATTCAAGCTCAAAAGTCCATTAGACAATACAAATTATGGAGCAGAGCAAACATATTTTTCACGTATATCATCATATTGTACATGCATTCTATTTAAAATTCCTGAATCTGCAATAGAATAGACAATTTGATAAAAAAAAAAAAAAAGGTTCAGAATTTTTATTAGTTAAACTTTATTTGAAAAAAGAAAATATCAATACATCCTAAAAGACTCTCTGAAATACATAATAAAAAAAATTATAGTTTTCTACGTTTCAAAATGGTATCAGTGATATAAATGATTAGATCTAAACCTTGATTGAGTTTTTTCTCTCGTACATGTGGAAAAAATGGCTTTTTGATTATTATTTTACATCATTTTTTTCAATTCTGGTTTGAAGTTTTAATATGAAAGAAATATGAAACAATATAAATTCCCCCCAAATCACTTTTAGTCCATTTAAGTCCAATCTTTAAATCTAAGCCAAAAAAGAATTTTAATAAACAAATTTTCTTACAAAAAATACTAGATTTTGAAGTGACCCTATTTTACATTATTGTGTTGCACTCCTGACATCTAATATTTATTTTATTCACGCACAATAACCCATTCTTAGTTTGTAAATAAGTTCGTCATTTTGACATTTTTAGCTCTACTGGTCTGAGACCAGAAGAGCTTATGCGATAGTAAGGTGTCCGTCGTCTGTCTGTCTGTCCGTCTGTCTAAAAACAATTTTTCAAAATGCTACTTCTCCTACAGTTTAAGTCTGATTTCAATATAACTTGGCACACAAGCAGGCAATACAATGATACATAATTTAGTGCATCGGTTTTTGATTTCATTGAACGGTGTTGCCATGGTTACTAAAAATAGAAAATTATGTGAAATTCCTTTAAAATACTACTCCTCATACAGTTTTGGTCTGATTTTAATATAACTTGGCACACAGGTAGACTACATAAAATACATGATTTAGAGCATCGGATTTTGATTTTGATGAACGGTGTTGCCACGGTTACTAAAAGTAGAAATGTCTGTAAAATTCCTTTAAAACGCTACTCCTCCTACAGTTTTGATCTGATTTCAATATAACTTGGCACACAAGTAGACTACAATAAGATACATAATATAGAGCATCGGTTTTTGATTTCGATGAACGGTGTTGCCATGGTTATTAAAAATAGAAAAATCTGTGTAATTCCTTTAAAACGCTACTTCTCCTACAGTTTTTGTCTGATTTCATAATAACTTGGCACACAAGTAGACTACACTAAGGTACATAATTTTGTGCATTGGTTTTTGATTTTGATGAACGGTGTTGCCATGGTTACTAAAAACAGAAATTTCTGTGAAATTCCTTTGAAATGCTACTCATGCTACAGTTTTGTTCTGAATTTAATATATTTTGGCATACAAGTAGACTACTCTATGATTCATAATTTAGTGCATTGGTTTTTGATTTTGATGAACGGTGTTGCCATGGTTACATAAAATAGAAATTTCTGTGAAATTCCTTTAAAATACTACTCCTCATACAGTTTTTGTCTGATTTCAATATAACTTGGCACACCAGTAGACTACAATAAGATACATAAATTAGAGCATCAGTTTTTTATTTTGATGAACGGTGTTGCCATGGTTACTAAAAATAGAAATATCTGTAAAATTCCTTTAAAACGCTACTCCTCCTACAGTTTTTGTCAGATTTCAAAATAACTTGGCACACTACTAAACTGCACTAAGGTACATAATAGAGTATATACCGGTTTTTGATTTCAGTGAATGGTGTTGCCATGGTTACTTAAAATAGAAATTTCTGTGAAATACTTTTAAAATGCTACTCCTCCTACAGTTTTTGTTTGATTTTAATATTTCTTGGCACAGAAGTAGACTACATTGAGATACATTAATTCTATTAATTTATTGCTGCACGTTGCAAAGTTTCAAATCCAAGTGCTACTTTTCCTTTGTTATATGTACAGACCAGTAGAGCTACAGTATCATCAGAGACTTCTGGTTATCATTTACAGCAAGTTTTTTTTTTTATTTTTCAAGACTTCAATTCAAAACATGATTATTTGCAATATGAAATATATATATATATAATTTCAAAAACAAAATGAAGAACCGGTACAGTTTTGCTGGGTGTATTAAAAATAAAAATCCAGAAAATCACAAAATATTTTCTGCAAGCGCTTTCGCCATGTTAGGCTCTTCAGGCAGTTATACAAATGTCAGGTAGGTTACCTGGTAACGTCCAAAAGCAAAAGTTCATTGTGACGTCATAATAGATCAAGGTAGCGTAAATTTGCCGTATTAGATAATGTACAAATATTGCATTAACTTGAACACATAATATGCATAAAATCTTACAATATGTTATATAATAATGTATCATTTTCGATTAAGCTTTGGTTTAAAGAGTTTGATAAAGTAGTCCTCTTTTGCCAAACGTAGATTTTCATTTTCATTGGGAAGTTTATAAAAAGGGAAAATCTTAAATATTCCTTTGCCGCATTTTGCAAAATGTTCACAACATGGTGTATTACGCACACTAGGGTCTTTAATTTGTTGCTTGTGTACACGAACCCGGGCATTTAGTTTCCCCGTTTGTCCAATATAGAATTCTTTGCATGTCGGACAGATTGCACAGTAGATAACGTTTTCGGATTTACAGTTCATTGGTGAATTGGTTCTAATTTCCATTCCTGATTTAAGTTGGATTCTATTTCCCTCTTCTAAATATGTACACGTTCCGCATCTTGGATCTCCGCATTTTTTAATGGTTGGAATTTCCTCCTGTGTAGTAAAGCGGGCCTTGGTTAACAATTTTTTAAGACTGGGTGCCTGTCTTCGACTATTGATAATATCATTTGGTTGTATTAAACTTTTCATATTTTCCGATTGTTCTAAAATTGGGTAGAATCTTTTAGCGTCCATAAGGATATTTCTGTTTCGTGGGTTATGGGTCACAACAAAGGCTATTTTCCCGTCATCGGTGGTGTCATCTACACGACGTGGATTTCTAAGGTTCTCTATTGGAATTGTGGACGCCTTGTCTATTCCAGCGATGATTAAATCAATTGGATAGTTTCGTCGTCGTAGATATATTTTAAATTCCTTCAAACGTCTAGAACGCAGGGTTCTATCTGTAATAATTGTTCAAATTCTTCGTGCTAAATTAAACGGGATATTACGTTTTGTGTGGGATGGATGGCACGATCTAAAATCCAAATACTGATGCGTGTCCGTAGGTTTACAGTATAAGTCTGTAGTTATACAGGATCCATTCTTTATAATAAGAAGATCTAAAAATGGAAGTTCCGCACGACTTTTTTCTATTGTAAATTGTATAGAATCATGGAGGTTATTAAGAAGTGAATGGAATTTATTTAAGTCTTCTTCACTCTTGGTCCAAAATATGAAGCAGTCGTCTAGGTAACGTTTCCAATTATTTCTAATATAGTTACCAAAGTCGTCATCAAAGAGTTCCGGTATTTTCCCATATAATTGATCCTCTAAGTATCCCATCACCAAGGTTGCATATGAAGGAGCAACTTTTGTCCCCATAGCTGTTCCTTTTATTTGTAGATAGAACTCATTGTTGAAGTGGAAATGATTATTTTCTAGAACTAACTCAAGTCCTTCTAAAATGAATTCCTTTGAGAATCGTTCATTTATAATATCCGGATGTTTGTCTATCCAGTAACTTACTGCTTCCAGTCCTAAAGCATGTGGGATATTTGTGTACAAACTTGTTACATCAAAGCTGACGAGAATGGTGTTTGGGTCTACATTTTGAGGAATAAAATTAAGGAAATCCATATCATCTCTTACGAAGCTAGGTATTAGTTTGCATAGAGGTTTCAATAATATGTCCAATAAATTACTCAGTCTCTGAGTGCTTGATGCAGGTCCGGCGATGATTGGACGTATTTTAAGGTCAGCTGGTTGAGGTATTTTAATATATGCGTTATCGCAATTTTTCACTGCTTCTTGGATTTCCTTAGATTTGTGGACTTTTGGTAATCCGTAGAAATTACTAGACTTCAACTCAAAATGTGTTAAGAAATCAATTTCATCTTTTGTTAAGTTGTCGGCATATTTTTTAGTTAATTTCTCAACTTTGAGCATTGTGTGACGATCCTCGTTAGTGGTTAATTTCCTATAAAACTGACAGTTTTGAAGCTCGTTTAACACCATTTCCTTGTAATGGAGTTTGTCCATAATAACAACAGCGCCTCCTTTATCGGCTTCTTTTATAATTATAGATGAATCATTCCGTAAATTCTTTATAGCATTTTGTTGGGATTTAGATATATTACTTTTTGTCCTTGTTTCTACTTTGTTAGAGTGAGCGGAGGACTTAAGGCATGTTATAAATTCTTCTAAATGTTTGTCTCTGTTTATTGGTGGTCTAAATCCTTTTTTGTTTCTAGCAAGTGATTCATCGTCATAAGAAGAATTTTGAAAATATTCTCTTAAACGTAATTTGCGACAAAACTCGTCCGTATCAGCAATTAAGTCCACTTCGTCCCTGTTTGGTGTTGGTGTAAATTTTAAATTTTAAAACTGTAAATCCGAAAACGTTATCTACTGTGCAATCTGTCCGACATGCAAAGAATTCTATATTGGACAAACGGGGAAACTAAATGCCCGGGTTCGTGTACACAAGCAACAAATTAAAGACCCTAGTGTGCGTAATACACCATGTTGTGATCATTTTGCAAAATGCGGCAAAGGAATATTTAAGATTTTCCCTTTTTATAAACTTCCCAATGAAAATGAAAATCTACGCTTGGCAAAAGAGGACTACTTTATCAAACTCTTTAAACCAAAGCTTAATCGAAAATGATACATTATTATATAACATATTGTAAGATTTTATGCATATTATGTGTTCAAGTTAATGCAATATTTGTACATTATCTAATACGGCAAATTTACGCTACCTTGATCTATTATGACGTCACAATGAACTTTTGCTTTTGGACGTTACCAGCTCTGTAACCTACCTGACATTTGTATAACTGCCTGAAGAGCCTAACATGGCGAAAGCGCTTGCAGAAAATATTTTGTGATTTTTTGGATTTTTATTTTTTATATATATATATATATATATATATATATATATATATATATATATATATATATATATATATATATATATATATATATATATATATATATATGAACACTATTCTCTGAATTTACAGTAAAATATCTGTAATTAGTTGAAAGACATGTTTTGAACATCAAATAGTATCAAACATTTTTTTTTTCAATTAATTTTTTAGTAAAGATAGACCAAGATCATTGATAATTATTAAACAGTTTTGTTGCACTCCTGGCTGCAGTAAAATTAAAACCATAGAACACAAAAATTCATAAAGTGTTGGCAACATTAAGTGATAACGAAATTGTGCAATATTTATGGTCCAATTCTTCATAACTAAAACACATGAAAGTATTTAAACTTGGCTTTATATCTTGAATTATTCCCTATTTATGTCAAAAGACTAGCTAAAATATGTATTTAGAAGATAAAGTATATTATAGTATATTTTTTTTCACAGGATAAACACTGTAAGCAACCGAGATCTACCAGAAACATTCTACTCATCATCTTTTTTTTCATTATATTTATTTATATTTAACCAGCAATAATTCTAACATGTTTGTTGCACTCCTGACCAAGACCATGGGAGTCTTTAAAGTAGAATTGTGAAGCGAAAATTACACCAGATATTGTTCCATTTAGGAGGAATTACTGGAATTTTGTAACAATTTTTCAGTGTGTTTATTTTTTACATTCATAAAAAAATCAAAGAAAAGATAAAAAAAAAAACATCTGAATTGATAAAGTTGAAAAAGAGAAGGATTCTACTAAATTAATTAAATAGGATTCTACTAAATTAATTAAATAGAAAATTAAATAAAGAATTTTTTATAGCATGAATAGAGGTCTATTCATCTTATAACTTGAATCTTTTAAAAAAAAAAGTGCGTTGTACTCCTGACCATAGAAATATAGATCTGAAACACAGACAGACCCCGTAATTGATCAATCTATTTGGTAAAAATGTTCTTTAATTTATGTCTTTATTTTCCAAAATAAAAATCAGAGAATCATATACTGAAAAACGTTTTTTCATGCTGGGGAGCGAAACATCAAATGTTGCACTCCTGACACTCATTAATGCTGCTTGTGATTTATATAACATTTTAAAGTTTTAAATTGTATATCAGTTATTGTTTATACTTTGAAAACTTTTTTTTGGACTTAATTGTCTTTCAGATTTTTAAAATCGATGGTTTTTTGGCAACACTGCATTTTTCTGTTGCACTCCTGACATGGTATAACATTTTTATTAAACATCAGTCATGACCATAACTTGGTCAAACAAAAGTTGCTATAGTCTACAAGCTCAATACTTTGAATATTATCAGTAAAGTCTTTATTCCAACATAAACATTATTATTTATTTGGATCTTCAAAAATTATTGAATTTTCAAAATGTCACAAAAAAGATGTTTCACTCCTGACATTTTAGCACCATTTTGGGGCATAACTTAATTTTTTGTGAATTGAGATATCAATAAGATATTTAGTAGGTATTTAGACACTATCTAGATACATATGCTGAGACATAGAAATTTATTCCCATTGCCTGTATTTTTGTGCAGGTTGATAAATACGTGTTTGGTCTTTTTTTAATTCACCCAGATGCTATATACCAAAATTGATTGAAATTGTTTCAGCAGTTCCAGCGAGAAGCTGAAAATGTTTAAATTTTAATGGATGATGCACGACAACGGATGAAAACAGATAACAAAATGTCATCAGAGTTACTCCAACTTACCACTAAGAGTCATGATTTGAACAAATTAAAATCTATACAATGTCAGTGAGGTTCCACTTAAACTTCGTCCTATTTGGTTCCAGTGATGCTTGAAAAGAAGATTTTTAAAGAATTTTTTCCCTATTGTGGCCCTAAATGTACCTTAACCCCAGGAGTCACGATCTGAACAATTTAGTATCTAAACCACATCAGGAAGCTTTCACATAAGTTCCACATTTTGTGGCCCAGTGGATTTTGAGAAGGTTTTTTTAATGACCCCACACTATATTTGCCTTTTCTTCTTTTCTTGATTTTCTCCCTCTTGGAAGGGCTTTGGTCCTTCATTTTAACAATTTAGAATTCCCTTTACAAAAGCATGCTTTGTGTCAACTGTGATTTACTGGCTTATTTCTTTACATCATTTATAAAAGGAGGTGCTAAGGATGCCTTTTACACATCAGTAAATGGTCTTAAACAACTTGGTGACAAACTCACATCTCTAACGTCTGACATTGGATCCTCTTTGAATGGAGCTGTGGGGGACCTAGGACACTTGTTCACTGACCAAATCGGAGGAAGCCTCCAGAATATCGGTAGCGGTCTGGTAAGCGGAGCTAAAGATTTATTGAACAACATCGCAAGTGGTGCCACAGATGTTGCCAGCGGTATTGCTAGTGGAGCAAAGGATGTAGCGCATTCCATCTCCAGTGGGATAAGTAGTATTGGACATCATATCGGTCGTAAGTATCAGAGAGACGATACAGATACCTACCTCAAAGACAACGCATTTTACTTTCTCTATTAATACATCAGATCGTGTATCATCACAATTCCCTTGTGTCTAATTTTTACAACCCTCTACATAGTGATCAAAACACATCTTAATATGGCCATCTTTCATCAACAATTGAATTAATGCACTAATAACTCAGAATTGAATATATCATTAGTTATTCGAAGGGATCTTGAATGGAATTGTTGCATATCAAATGAATTGATGATACATAGAAATAATTAGACATTTTCAATTATTTGAATATGCAAATATAAAAAGGATTACACCGTGCTTCTACTTTGAAGTTTCCTATACATGTAATTAAGGTATTCCAATCCTCATGCTCAATTAAGTAATTGAAAAGTCTCACAAAAATGTCTATGAATTCACAAAGTAATGTCCAATTACCATGGTATATCTTTGAAGTTCATCATTATCGTTAATCATATGAAATGGGTAAAATTATCAAATTTCAAATATATTTTCAGGAAAGGCAAATAAAAAAACCAATTATGTATTTTTATTGAAGATTCGGGGGTATATAGTTTTTGCCCTGTTCGTCCGTCTGTCTGTCTGTTTGTCCGCAAAAACGTTAACATTGCCCATAACTTTTGATTGGTTGGAGCTACGGCTTTCATATCACATAACCATCACATTTGACCCTTTGACCTTGGAGTTTGACCCAGTTTTCCAAAATTTTATCGAACTTTAACCTTGGCCGTAACTTTTGAACAATTAGAGCTAGGGCTTTCATACTTCACAAGTGTAATCCTTGTGACAAGACCTTCCTTCGGATATCAACAACTTTGACCCTTTGAACTTGACCTAGGAGTTTGACCTACTTTTGAAAAATTTTAACCTTGGCCATAACTTTTGAGTGGTTGGAGCTAGGGCTTTCATACTTCACAAATGTAATCCTTGTGACAAGACCTTCCTTTGGATACCAACCACTTTGACCCTTTTACCTTGACCTTGGAGTTTTACCTACTTTTGGAAAACTTCAATCATGGTCGTGTTTTGACCAGTTGGTGCTAGGGCTTTCATACTTCACGTCTATTCCTTGTGACAAGACCTTCCTTCGGATACAAGCAATTGTAATCCATTGACCTTGACCTTGGAATTTGACCTTTTGAAAAGCGTTATCCTTGGCCAGAACTTTTGAACGATTGGTGCTACGGATTTCATATTTCACATGTGTATTTCTTGAGAGAAGGCCTTTTCTTTGGTACCATTAATTTTGACCATTTGACCTTGATGTTTGACTTACTATTGAAAAACTTTAACCTTTTCCATATCTATTCAATAATTGCTGCTAAGGCTTTCATATTTCACAGGTATATTCCTCGAGACAAGACCTTACTTTGGGTACCAACATATTTGATAAATTGCATTTGAGAAAGTTTAACATTTGCTATAAGTTGCCATACCGGGGCATCAGTGTTTCACAAACACATCTTGTTTAATTGAAAATTTTTAGGATTAAAAACCAGTAGGTATCCAGACATTCAGAGAAAATTGCATGTTTTCATACTTCTTTGGTATTTTAGTTCTTCTGTTTCCTTCAATTGTTGTATAATACATAGTGTAATGTTTGTGCTATCATTGCAAGACTTCACAGATCACTTCTGATATGCTTATAAACAGTGGTATCTAAGGCTAGATTAAAGGAAATTCGATTTCTTTAAAAACGTATTTAATTATTTTTGTACTTTTATGGGGTACAAATGTCAACTTTCTACAAGACTGTTTCCAATACTTCAAATACCTTGAATGTAAAATGAAAATTGTTGCATATAAGGAATTCAATTTGAGACTTTTTAAATTAAATAATAATTCTAAGATTTATCGTTCCTGGCTGATGAGAGGATATCCTTAATTTATTTTCTTTCATTGGTAGATATTTTTGGAAGGAAAAGGTCCGCCTGTCCCAACTGTGACAAGATTAACAGCAAGAACTCGGAGGAAATTATTACAAACGGTAGGAACTTCTCACACACAGAGAGAGATTTAAAAAAGTTCCGTAGTATGATTACTCTTTCTTCCTTCGTTACCTTAATCTCTTCACCTAAATTTTCTTAATATTCAAGATAATTTATTTTAAGCGATTTTTCACATATATCTTTTCCCATAATAAATGTTCATCAGTAATAAACATTTTTACATGTACTCAAAATTACTGGACTCAAACATTGTTTTAATTTCAGGAATGTCACTTCTTAATTAATTAAAGTAAAAATGCACAAAATTTTGATTGCGCCAACACAATTACGTTTACAACTAATTTTTCCTGATAGTTTGTGGATCTGAATTCATGTCTCGCCATAATGCCATCCTCACTGAGATCAACCATATGAGAGATATCTATTCTTCTGCTGTCAATTCCACCATTATACAGAAGGTGAGACAAACATGTATTTATATAGCTGATTAATATCTAGCTATAGATCTATATACGTATCTCGCTGGTCTGAAAAAATTGGGATGGACAACCAGAGAGCTACAGTTCCACCCATTGAATAAAAATATTAATGTATGCATATTAATATAATATTTACTTGGCACAAAAAGTGTGTGTTTCTCGATTAATTTCTCTGTATATTTAAACTGCAATTTTAAAAATATTGCTAACTATGAGTTCCTAACATATTCTTTTACCATTTCCACAAAAAAATTCCCCATAACTGTTGTTAACAGCCCTCCTGGTCCTGAAATTGAGACCATAAAAAAATCCCCTATTTATACTGGCAAGACAAATCGGTCCAAGGCGCTTCGTGCAATGCCAACTACATGTACGAGAGAAGTTGATAGAGGTCTTAGGAATTTTTTTAATCTAGCTTTTGTGCAGTTGAGGTAAGAATTTGGAGAAATAAATCAAGAACCGCAGCTTTTTGTGCGCAATAAATATATGTATAGTTTTTCTGTGGTGACACTGTAGCTTTCCGGTTTGTCAATATTTTTTCCGGAGAACTACAGTTCTGCAGCTACTAACATCAGAGTTATTGCTAGCTATTCAAGGTAAATAAGAAACAGAACAATCGATTCTTTTCAGACACATTGAAATAATATTTATCAAATGATACTACACGTTGCAAAAAAGAGCTCTTCCTTTTATTTCGAGAAATCAGTTAATTATTATGATTATTCAGAAAGGGGAGGGGGGGGTTAAATTCAAGAAAATAAGGCTGCTAGTTTTGTCTTTGGTTTTAAACATCAGTCGTTACGGAGTGAAATTGATATTAATAGGTTGAGTATGACCCGACCTCCATAGATGTCACCCATGGCGTACAGTTCAAGGTCGTCTTTATCACCTATACAGTAAATGGACAAACCAGGCGATACGCCCCTGCATCACCTCTCCGCCTGACTGATCTACCCTCCATGTCAGAAAGTGTGTCAATGGAGATCTACGAGTCCTATGTGTAACAGATAAAATACAATTTCGGTTTTTAGTAAATCTTTTTATTAACAAATTAACAAGAGATTTGCTTGTTTCTCTTTATGAGATAAACGTAACAGGGAAAAAAAATATTTTTTCAATAGTCTTCTTATAACAGCTACTGTCGTTGTGTCTTTATAAAATCTTTTTAAAAAATCATATTGCATATTTTCTAAAATGTTATGATTATTTCTTGATCCTTGATGGTGTTAACTTTCTCGTCATCTGGAGAGAGTTGTATAAAATGAAACAACAGTCTGCTTATGTGTGCATTAATAACTGCGGTATCAGCATTTCCTTTGAATGCAATACCAATACAAAATCAAACTCTGCTTTCCCAGATGAATGATTGTTTTCTGTATGTGTATATCAAATTATCCAGTTTGATGGCTTTCATATCACAGAACATAAAAACAGTTCATTCTTTCAAGTCCTTAACACCTTCAGTGGAATATTATTCCTTCGTCCAAGAAATAACGGATTAAATCTTTCTCCACAAAAATTCTCTTCTACACAATTCTTTAAAATCAGTTTTTCTAAGCAGCATAAAAATCTGCCCAGTTTCACAATTTCCTCTGCAAATAAAGTATACCTCTCAGTTACAAGGTATCTCTCTGATTCAAAACATTTATGAAGCATTTACACTGTCTGTATATCTCTTTGTAAACATATCATGTTACACAGCAAGTCCTTGGTTGTGAAAAAATACTAAATCATGTACTTCTAATAAATAGGGGAGAGAGAAAGGGCAATTTACGAGACCAGCTCAATATTTTCTTAGACGTAATGGAAAAGGTGGAGATGAGGAACAGTGACTTACACTTAAGGTCAATATCTAGTAAACGAAAGGAACCTACTTATTTCTAAAATTTGAGAAATAAATCCCTTAAATGATGCTTCATAAATATAGCCTGGTCAAATAAGGTGTTTTGGGGCATAATTTGTAGGTTAACAAAACAAAAAAATATATTTCAGACTGTCATTTTCAATGAAAAATTAAGAAAACCAGTTACGAATATGGGATTTTTTTTCATATCAGCAAAGGAAATGTATCCAGATTGCTGTCAGTCTCTCAGAGAACTGCAATTTGTATATTCTTAGCATCTTCTTTAAAATAATATAAAATTTAACAGAGGTATTGGGATAACTTTTCACATGATTTCAAACTGAATTCCATGAAAATTCTTTATTTCCTACGTAATTCTATATAAGCTGTAAAGTATAGGAAAAAGAAAGTTAGGATTGATTATGATGACATAATGGATTTAGCACCAAAAAAACAGTCTAAAGTCATTTACTAGATCTTGACCTTAAATTTTACATATTGTCATAAATAGGCATCCAAGTAACACATGCTGAATGCAAGTTTTCTCTGTCAAAGATAGTTATTCATCTATTAATCATTTAAAACACAATGAATATGTTTACATACCTTTAGATGTCTTGCTTCCCTCAATTGTCAATGAATGTAAATTTGGGGTATACTAAAAAATACAATTCTACTCATTAGCATATACTTCATGACTGTACACATGTACTTGCATGCTATAGCAATTAAAATATCTATCAGTTTTACATTAACAAATTGACTTATATGACCTAGTTCAGTTGATAAGCTGACTTACATGAGCTAGTACAGTTGATAAGCTGACTTACATGAGCTAGTACAGTTGATAAGCTGACTTACATGAGCTAGTAAAGTTATTAAGCTGACTTACATGAGCTAGTACAGTTGATAAGCTGACTTACATAAGCTAGTTCAGTTGATAAGCTGACTTACATGAGCTAGTACAGTTGATAAGCTGACTTACACGAGCCAGTACAGTTGATAAGCTGACTTACATGAGCTAGTACAGTTGATAAGCTGACTAACATGAGCTAGTACAGTTGATAAGTTGGCTTACATGAGCTAGCACAGTTGATACATTGAGTTACATGAGCTAGTACAGTTGATAAGTTGGCTATATGAGCTAGTACAGTTGATAAGCTGACTTACATGAGCTAGCACAGTTGATACATTGAGTTACATGAGCTAGTACAGTTGATAAGTTGGCTATATGAGCTAGTACAGTTGATAAGTTGACTTTCATGAGCTAGTACAGTTGGTAAGTTGGCTATATGAGCTATTACAGTTGATAAGTTGACTTACATGAGCCAGTACAGTTGATAAGCTAACTTACATGAGCTAGCACAGTTGATACATTGAGTTATATGAGCTAGTACAGTTGATAAGTTGACTTACATGGGCTAGTACAGTTGATAAGCTGACTTGCATGAGCTAGTACAGTTGATAAGCTGACTTACATGAGCTAGTACAGTTGATAAGTTGACTTACATGGGCTAATACAGCTGATAAGTTGACTTACATGAGCTAGTACAGTTGATAAGTTGGCTTACATGAGCTAGTACAGTTGATAAGCTGACTTACATTAGCTAATACGGTTGATAAGCTGACTTACATGAGCTAGTACAGTTGATAAACGCCTGATGGTCGGTATTTTTATTGACATATGATGGAGAGCCTGAAGCCTTGCGCTGTGGTGAATCTGAATCTGCGACAACTTTTCTATTTCTATCTCAAGATGAGACAACTTAGGGCAGCCCTAAATCAAAATAAGTAAAAGATAATTCATAACACTACACTTATCCTTCTACAGTCATTTAAAATCTCTTCAAATACATTTGCATAATTATTTTAAGACACATGTATATTCTTGCACTGCTTGACCTACTTGTACTCTGAGAACAGAGAGCTTTGGGCACTTTATACCTACAAAACAGACCAAAGTAAACATCATAATACTATAAAAAAACAAAATTTACTCCAGATTATGAGTTAAGATTGAATGCAATGATGACCAGCTTACACAGAGTGGAGAGATGGATGCCTTGGTCCAGTGTTAACGATCTTAACTGGGACAGTGTTACAGATAGATTTATCTCCCCTGGGATAGCCCTCACCTCCAGAATTTCTAACGATTCTTCACATGCTTTTAAAAGCTTCATTCTTAAAGCTGGTGTAAACTTAGAAAAAAATACAACACATATTCAGCATGTTATACGAAAAAAGAATTTGTCCAACATAGATTCAATATGTATTTCTTGAGCGTAGTGATTTATACCTTTGGTAGAAAATTTAAAGTCAGATGGTGTATTCTATTTGGGTATGTGATTGTTACCTTTGGTAGATTGTTTAATGTAAGGTGGTGTATTCTGGTTGGGCTTGTAACTTGGACATTTTGTAACCTCCTTAGTCCGGTCATGCTCAGAACCTCTAGAGTTTCAGGTACTTGTATATTCCTGGAAAAATGATGATTCAGTGTCTCATTTGTTTCATTATTTCAAACTTTTCCCAATAAAACTGATTTAAGATATTCCACCTCTTATAGCCTCCTTAGATTCAATTAAATTGAATACAAAATAGATATGTGAACACTCAGTATGTATATTTAGATATAATTCCCATTTTAAAAGTAAAATCTGTCCTAATTTATGACCTTGGACTATCCTTTAATAGTTAACTTCTTTTGGTATTAATCAATGATAAAAACTTACCATGTAAAAAAAAATTGTTTTCAATCATTATTCTTTTCCTAATGATTCCTAATATTCCTAATGATTAAAATACATCTTTCCAGCACAGCAATTATTTTATATACTTACTATCTGAATTTTTATTTTTACTTGTACCCATATACCCCAATGCAATTTTTGCTTAGGTAAATAGTGTTTATACAACACTAACCAATCTAACATGTAATTGGACTAACATCATGATATTTAACACAAAGTAAACTTATTTTTCTGTGGTTTTCTACTTTACTAGGTCAACAGATTTTAAAGATATTCTTATAATTTATTACCCTATTTGGTCAACAAATTGTACACTTTTCCCCCTTTTTTACTGCTCTTTTTAATCAACAAAATGTTGGATTATCCTCTGTTTTACTTTCCTCTTAGGTTAACAGACTTTGTAAAAAATTCTAACTTGTCTTCAGTCACTTACCTAAGTTGATGACTTCCTAGAATTGTAAGTGACGTAAGCTGTGGACAACAACTGAAAACATCAACCAGTGTATCGTCTGACAGCATGTCACACTTCTGAATGTTCAGAGACCTCAGGATTGGACAACTGCCATCCAAAAATAAAAAAAATGCTAGTATTAATTACTCAAACTACCTTCAAAATGCCTTGCATATTGAAGATATATGTGTACAGACATAGCTTTGTTGCATTACACTACAATATACGTCTTTCAGATCAGTATTTTACCTCAGATTTAATGTGTTCTCCTCTCTTGTACACACCCCCTGTAACTGTACATCTGTCAGTTCGGATGAGGACAACTTAAAGTGGGAGAAATTGGTCCCAGTGAAATCAGCATCAGTCAGCTGACTGGATATCACAATACACTGTTGCATCATACTGCAATACTAAAAATAAAACAAGGAAGTATTGACATTTTAATTAAACCATTTATTTGTAATGGGGAAATTCTCAGTGAAAGAAATGCAAATCATTTATGGATATAAATGCAGTCCTTACTAATATTTCAGTCATTACACATTTTGTCATCATGATACAGATAGCAATATATTTACTGCTGACTAGTTTCTTTTTTAATTGTTGATTTAATTTATTATACCCCCCGCAAACGAAGTTTAGGGGGGGTATATTGGAATCAGCTTGTCCGTCTGTCTGTTCATCTGTCTGTCTGTCCATCTGTCTGTAGACAAGATTTTGTCTGGACCATTTCTTGGAAACTGTTGCAAGGATTTGTCTGAAAATTTGTACACTTATTATTCGCCATATGAAGGTGTGCACCTGGTATTTTCATCATAATTGGATAATTTTTTTGCATTTTACAGGTGTTTTTTTCATTTTTATTATGTGGTTTTGTCTGGATCTGTTCCCAGAGACTATTGCATAGATTTGTATGAAAATTTGTACACTTATTATTTACCATATGAAGATGTGCACCTGGTATTTTCAACATTATTTGATAATTTTTCTGCATTTTACAGTTTTTTTTTTCATTTTTATTGACTTAGTCATTTCGGGTTCATGTTTAAGGTTTGAGACATAGAATCTAGAACATCTGTACAAAAATGTGAACTACAGCTTAAAACAACTCATTTAAGAACTAAAAAAAAATCACAAAGTATTAAAAACAGTTTTTACATTACACAGCAGATAGTGTAAATCCATATGTCCCTTGGGAGTAATGAGTGGACATGCATCCAGTTAAAGATTAATTAATGAGTTCAGTGTGGGAAGCTGTTAGGGCATCTCTGATCAAGCAGGTCTTATCTATATCTCCTGGGAATTGGGCAGAAAGAAATAAAGATCTCTGTTGTCTAAGTCTCTTAATTGTAATTTATGTCTGTCAAAATACATAGTTACTGGAACCAGCCTTTTATTTTTAAAATGAGTTTGATATAAAGGTATTAAGATCAATTTGATTTTGTATAATTAATTATGATAATTTTTTTTTCAACAATCAATTTGCAGAGTGTCATGTCTCACTAAGATGACAGATAGTTGCAAACTATTTTTTCAATGTAATAAAAACACTGTAATTATTAATATTGATGTTTTATTAGGCTGCACCTTAGTTTCATTCATTAAAAAAAATATAATGAGCAATTAAATTTTCACTCTAAATGTTTAAGCAAATTGTGAACACCTCTCACATCTAGAAAACATTAGTGATTTGGTACCTTCTCTGAAAAACCCAGCGGGGGGTATTTGTCCCTTTTGGACAGTTCTAGTTTATTTATTTATTTAATTGCTGATTTATAAATCTATTTATTATTATTATTATTTTTTTATGATCTCAAAAACTCACTTTTACATGAAGAATATGAAGTTTTTTGGAATCACTGATCTCTAGAGAGGTAAATTTTGGACAGCTTTCTATACAAAGGACTTCTAAACTGGTACTATTTGTGATGGACAGTCTGAAATAAAGCAGACACATAGCTGGAATGTTTAAAACTAAAATTGTAATATATATATATACATTCTACAGAAAATGATATTTTTAGATTATTAATACATAATAAAATAATGTTTATTAATCCATTTAACATTGTTTGCGACCGTTAAATCAGCATTAATGGTCGCTAATACCACATTAGAGGATAGTTATTCCCATTCTAATGCAATTTATGCCTTTTGTTTGACGTTTATGTATTATTTTTGTTGAGTTTTGTCATATGAAATACGTCACGGAGTGTTGGTTTTTTTTTGCATTGCTCTATTATGACGTCACAATCAAAAGCTTTCACTCTCGTTTAACTGCCTCAAACATCATTGCATTAGCCAATCAAAATTCATATTCCAAAAGAATTGCATTAGAATAAAAACAAGTAATGTCTGGGTTGAACCGGGGTTGTCAGGCAAAATGTGTTTGCCAAACCCTCTAAGCAAACTGTTGCCTTCAGCCTAACAACTTCAGCCAAACAGTTTGGTCCTTGGGTCCAACAAAATACAATGTCAATGAACCCAGTCAATAAACATGTATGTATTATAAAATGAAGAAGTTCTTTTAGAGATATATTTTCAGATATGCAAATACTAGTACTTTAAAATGATGTAGCAGTATGTCCTACTCCTCCTTGAAAAACTTGAAATTCTTAAGCACTTCAAAAACAGACAAAACTAAATAGCAGTAAATCTGTAGATCGTCCATTTATAATTAATTTTATGCAACTACTTACTGGGAGAGAAAATTGCACCGTTTAAGGACGAGTTTTGTCAGGAAGTGAAAGTTGTTGACAACTGATGAGAGCACCGTTCCTTTGATGCCCTTCATGTCGGTTAGATACAGCTCCTGTAAATTCTCCACACCACTGTGGTTTTTAAAAAAAGCTTGATCCACTCCCTGATTCCAATGGCATTCCATTCCTCTCACTCTCTGTATCTGGAAAAAATAGAACAGAAAATGAATCTGCAGTAGAAAAAAGGTTCTAAAAACGTTTGTAAATTCTGTTCTTTTCTTCTGATAAATGGTAATAAAAAAAAAACACAAGACATTATTAACTCTAATTTTTTAAACATCAATAACTGTCAAAAATAACACTTGATAAATTCATTAAAATGTGCTCAATGTCATCCAAGAAGAGTACGTTTCAAATCAAACTTTGATGCATGGGTTGACATACAACTGTACTTTTGTTTTTTGATTTCAAGCAATAAGTTCAAGCTGAAGTTCTATGTTTAAATGTTAAATTTATCCTTTAAATTATATAACCCCTTATTTAATGTAAATTTCCATGGAATACAATCTGTTGTTGTTGTTTGTTTGTTTGGGGTTTTTTTTTCTCTTTTAATACAGTACATGTACATCATTAAACAAATGTCCTTTAACCTTTATCTTTGATCAAGCACTTACTCTTTTTCCAAACATTAATCCATCAAAAAGCTCTGCCTCCTCAAAATCTCTGCAGTCATGAAGATGTAGGGACAGCAAGGAGGGGCCATTCACTGGGAGACTAGACAGAATAAGGCAACCCTGTGAGAAAATGTCACTGTGCATCAATTGTGTTAAAATATGCTGTTTCAAATTTTTTCATCTAAAATTTATTTTCCTGTTTTCATTTTGATAAATATTTAGGGAAGATGACCACATGCTCACTAACATGGAATTTTTAACTTATGAAGACAGCTATCTAAAAGAAAATGTAGATCAAATTGAAATTCAATGAAATTTTATATAGCATACATGCCAAAATTTGGGTTTTATAGATAAGAAAGGTTTTGATGTGTCTTGTGAGAGTTAACTAAGTAGAAGGCATCTACTAAAGTGTTTTCCTTTATTTAGCAAAACAAACAATCCAGAAAAGTGAAAAAGTCATAGGATTTCTTTATTTTTGTTAAGAAAAAAAATCTTGCAAGCTGACAGGTTTTAGATGAAAGCATGTAGAACTTACACCAAAGCGAAGAGTTCGGAGTTTTTCAGATCTGATTTCTGCCTGGTTCCACTGAACTTTTGGTTCACCAACTTCCACCCCTAGTTCCCTCACATTAGGGAGCTAATTACATACAAAAAAGAACATTTACAGGAATCTCTTCTTATTCTTATTATAAGTATTCATAATAAAAAATAGAAAATCTTGATTAAAAAGTACAAGAAATTAATTGATTTTAATCCCTTACAGTAAAATGGTAGAATTTCTTATGATACATGTATGAAAATGGCCTGATTGTGTTTGGAGGTTTTCTGTATGACAGGAATTCCAACTTAATACCTTACTTTATTTAGAATTTCACTGAGATCTGGTGCTGATATTCCTTCACAGTGATTCAAAGTAAGTATCTGTATCAGATCCTTGTGTGGAATAGCTGCCAAGAAGGACTCACAAGTCAACCTGCATAAAAAATAACAAAAATTTTACCAATGGAGAATTAAAAGCCTACCAATAAAGGTGCATTGTAAAAACATTTGCGAGCTAATTTATTTGTTTATTACACGTACATTAAACATTAAAGACATGTATATGCTTTAAAATTTTCATCAGACAAATTTGCATATGGTGACATTTTAAAATTATCACACTGGATACAGCTTTAGATTCACTGATGCTTATTTAGGCATTTTCTTTTCCAAATTTTGTTTTGCTTTTTTTTTTTTTAACTTGCAGTTTTCTAATCCTTCTATCTATAACTTACTGTCTTGTGTGAATTTCACAACAAGGTCTAGGATATTTTCATATGTTTATTTTACCATGTAAAAATAAAACTTGTGCAAAAACAAACAAGAGGCCCATGTGACACCATGCTCACCTGAGTAAATATGGCCCATCTTGTTCTTCATTTATTTAGCAAATTCTTCTTCCCATACATTCTTATGTAAAACTTCGATCACTGATTGTAGCCCCACCCAACCCCCCGGGTCATGATTTAAACAAACCTGAATCTACACTACCTGAAGATGCTTCCATATGATGACTAAACATAGGAAAAAGATTTTCATATGTGTTCCTACATGTATGTAAAACTTTGATTACCCATTGTGAACCCACCCTACACCCTACCGCCGGAGTAATGGTTTGAAAAAAAACTTGAATCTACACTACCTGAGGATGTTTCTACATGAATATGACTGATAATGGCTTTGCTGTTCTTTAGAAAAAGATTTTAAAAGATCTTTTTTTGTATATGAATCCATGTAAAACTTTGTTCACCCATAGTGGCCCCACCCTTCCACCCCATCCAGGGAGGGGGGTGGGTGTTGATTTGAACAAACTTGAATCTACACAAACTGAGGATGCTTCCATTAAATATGACTAATCATGACTTAGCTGTTCCTAGGAAAAAGATTTTTCATTTGTTTTCCTATGTAATACTTGTACTTTGATTTCCCATTTTTGCGCCACCCTGCCCCCCTTGGGTCATGATTTGAAAAAAAAACTTGAATTTATACTACCTGAGGATGTTTATATAAAAATATGACTCATCACTGTTTTGCTGTTTTTGAGAAGAAGATTTTAAAAGATTATTCCTATATATGCCCATGTAAAACTTTGTTTGTCCATAGTGGTCCCACCCTGTACCCCTGGGGGTCATGATTAGAATAAACTTGACTTAAATATACACTACCTGAGGATGCTCCCATATAAATATGACTAACCATGACATTGCTATTACATGAACATGTACTTGGAAAAAGATTTTTAAAGATTTTTCTTACGTTTTCCTATGTAAAATTTTGTTTGCCCATTAAGGATACACCAAAGGCTTTTTTCAAGATTTTCAACAATTTTGAGATTTTTGGCCAAGAAAAAGAAGTTAATCACTGCTTTATAATGCATGTAAAATTCTGGGTAATTATGAAATGGTTTTCTAATTATTTAACAATAATGAAACATAAACACTACCACATGTGAATGTTCCGTTATTGAAGCTTCTGATTTGATCTGTGACTGCCTGCTCATGAAAGACGCAATAAATCACTGTGACCACTTGGGGAATTCTTCACTAGCCACACAGAGGTTATCAGTAATTAAACTACAGGGACTCTAGATTTAGAGAAAGAGATCTAACAGATCACTGATGACCATAAAATAGGAGGTGGAGCTTAGCTCTTGCCATTTTGCCGGGAAATCTTTCTGATTCAGAATTGAACCTATTTTACTTAATTAAAAGCATCTAAATACAGAAAAGAACCTCCCATTCTTGTGAATATGCATAGGAAATATGGCTAAGTGACAGGTATCCAAAGCTGAATCTCCAAGGTGTCATATATTCCTAGCTTTGGCAGATTTTGTTGTGTAATGGGTTTTTGCCCTCTACTGTAAAGTAAGATCAGACAGTTTGTGGTATTATTTCAAAGGATTCAGCTCCCTTATTTATTGACCAATTTCTCTGAAAATTGGATGCGTTGCTTCTCAAATGTGTGTTCACAAAACCGTATCTCAGATTTTTGATATCTAGCTTAGTTTTGGAATTATTGAGGGAAATGTTAAATTAGGCTAATAAATTGCTAACATTGAAGGGCAAATGGCTGTAACTTTTGAATAAGAAGATTTATCAAAAATCTGAGATACGGTTTTTAAGTTCAATCTTTAATCTACCTTGAGGTAAAATGACCACTTTGAGGGGTTAAATACAAAAAAGTTGATTTATAAAATATTTATGCACTAAAATTTACATTAATATTTAAATAATTTTTAAATAAGTTATTAATTAAAGTTTAAATTAGGATAAGTAAATAGTAAATTTATCAAGCTTTCAAATGATATATACTTTTATTATGTTATCTTTGATAATGAAAGAATTACATGCAAATTAAATTCTGGCATTTGGAAACCTTTGGTGTATCCTTAATATGGGCCAACCTTACCCCGAGGGGTCATGATTTGAAAAAAACTTGAATCTATACACTACGTCAGAAAGCTTTCTTGTAAGTTTCATCTTTTCTGGCACAGTGGTTCTTGAGAGGGAGATTTTTAAATAACCCCACCCAATTTTTACTATTTCTTCATTATCTCCCCTTGGAAGAGGGTGTGGCCCTTCATTTGAACACAGTTGAATTCCCTTTACCCAAGAATACCCTGTGCCAATTAAGTTTGGTTGAAATTGGCCCAGAGGCTCTGGAGAAAAATATGAAATTGTAAAAAGTTTATGATGCCTAGGACAGACAAACTTTGATCAGAAAAGCTCACTTGAGCCTTCAGGTGAACTAAAACTGTATACTGTAAATTTACGTAACTTTTTTTTACACATTATTTCTATGTCCTAAAGAGCTTTTACCTTTTGTTACAAGAGATTTCTACTTCCTGTAGAGAAACGCTGTTGATTTGCATAGAATGAAGTGACTCTAGAGTGAGGTGTATAGAACTGATACTGCAGGGGGATAACTCTAGGCTTTCTAAGACATCACAGGAATTGCATGAAAATTGATGTACTGTTGAAAATAAGAGTTATACAAATTATTGCAACTCAGCACATTTATCCTTAAGACACAATGATTTCAACCATTTCTTTTTGATATCAAGATTGTACTTTGTGTCACTTACACAGAGGTGCTGCCACTTTCACAGACTCTAAAATTTGGCACATATCAACATTTAAAGACTCAAGGCATGGAAAAGGGTATTCTATTTCAAGTCTTTGCAAACCTGAAAAATGAAGGCTTAATTAATGCAGTGTATTACAGAAACACAGTAGACTTTAGGTGAAGTCAATCTATCTGATCTAGAGACTAGACTCAATATTTATTAAACAGGATAAAGCATTACACTGTCTATGAGAATAACTGAATGTACTTTGGTTCTTTACATTTATCTCATAAGATACTGTAATTAAGAGGCCCATGGGCCTTGACAGTCACCCGAGGTAATGAGCACTTTGGCCCGATCGGGAAATGGAACTCTTGACTCATATTGAGACGAAAATTTTAAAGTTTGCTGAGACTCTACAAACCTTAGTATATCCATGCAGCTTTTCTCTTAGGTATTCAGGAGTAAAGAATAAAAGGTACAATGTGTAATAAATTTCCACATGTAGGTAACTACCTCTTAATTTTTTTTTATACATGTATACAGTAATACAGAGTTATTTTCACCATATAACACTTTCACACAAATTTGCCCTGTTTTGAATTTGCCCATATATGGCTGTGTTTAAAAGATGCTGTATGTAAGTCTGTCTTCTTTGAATTTGCCACATTATAAATTTTTCCACCAGGGTGAAAGGGGTGAAAATAAAACAGGGCAAAAATTTCCCTGTATACAGTATCTTACTGTTTCTGAGACCTCACTTGGAAAAGTGCTCATTTTAAGGACCGGAAGTGAATTTTACAAAGATATTTGACATTACTCTAAATAGACATTTGCAGTCTTAATAACAAATTAAAAAACCATCTAAACTTACCATTTTGCCCTAAATTCAAAACCTTTAGTTTGTTCAATCCATTTCTTACCTGTAAAACAATGCATAATTAATTTGATGATAAATCATTTTATATCTATAAAGATTTAAATATCATCACTTAAAATCACAATAATTTGTTCTTAAATATGATATTAATGTGTAAAATAAAGAAGAATTGAACCACTGATAAAAGTTTAAAAACTAGCATTTATCTCTTGCTTTGTTAAATTTAAAGTGTTTAAATTCTTTGTAACTTACAGGTAAATTACTTGAGGGAAATACTCTAATGGAGTTTTGTAGATCTAAGTGTTCTAAATGTATACAGGAACGTAAAATTTCCCTGACATTCTCTTCTAGAAGCAGTGAATCATTTAGACTGAAAACCAAAGAGTAAAATCTATCATCGATATATCATGATCACAAAAAAGAAAACTACAAAGAATTCACAGATCTGAGAACTAATGAACAGTCTTATACATGTATGAAAGCAGTGTACCAGACTTGTCGAAATTTTGAAATCACTATCAGACATTTGGTCTGGTAGATGTACCGTATTCTGATGCTGAGAAAGGAAAATAAATAACTGCACAAAAATGCTTTTTTATTATTTTTAACAGCCTTCAATATCACAAGTTTCTTTTCTTAAGATATAGAGTCTTAATCAGAGACATAAATGACACATTTTTATGTCTTTTTATGTCGTTGCTGTAAAAATTTATTCGACTATCATCACCCCACGGCTATCTCTGCTGTTTTTGTGACCTTCACCCGTGCATTCCAAACCCCATCTGTTTAAAAAATTTTTCAAATGGTCATTTCTTGAAAGTTATCGGTCCAGACAAATTTTTACCGGCCTTGCCAACAGGACCAACTGTTTTCGACAAGTCTGGTGTAGAACACTCACTAATAATGCCAAATTCCAACCTATGATATTGCAAAACATTGTACAATACTGATTCTTAAAATTTGTCCATCCTATTGGCTATAGGCATTCTTTAACATTTCCATACATTAATGAAAGATAAAGAACAGAAGTTTTCACATTTACCTAAATATATACTAGCACTTGAAGAAAACATCAAATGAGCAGATCAAAATGTCATATAAGAAACTTACATGAGCTTTTTAATGTTATATGTTGAGTTTTCTTCAACTCTTGGAACAAATATGTTTGATCTGCATCTGTATCAAGAAATAATGAATTACACATTGTAAAACCAAATAAATAGTATGTGTGCTGCTCTACTATCTTGTGAAGGAAAAAAATCTATTTTAGAATCTTTTTATTCTAAACAAAATAAATTAAAATACCATAGGACAGTTGAACTTTGGTATCTCAAACACCCACACTTCGAATAACATGGATAAGTCAAAGTGATTTGGAAGTCACAAACACATATTCCTTTAGTATTTTACCCTTGATATTTTGAATCCTCAGACATCTAAAAGTTTTTTCTCGGTTCTATGGAATTCGAAATAATGAGGTTTGACTGTATAAGTTTCCAACATTGCAATACCCTGACATGATTTGCATGGACAGACAGGGTGATTCCTATATGCCCAACCAAACATGTTTGCAGGGGAATATCAAATGACTACCAAATTTATCACACTACATTAGAGAACTATTTTTTATTGAACAAATCCAGTTTTTCTACTTTTTTCTTACTCTTCCCTGGCCATATTTATATTAACCACACGTGATTGAAGCTGACAGATTCTACAAACTTTTTTTTTACTAAAGTGAATGTGTCTTCCTTCACTACATGACCTTGAAAAGATGAACTGACTTTTTAAATATGACCTTGAATCAAAAACATGATATATCTGCAGGACATCAGGAACAACATACTCAATTTTTGAATACCAGTACACTCCAATCAAGGATTAATTTCTCTGCAGTTACAGCCCAGAAACAATTTTACTTTCTTAGTGCCCATTTTAAGGGCATTTTACATAGATCTTTAAGATATAACGTTTAGACAAAATCATGATCCACCTTTAAGATCATGGTAACACAAAACTTAAATTTGAATCCATTCAAATAAAGCTTCTTGGGCTAAGCCTGTCCAATAGGTATGCGCGATTTTATCGGTATACTGGTATATCGCGATTTTTTATTGCGTGATACGTATCATGATGCGGAGACTAAAATACCGATATTTGGTACATAACTATAAATTCTGGAAATTATTCATTTACGTGTTCAAACTATTGAATGACAATAAGAGGAGGTGTAAAAAAAATGTTGAAAACAGTTAAACAAGGGCATCAAAACATGCTTTACATTAAATAAATGAAAATTTAAAAAGTAAAGTTATTTTTTTATAGCATATTTTTAAGAAATATTATGGAAATTCACTTGAAATTGTAGTAAAAAATGCTTGTAAAAATATCACAATTTATCGTGATATTTTTGACGAAAAATTGTGATATATCACGATACGAAATTTTTGCCGATACCCATCCCTACTGTCCAAGATATTGTATGGACAGCTAGACAGATAGCTAGATAGATTAATATGCAATAGCCAATTCCAATGACTCCACCCTTCAGAATTGAATTAAGTATCTTTTAAATATAAGAATTACTGTTGAAAATGAAGTTCTCTCAGGCTTTCTAGGGCTATCACTTGTGTAAGGTGCTGACTGTCAAGAAACTCTTCAAACAGATTTACAGACAAGAATTCCAAATTATCTCCCTTTTTGTGCAATACTTCAACTGTAAAAGAAAATTCATTCTATTTACAGCTGAACTAGCATTTTATTATTTAATTTGTCATGCTTACAATCAAAGAAAGGCATATATAACAAAACAAAATTTACATCATATATTTTCCATCCAGCTTTAATTCGATATCAGAAAAGCTTAACAGAAATGCAGTTTTCCTGTATCTATGTGAAATGAAATGAGTAATCAATGAAATGAAAAAAATAATTAAATTTATAAACATTTTCCTATCAGAGAGAAAACTAAATTCACAGATTACTTACTACTCTCATTGTTTATGGAGGATGTATTGATGAGCAACTTTTTTAAATATGGGCAGCCATCAAAAAGTGATCCGAGGAAAATGTCAAATGTGGAATGTTCTAAAATTAACTCTCCAACTTTGATACACTCTGTAAATAAAAAATTATATTTTATCTCTTTCTTGCTTTTAAGCTATTAATTGTTTCAGCTAATACATTTCTTTTCTTGATAATAAGTTCTTTTTCTGTATTTAAAAAACTTCAGTGGTGTCACCCATTATTATTAGCTAAGATATATTATTTAACTATTCATCATTACATGTACTACATGTAGTTGAATACATAAAGACATTTGGAAATTTAAAATCCAACTGTGCATTAAACACATTAGGCAATGAATATAGAGATAACTTATTTAAAAATGTATTTTCCAAACCATACAAAAAATGATAATTACTCCAAATTTCTGACAGTTTTAGAAATGTGTCAACTAAAATATCCAATATATATCAATTTCTATTTCAACATAATTGTTTCTTGTTTTGAATTTTAATAGATTTGGAATAATGCTCGATCGTCACGTTTGGAAACACTTTTACGTTTTCTCCTTGAACCTTAAACCATATCACTCCCTGCTGCTGAAAATCATATCAGGTCCAATGTCAACAATCAAAATATTCAATACATATCAATGTATACATTTACTTAACATTCTACAATAATATTTTGTGAAAGAGTTTGTTATAGTTCTATAAGTTATTGGACAGGTTAAAAATTTTCTTACTATCAAGATCAAATTACTGATTTCTAACTACGACATGTCAAATATTTCATCAGAACTACCAATACAGCATAAATTTTTATGTGTCCTAAACAAAACCAAAATACCTGCATTTGGACAACGTTTTATAATATCCAGTAATCTTTCTGCCATAGGGAGAGGGCAGTCTGTTAAATCTAATGTCTTCATCTGCATCCTAAATATAAGTAAAATAATCTTTCACTTCTTTGCATATATAATATATAATATCAAAGCACTGATCTTTAACCTTTAATTAATCTTTATTTAATTGTAAAATTTACCAGATACCATATTGTGGCTTTTGAAATGAGGTCTCTGAACTTTGTACACGTCTGGGCTAATGAACAAAGGTCCATCCAGTCTAAGTGTTTAAATATTTCATATAAAACACCTGATGGCTGGAAGACCAATAGATGATTATACCTGCAAAGTGAGTAAATATCTACTTCAATCTTGCATGCTTCTTACATGTACTTGGATTTATTTTAGTGGTATTTAATATTTTGGCATGCCATAAAGGAGAGTACAAAAGTCAGGATTACAGGCAGATAATAAATAAATTCACATGATATGAATGTACACATAGATAATGTTTATTCTTGATTGTGCTTTTTAATCTGTGACCTACAATGAATTCTGAACACACATAAAGTGTATACCCTCTACAGTTTATGATTGTACAATCTGTGAACTCATTCTCCATGGAAAGAATGTAAATAAGAAAAGTGAGGATAAGGAACAGTGACCAATCTCACAAATTCATGTATAAACAGTACAAATCATAAAGGGACAAAGATATGAAAACAATGGTTTAACAATTAGTAATATGAACAATTCAACTTAATGATAGATTGTATTTCAATGCTGACCTCAAACAAGACCGTGGAAAGCCCTCTAACATCAACTTATTTGTCAATAGCCTGTCTCTGTTTAAAAATTGATCAATCTAATTAAAATTAGATCCTTCACACTCCCATATTCTGTTTTGTTGCTCAAAATGAAAAAAACAAAATACGGGATCTAATTTTAATTAGAAGGACAATTTATCGTACTTTGAACATATTCTTGTAAACCAAATTATTTTTCTTAATGCAAAATCAGAAAAAGAAGAAAAATCGAACAGGAACACTAAAATCATTACAAAGGAAAAATGTTTATTGCTTCCAAAAAACATCAGAAAATGTTTCTTTCTGGGGCGTCTAAGTTGATACAATTTACCTATTCCTTGTAATTCTCAAAAATTCAAATAAAATATTTTTTCGCAAGCTTATGAAGTATAAATACATACCAATCACCATCTTCAAAACTTTCGTCATCATCCACTTCCATTGCCGATTTTTTGCACACTGATTGTTTCACTACGAGATAAAATGAAAGTAAACGAAAAAGCTTAATCACTGAAGTGTTTGAGGTAATGCTAATCCAAGATGATTTTAAAAACGTTTTGGTGAACTGTAGTTGTAAAGTAAACATTCTTTTTTTCTTACTAAAACAAATTCATGATTAATTTCATAAACATATTTTTACACAAATGACCACTTTTGATTTTTTCATAGTCAAAATGCCTGAGAAAACGAAAGTAGACAGTGTAAACAAAACAAAAATTCCTGCGCGTATTATTGATAAATTATTGATAAACGATATATTACGTTTGCATGGTAAACAAATAAATTCAGTTTTTATGTAATTAATTGTCTATGATTATGAAATCAAGTCTGAGTCTAGAAAAATAAACGAACTATATTACATTACGTCAGCATAGACATAAGTGAGTAATTAGGCTCTTGTTTTGATCTGCAATGACAGGACTAAATGGATACATCTTTCTTTGTTAAAAATACTGAAACTGGGGACCTTTTGGTGTTTGACACCCGTATGTCCTAAGATGGGGAACTGTTTGAAATCACCAAGTAGTGACGACATTTCACTATTACGTGGAAATGAAGGCCCAGAGGGTCCAGACAACCTGGGCCCCCCTCCACCGTATCAGGTACTGCACTGCCATACTATTTCAGTAAAACAATATAATAGACAAAATAAGGTGATTTGCTCTAGAGCAGACTTGTGTGCTTTCTTACCTTTGAATTCAAAATGTTTTTAATGGTTGAATTGACACAGACTGAAGTCCAATATGTCCAATCGTAAAATTCGTCACCAAAACAAAGAAACCAGCTGATCGGTGGCAAACAAAGAAAACAGCTGATCGACTGGATGTTATCATTTCTATTCCATTTTAAAACCAATGGATCAATAAATATTGTTCTAAATGATAAAATCTTATTCATGAATAAACGTAATTTTTTAGATTAACAATTTTTTGTTGTTGAAAAGACTCGATTCAACATGTTGAAAAGATACGTACAGTTCCACTAAGTAATTTTACTTTTACCTTAAGCATGGATTTCAACAGTGAAATGTCACCTGTGGAATTACATTCTTAGAAACAACAATATGACTACCAAACTACTAGAAATTTGTTATGTACCCAAAATTCTATTTAAAGCATAAAGAACTCATACTAGAATCTAAAAGTATTGCTCAAATGCCATGTTATGGAAGAAATGATGCTTGAGAAGTATAAATTTAGCCTTGTATGTAAGAGTTTTTAAGATCAAGATTTTTATCTGTAAATATTGAAAGCAGATGTTCAGTTCAACTTTGTTCAATTTTCAAATAATTTCACTATGCACTTGTACCCAACATGTATCATTATGATTATTTGCCTGTTAAATCAATAATCTGCAAGTGAATAAAAACAAGGTAATGGAGAAAAGTTTATAAATTCTGCTCAATTCAGCCCAAATATTGTACAGTGAAACATGTACTCTAACTAATATGATGAATCAATCATTATTATAATTAATTGACTCTTACTGCAAAGTGATTTTTCATTCCCTGTGACTTTATATAAATACTGCATGTAGTTGAGTGTAACATTGAAAATTTTAACCCCAAGAAAACTATTGTCAATTAACAGAGGTGCAGCCGTCGTCAAGCAATGTTGACTGTTACTATACTAGAGGGCATGGCTTCATTATTCAGGGGGTAATAGTCTTTTTTAACAAATGTTTCTCAACGAATCAGATTCAACTAATTTACATGAAAGTACAATATTAAAATATATTAAGTAAAGAATAGTCTCTAAATTCTTTGTATAGACATGATAGAGAAACAGTCAACATTATTGATATATTAACAATATCATGCCAATATTCACCAATATATCCTTTATTATATAGCTAAAACATCTTCCTTTGATTTATATTAATTATTTCAACTAAATGATTCAAATTGATAAGAATTTTCAGTATAGGTATTTAAATTAAGGTCTGTCCTGTAAGTGTTCAATATCACATCATTCCATTGACCCTACCAAGCTTTATGATCTGCTTATTGAGGTATTATTGAGGCTAATATGTACTAAATTATTTATTAATAATTTCAAGTTTGCGTGAAAATAAACACGTCTTACCTAGCTGCCACTACCTATCATAAATTTGTCTTTGAGAGGTTGACTAGACGACATTTTTTGTTTTCAATTGGGCATTTAGTATTGAACGCTCATATTCGGAGTGTTTTTGACATACCCATATTTGAATATAAATTAACTCAGCGTTCAATAAAACACCAAGATACTGAAATGAATGCTAAAATTCTCTTGACTTTTAGTGGTTTTTTTTTTTATCATAGACTTTATTAGCTATATATAATAATTATAAATATCAATTTCATTTGATAGAAAAAAAAGTTGCTTTAATTGAACTGCATCTTCACTGCTTTTTTTATGTAGTGAGATCTAACATTTATGTCAGATCAGTATGCATTTTATTTTGATTTCATAATTATATCTGTTGAAAGGTAAGACAGCAAAACAATTTTTAATTGGACTGTAATGTTAATTTGATATGTGAAATGGTTACTATATGCTTACAGGAAAGGCAAAGACCCTCTGAGAGATCTAGGGTACCTGTTTACCATCCCTCCCCAAATGTCAGTCGACCTGCAAACCAACTGACAGAGGATGAGCAGATAAAGATTGCCAAACGAATGGGGCTTATAAGTCACCTTCCATTAGGGGTCTACGATGGAAGCACTAAAAAGGGCAAAGAGTAGGTATCAATAAATTATCTCCAATACGTGACTTAATCAATTCACAGGATTAAAAAATACATCATTTTTGTATTTTAGCAATTACATGTTATTTTGCTTCCTCAGTACTTATTGCATGATTAATATTCCACATGAAAAAATGCTGAAAAGCTTAAAAATATAAATCTACGAATTATTGCAGGAAGTTTAAAAAATATTGATCCTGTCCAAAAGTGTCTAAATTCAATTCAGTGCTCTCAGCAAATGAAATATTTCCTTGATGAATTTATTAAGAATCACATCTGCTACATCCTGTGTTTTTGACATTAAATAAATGAGTTGTGTATATACAATAACTGGAATTAAATTATTCTATTTATAGTGCATTATATAATATTTTCCTTTAGCTAATTTAAAGGGTATTTTTCTTTGTTGACTTTTCAATTTTAAATTATGAACTTAATGCAAGTATCCCTGGCTTTTCAGGTGTGCAATATGTATGTGTGACTTTGTGTTAGGAGAATCTCTTCGATTTTTACCATGTATGCACATCTACCACAAAGACTGTATAGATGATTGGTTAATGCGCTCGTTCACGTGTCCATCCTGTATGGAACCCGTAGACGCTGCTCTCCTCTCCTCCTACCAGTCAAACTGATCGTGAGTTTGTGATACTGACTTGTGATAAGGATGGGGGCCATTCCCTCTATAGTCTCATCCAGTGAAATATTTTGGAAAAATTCCTGTAAGGATTAGTGTATGTTAGTAATTAGCTCTTGTACACTTAATCACCTAATTACATGCTGGGATATTGAATTTTTCTGGTTGTTTTTTCAGCTTTTTTATGCTTTATGTACACTATATATTCTCTGTGTTTAGGGCTAGTCATTATCTCTGCTGATTGGCTTTTATCCCCACAGTGACTCTTTAAATGTTCTTTGTAAACATCAGTCAACAGATCACATGTACATGTAAGAGTGATTATTCTAATTATTGATTAATAATCAATTTTTTACCTTGATAAATGAATGCTTTTTTTCTCTTAAAAAACACAAGTTGTGTAGGCCAATCCCATGCATATTTTATGAGGAGACAGACTTTCCTAGAGAGTGTTTTATTGGGGTTTTTTCCTCCCAGTTTTTCCTGTCACTGCGTTCAGTTAATAATTCAAAAAGAATAAAATTAATTCAGTGATCACAATACAGAATTGTTACATTGTGTATTCAAATTTATAAAATGAGTAGAAATATTGGCACCTTGCTAAATAAAAATTGATATTAAATTAATGCACTTTAAATATAGAAAACCTGTTGTGATTAGGTTTCACAAGTGGTGTTTTTTTTTTATTTGGTGTGTGTGGGGGGATGTTGAGTAATTTTGAAAAAAAAACTTGGTTAAATTACTGAAACTTATGCAAATTAAGAGAAAGCTTAAATGGAATGGTACATGTATGTCATAGATAGAAAAAGTAATTTTTAGAATACATGTTAACAGCTTGAAAGCCTAAATATATATTTATACTTTTTATTACTAAGTGACTGTAACTGCACTTGAGACTGCAAAATGATACTATGCTGAAACATTACACTACAAGATTTTTAAAAGGGATTTTTTTTTCTTGCTGAATCAGATTTATGTTGAAAAGTAGACATGTTTAAATTGTAGATGGTGCTGAAGCTTTATTGTAATTTTTTTGTTTTTATGATACATAGTTTTTTTCTGTCCATGTTTTTAATATACAGAATGATTTTAAATGGCAATTCTGGGCAAGCACATATGTTGTAGTGAAAGAACATAATATACTTTGGTTGCGGAAATGAAGTATTCCAAAGTTAACTTAACTAAACTATATCTGTAAATCTATTTTATCCTGTAAAGCAACACATACACAGAACTATTTTTTTTTATTTTGTCTTGTGTATTTCTTCTCACAATATCAAATACAAAACAAAATTTACAAGAGATTTTGCTCTTCGTTCTTGTAATTCAGTTTCTACATAATGATCTTTATTATTGTATGGCTGGCCAGTAATTTGCTGTCCCAATGCAAAGTCAAATGTAAAAATATTATTCCAAAGACGTTTATGTTGGTATGCTTCATTGCAATTGGAGTTGACCGTGCTCCATCAAATGACCTTATCATGGTAATAATTGCATTTAATTAGGTTTTAAATATATCACCATGAAACCTTTGGTTTATAGAAGTTTATGGAACATTGTTTAAAATGTATGGACTCTCTAGGTAGTCAAAAGTCATGTGACCACAAACACAAGAATGATATTATCTTATTATTATTGTTATATATATAATTTATACATAAAAAAATGTTAAATGGAGAAGTATACAAACTCCTTTTCATCACTTGGTTTGCTTGGAGAGGGTGGGGGGGGGGGGGAGGGGAGGGGGAATTGAGGATTTAGATGGGGTTTGACATAGAAATAAGGTTTTATTTTATCATATAAACTATTTTATTATGAAAAGTATACTTTCCCAAAATTCACTGAAGTTATAAATAAGATAATGTTAGAAATTACGTAAACAATACTAATTAATTTCAAATGTGACTTGTTGCAATTCTAAACTTTTAGGAACAGGTATGAAATATATTGAAATAGCAATGGGCACAGATCCAAAATAATCAGAGTGATCTATTCAATAGTATTCATAATTGAGGCATCTGCAGTATTATTGACACAAAATCTCATGAGTCTATTTATTGCTAAAACAGAGGTTTATCAGTATTAGATAAGAAAAGAAATAAAACTCATAAAAGAAGATATTACCATTACCATGATTACAGTAAACACTCTTATAGTGAAATGCCATCAGGGAGAACAATTTGCAATTCACAAGTTCTTGCTATGTTTTAAAACCATTGAGAATAAAAATTACTTGGCTGTAAGCTTAAATTTATTATAAGTTTGTTCACTATAAGTGTATTTTACAGTACCAAGCTAATATAAATCATAATATCATAATCATAATCACAATAAGGATTTATTTAAATATGTAATTTAATATGAGGCATTAGAATGTCTGAGTAAAATTCAAATGATTAAAATACTGTATGGTATAAATCTATACTCTGTAGGGGGGCCACATCCACCTAAAAGAAAAAAGTGTTTTTATCTTAATTTGTTTATAATGAAGTAGTATCCTTATTGGAATATAAATTACATATATTGCCATTACATAAAAATGTTCAAATTCAGTGATATCCTATATCATAATATGACTTTAGTGTCCCCACCCGTTGTCCCTTTAAGTAAAGCCTTATAACTTAAAGATGTTTTTGATTGTTTATGCATTAATTTGTTTAATAACATACATCTATATTTTTCACAAACTTATTATAGATTGTGAAATGCAGTAATGTGTATGACAAAATAGTGTTAAATTGTTACTTATTTATTCAGGAATTGTATATCACTGTGTTCTGTGTAAACGTGTGCATGTTATTTTGTGTAAATTGTTTGTTTTGCTGATTTTCAACTGCCATGGCAGTGTGTGTATCTTGTTACACTGGTAGAAAACAGTCTGTGGGATAATGCTGGTCATTTAGAAATTTGTATATAGATCTAGATAAGAGCTGTGATTCTCCTTCTGTCATCCAAATTTCTCCCCAATATAAAGCTTTTGCTGATAAATGAAAAATAAGATTTATCATATTGTAGCACCTAGTCTACTATCAAGCTGCTAGACTAGATATCTAGGTCTGTTGAACTCACTATATGAGTTTGTTATCCCTGCATAGCAGTTAGGCTAGCATATTGTTTAAGATTGTAACCCTTATCTTCATAATGCAGCCCTGGTGTTTGAAACTCGCCATCTCTGTATGCTGTGCAAAATGTAATATTTTTGTATTGTACATGCAGTAAAAAGTTTAAAATAAGAAAAATTAATATATTGTTCCAGGTTTTCTTTTTATGCTTTTTCAGTTTGTTCACTTAATTCATAATATACATAATGTTAAGTATTTACCTGAACTGCTTATTTGAATTGAATAAGTAGGCACAAGGTTGTTAATGTTGAAGAATGTTCTCTGTACAGGAAAACTAGATCTCCACACTGACAACAGAAACAGTACTGCCACTGTCACAATAAAAAAAATGTCAAATAAAACTGTGTTAGTATGGTTACTAAAATACACAATGTATCTAATGAATTCTTCAAGATAGATAATTCGGTGAAGTTTTCAAACTGAAAAAGAAGAAAATGAATCAATAAAAATACATAGTAGAGTAAACACAAAGTCTTTAAAAGTGTAACTTTTTCATTAAGAATAGCTTTAATGCTAAAAATTATAATAAAACATTAATCTGGATTGAAAATCAGGATTGTTTTCAAAATTGGTATTTTGATAAACACAGCACACAAAATGAGGAGGGTAAATACTATATGAACTAGGAAAAGAGTCTTGGACAAAAACTAAACCAAAGATGTTACTACACAAATACCAATTGTAAGAAACTATTTTCATCAGATTTCTATTTTGTTCTTGGTAAACACATAAAGACATGATACATGTAATTATGGCTTAGCTAAGAGCCTCTTGATTTTTAATTGGATGACTCTTCTATTGAAGTAGATATCTACTTGGGCTTGTTTACTTACTAAGTTATCTTTCCTGAAAGACAAGGAAGACAGTATATTGGACCACTCTATGTAGAGTATTGACTTGGGTTGACTTGATTTTTAAAATGGGGGATATTAATTCCATCAGCTAGTCTGTTAATCCATCTGTCTATCATTGTCTGTGTGTAACACTTTCATTTCCAGATGTCATCTCAAAAAGCCCTTGAGCTTCTGCAATGAAATTTTATATCACAATTCCCTAAGACCGAAAGAATGCCCCTATGAATTTTGAGGCCAAAAAGTCAAAGATCAAGGTCAGAAATTCATATGTTCTGTGTAAAATACTTTCATTTCCAGATGATATATAAAAAAGACTGAGCTTTTGAGATGAAAATTTATATCACAAATCCCTATGGCATAAAAAAAGATCCTATGGATATTGAGATCTTAAAGTCAAGGTCATAAATTCTTCCATCCTGTCTGTGTTACACTTTTGTTTCAGTGCGATATCTTAAAAGCCTTTGAGCTTTCGCAATGAAATTCTATATAACAACTCCCTATGGCCTTGAAAAAAGCCTATTTGATTCGAGGTCAGGAGGTCAAGGTCATAAATTCATGCATTGTAATAACAATTTCCATATGATAACTTCAGTTTTCTTTGGGCCTTTTTCAATGAAATTTAATATCACAACTCCCTATGCTCTTAAAAAGACCCTTATTGATTTGATCTAAAGGTCAAGGTCATAAATTCCTACAATGCAAAATTGGTTTCCAGATGATAACTTTAGTCCTTTTTGAGCTTTTCAATTATGTTATACATGTATACCATAACCCCTAGTCACTTAAAAAAGACCCTATTTATTTTTAGATCAAAAGGTCAAAGGGAAAGATCAGAAATTCATATGGGGTTTATGTCTCCCATTTGAAACGAAAGAGCATACTCTATGTACGATCAATTTTTAAAATGGGGCAAGCTATTAACCAATTAGTTGATGAAACAAGGATATTAACAGTCTCGTTTGAAATTATCATTTCGCAAGGTCTAAGGTCGATACAATGACTTTATCAGCAAATACAATCTATCAATAGATCAAATGCTGACTGATATTTTTCATACTAATTGTTAGACCATTATTTACACACTGGAAGAGTGTGACCGGTCGAAAGGGGATGCTTACTCCTCCATAGCACCTGATCACGCCTCTGATGTTTTTGGAGGTCTGTGTTTACTCTCCTCCCGATTTGTATTGTTTAAACAGACTATGAGCTGGAAAACTGTTCGTTATCTGCATATTTCATAATGCAAAAAATAAAATGGTTTCCAGTTGACAACATTGAGCTTTTTGAATGAAATTATGATAATTCAATTTATGAAATATGATAACATAACTCCCATTATTTACATTTGCAAATATTTTTCTTAGATGAACGTATTGTAGTATCTGTGCGACTGTCCCGTGGTACGACTTACTGACGAGGCTACGTCAGATGGCGGGACAGTCGCACGGACCTCTTCCACCGCCAAGATGTCAAGCACACCAGACGTGGTACGGAGACGGTGAGTCAGCACGGGCCAGAACCCACTACAGAGTGTATTTGTATATTTGTAAATAGTGATAATAAATATACTGTATAAGTACTACACCCCCGGTAGTTACTTTACTGGCGCCCAACTCGCGGGGCCCGGTGCTAGATTCCCGTACTGCTGTCAGGAATTTTTTTTTTTTTTTTTTTTTTGGCATTGTTTTTAGCCGCCATTTTTGGTGCTGAGAGCACGTGTGATAGTTGCAAATTGTTTTTTGATTCTGATGCAATAATTTTTTGAATCAACTGGAATTAATTAAGGTCTTCCGTTTCCAACGGAAGACCTTCTACTGATTGTGATGATTACGATTATTCTTTTTTTTTTTCCTAGACGCCAACTTTGACGCTTCATATCTTCCTCATTTTTAAACAGATTTTGTTCAAATTTTCAGAGCTTTTAGACTTTACAAAACACTGTCAGAATACCGTAATACAGTTCGGAAATTACCTTCTGTTCACGAGTTATTCCCCTTTGATTGACTTTTTCATGCCTCCGATTTCCAGACAAAGGCTCAGAAATGGTTATAATTGGAGCACAAAACTCTTTGAAATTGAAAAGAGGAAGCATTGAAGTTGTGCACATCGGTTTTTGTTTTTTGATTTTTGCATTAAAAATGGCGCTAGAGAGGGGTCAAAAGTTAGAACGCGGAAAACAGCAAAAAATTTGACATATTTTCCTTTATATCTTGAAAACTAGAAATATTTTGTTAAGACATGTAGAACAAAAGTTGTGCATAATTACAAGGGCTTTCATATTATACTATTTAAAAGGGGCTGGCCCCTATGATTAGGGATCTTGGGCCCTTAAAAGTTTTTGCTTTATAACTCAAAAACGGTAAATATTTCGATCTGGATCTTGGGAACAAAATTGTTCTTTTACACCTTTTTGATCTAATGAAAATGTTGTTTTGTTCGAGTATACCATGGGTATTGCGTAATACGTATTAGAAAGCTGGCCAGGTAAACAGGTAACGTTTTTCATTCGGCAAGGAAATCAGACCTCTTCATGTGTATAACTTAAACAGACTTGCTATCAATAATATACCCTGCGGTATTTCATGTTAATTTTCTTTTTAATAAGGTTTGAAACGTGGTTTATGGTTCACTATTAAATTATTTATTACAACTAGTCTTTCTTTTCTTTTTTAAATTAGATTAATAGTGTTCAAAAGCGGAGAATATTAAATCTACGCCCGCAGGGTAACCCCTGCCCAAA